ACCACAAGACCCAGGAGGAGTTCCCGGCACGGAGCATCGAGTAGTCCCGCTGGATCTGGCGGACCACCTCGGACCGACTCCGAGCGGGGCAAAAAACGGGCAGCCAAGGGCTGACTTCAAAGGGGAGAAGCGAAAAAAACATGGTGGAGGAAACAATGGCCCAAGCCCAAGCATGTTGCCTGTAAGCCAGCCTGAACAAGGCCTCCAAAACAAGTCTGCACTTGGAGGCTCAACGATTGAGCAATGGGTAGACTGACCAAGCAGCAAAGGCAAAGCCGAACCGCTTTGGGAAAGTGCGAACCAAACGGGATGCATTGCAACAAGCCAATCCGTCCAATGGTGATAGAATGGGCTTGTGCCCAAATGGGGAAGAACGTGAGTACGGCACGGTTGCCTTTGGGTTTCGATCTTTAAAACCAACTCGAAAGACAGACAGACAGAATCCGTCGCTGGAACCTCCCCACGCCATGGACACCAGCAGTTATGTTGCGTCAAGAGATCTTCAGAAACAAAAACCAGGTAAAAGGAAGGTGGCAAAGCAAAGCAACCCCTGCGCTCCCCTCAGAATTGTGGCAGGCCCCCCGGCCCCAGCAAAGAAGTCCTGTTCCTGGCCCGAATCCTGCCTGGCGCCGAGCTGACCAAGGAAGGGTGTGCCAACAAGCGGACATCCCAAAATTTGCTCAACCTCCACGGCCCTCTAGAATCGATTGATTCAGGCTATAAAGTAATAACAAAAAAAAAAAAAAACATGAAGAACCATTTGAGATTATTTAAGAAATAGTTCGAGAAGGTTTTTATCATAATTATGAATACTATTAGTCCTGTCGTGCTGTACACCATTCCACTAGTCGGGTCATGTCAAGGGCCAACCAGGGGCAAGTCTGTTGAAGCATCAATCTGAATTTGTTTGGGGCGCAGTGGCTGGCGGTTGCAAAAAAATCCAACCGTGGACTTTGATGTCATTGAGCAGCGCCCAATACCCCAAATACCTGGTTGAACGTTAACTTCCCAGATCCTTTTGCCGGCTTCCCTGAAAGGCCACCAAAATCCGGCTGTTGAAACACCTTTCCAAAAATAAATCGACCCAAAATCAAAGGCGGCTGTTGGGCGGTTTTTTTTAAAGAACACCGATGTTTTCCAGCAAAAAAAAACAAGAAGAAGAGAGAAACAACTGGTGGCCGTTGAGCTGTCCCTTGGAACACCGATTTTTCCAGCCACGGAACTTGGTTGACCTTGGAAGGGGAGCAAAAATGGTTGAATTCTAGCAGTTCAGTGGTTGGACGTCCACCACTAAACCACAATAAGCCAAAATGGTTGAAACATGTGAAACCCCAACAAACCACTAAACCACATAAAACACATAAACCACATAAACCACACAAACCACACAACCATGGGAGCACCCCAAACCGACTTCTTGCGCTCCGCGCATGTTAGACGGCAGCCGCAGGATGCCACCACCAGGCCCGGGCCTGGGAGAAGCGAAGCGCCCAGAGCGGATCGCTGCGCGTTTGGACTTGTGACAAAAAAACAAAACAAGAAGAAAGGAAAAGCCGCCCACCCGCATAGGGAGTCCTTTTCAAAATCTGGCAAACGGTTTGGAGGCAGTTTTTCGTGGACACCTGTGCTTCTCCCTTTCTCCCTGGTGCTTTTGTAGCAATCTTTTAGTACTCTTTTAATATCCACGGGTGGATCCACAAAAGCCACATCGGAACCGTTTTCTATTTTAGGGGCAATAGATGGGTTTCCCTGGTAGATGATTAAACCACAGGTAAATCAGGAATCGCCATCTATGTTTCTATCAAAACAACCAAAAAGGACACCCTTGGGTGACAGTAGACGAATTGGGCCCCGCATTAGAGTAAGGGCGCGGATTTATTGTGTGATGTGTTTGTTTTAAATAGCAGTCTTTGGGCTTTTTTTGGCTTAGTTGCCAGGGCCGTTTCAACCATACAAATACAACTTGCCGGATTGTGTAACAGGTCCTCTCACGCAGGCTTAGCCCATTCATGGAGTATTCACCCGGCGCGCCCCGTGCGCAAGCCCATGTTCTCCTCATGAGTACAGACTCACCTCTCCCGAAGAGCTGTTCTTATCCTCATCTTGGCGAGGTGTGTCGCGGTCCGCGTATTGAGCGTGGTGACAGTTGGCGCGGAGAGCCCCCAACACCCCAATGCAACACCAGGGTGAAAGTAGAATCCCCCACTCTCCCCTTTCTGTGGCTAGGGGGGGGGGGCCCAGGGTATGAACAAGGGGGTTGTAAGGCCAATTGCTCCCAGAGGAGTCCAACGTGTTGCTTGGTTTTTCCTTGATAAAAAGCAACTGCAGAATTGGACACCCCCAAAGAAATTTCAAGCAGGTGCTATTTGTCTAAGCTGGTTTAGCAGCGGGGTAGGTGCCAACAGGTCCGCTTCTCAGTTTTTAGGCAAAACCGCAAAACCTATGGAACTCCCTGGCTGAGTGGATGCCCAAAAAAAAGTCTAAACTGTATATTTACCACTAAACTGGTCTTCCCAAAAAGTTTAAAGTTCATGAACTCAGGAAGTGAGGGACACCTATGGGGAGGACCCGCTCAGCACAGGTCACTTCCTGGGTTCCCCGCAGGCGACAAATCTGTGGCTCATATGGTTTGGAGGCAGTCGACACGGTGAAAATGGCATGACGGTCCTTGAAAAATGGCGAAGAGTTGATGAAGGATCCACATGAATTATGTGGGAGCGCAAGCAAGATGTGCCTCCAGCCCGACCCTTATCATGGCTAACTCCTTTTGGTTTCCCTTTCTTCCATTTGCTTAAGTCCCCTGGAAAAGATAAAGATACTCCCACTAGCGATAGAATCCCTTTAAAACCAACAGGTAAAAAAAAAAAAGAGACAAACATTCAGCAAATGGAAGAACTTTCAACCCACCTGCAAGTGGCAATTCGCCTCGGAAACCATATCATGCCAACGAGGCGAGGGCAAAGACAGCGGCGGCGTGACATCCTGTCCCGGCGTTCCTGGCACGGATCCCCATGACTCGGTTGCCGTTGGAAGGGGAGCAAACATTTACGGTAGATTTTGCCAGTTAAGTGGGACTTCCCACTAAACCACGATAAGCAAAAATGTAATATGTTTCCCAACAGCTCCCGGAATCCTTCCGTTGCTCCGTGATGACAAAATCCACGTGGTGTCTTTGAGGCTCGGTACCCGGCTTGGGGTGGTTCTCAGGGGAAACAAAAGGGTACTCACCGCCCATGCAGATTCCCTGAAGAAACATCCACTCGGCAGCTGCTCCGCTGCCCTGCAGGACAATTCCATCCCGAATGTAGCCAAAAACAACGATAAAATCTCCCCCAGACACAACTGGTCCTTTTGGCAACTGTTCCTGGCTTGCGCCATGTTGGTTTGTAGGATACCATTAAATCGAGGGGGCGACCAGGCATTTTGGAAAGGGCGGGGGCTTTTTCCAGATCTCCTGCTCTGGTTCGAAAACATCAATTTTTGGGCTTTTTCAAACTGGGTCTTTTCTGGACGAAATGGGGGCTACTAACCGTCCGCGGCCCTCTACTTTCTCCACCATGGAAGACAAACGGCCGCTTTGCAAGTGAGCTTCCTTTCGGGTACTGTGAATGCTTACCCAAAGCCGATACCCATCAACTTGCAATTCCGACAGGACCGACACCCTTGAAAAATTGTCCTCTACTCAACGTGCAGAGGGGAAATATCAGGAATCCTGGCTCCCAACGCGAGTCCTACTCAAAACCCGCCCGCAAGAGCGATCTTCCCGAATCTTTCCGAAGAAACGGATATCTGCACCCACTGTGAATTAAGGGCCAAACTCCTCTGACAGTTGGCAGGTGACTCTCAGTGTTCAAATCCGGCTTCATCCATCCCACCCTGGCGTGGAATTGGACACATCCGCTGTGTTTCTAGGAAGGGGACTGTTCTCTGCCGAGTGTGCCTGGAAATGGGGGGGCCTCCAGAAATGGCAGAAGGGTTCTTTCTGGTTTCCCTTTGCACCACGCTCGAAAAGGGGTAGCCATCAAGAAAAGCCACGCTCAGAATTACGGTGGCTCCCCTGTGGTCAGAAAATTTCAGACCCCAGGTTTGACTGTGTCTCGCTCCGCGTTCATCGACCCGAAACCGGGCGGATCGCTCGAGCGATCCGTGTCTCGCCTAGTGGCATCTCCACGGTGCCTGCAGATCCCGAAATTGCCTTGATGTTTCGTCTGGGTCACTTGGCCATGGGTCAAAATCCCGTACCCCCAGTGAACATCCCAATCCCCACCAAAATAGACTAAAATGGGTGGTGCACCTACCCCAAAATGGTACCATTGGTTTTGACCCACAGCCAAGTGAACAGTGAATTCGTCAAACTTTGCGCGCGGGTACGATTGACGGACACCGCTGCCCTGCATGACACGTTTTCTGTATTTGGCAGAGCTCGAAGTAAGCCTGTGACTGGCTATCTCCCACCAACCGTCATTCGCGCTAACCTTTGGGGGCTCCACAAAATCGGTGTTGGACGAAGGCTGCCACGAGTTGTTCACTTCCGTAGATTGGCCAAGAACGTCCAAGTTTTCTCCATCCCCAAAAAATGGTCTTCCTCAAAAGGAACTAGGGAGTGCGCTGGGAGAAATGGCACGAATTGCGCAACTGGCTTGTGTGAACGAAATGCGCCTCCTTCATGATCGTCTCCTGCATGAAGCCGACTTGCCTTCCACTCGGTCATGAAAGTGATGACCTCCAACCGACGCAATCTAGGATCGCGGCTCCCAAACATCTACCCCAAGTTCATGGAATATACAGCAACTATATGGCCATGGGTCAAAAGCCCGTACCCCAGTGAAAATCCCAATCCCCACTAAAATGAACGGTGGTGCGAACGGATGTCATCCATCCACAGGGATCTTCCCAACTCCGCCAGCCCTGGCCCCCATAGTTTGCAGCTGTCCCCACCCCCAGCCTGGCCCCAACCCCCAACCTCCACACTCAAGTCCCCCAGTTGTGCGCAGGCCAGCTCATTCCTGCCACCTCATTGGGGGGTCACAGCGTATGTGTGTGTGTGTGTGTTTGTGTTTTTGAGGGTACCCACTTCCCCTTAGCTTACAAGAAACCAAAAGGAAAACCCGCATTGCGCCTTTCTCCGCTGCTTAAACATGCGAGGACGCCTCGTTTCGCCCCTTTCGGGCCAAGCCCGGCCCACCGCTGGAACCTCAAAACCAACCAAAACCCGCGCCGTGTCGTAGTGCGGAGGTCCCGCAGCAAAGGCCGCGAACCGGCACTGCTCCACCTGACGAATGACACGACTTGCTCCGTGTCTCCTTGTGGCTTGAAGGGAAAAGGGAAAGGGGACAAAAACACCTTGGGGTCGTCGCTGCTAGGGGAAAGAAAACATCTAGGTCACTCCAGAGAGGTCAGAATAAGGGTACCCTAGTGTATACTAGTAGGGGAACCCAAGGCTCCACCCTTGTCCTGGTTTGGAGACGGGCTCGGCGTGGCTCCCATGTCCAAAGACAGGGTTCAAATCCACCAATCCAAACCGCGATTCATGGGATACCTGATTGCTGAAATAGGGAATCGTAGAGGTTTTGAGGAACCCGGAAGGGTCCCAACGAAACCAGATGCAATGTTTTAAGCAAACAGGGGGGGAAAGAAAACGGGATCATTTCCTCATTCCCCGAGAACCAGCAACAAAATCAAAAATATTGGTTTTACTCCCGCTTTTAGGCAGGTTTAGTGGGGGGGTTGGGGTTTGCTTAGGGCTTGCTTAGGGTTGGTTTGAGGTCGACTTATTAGGGATGGCTTTTTGTTTGTTTAGTGCCGGCTTGGGATTGGTTTGGGCTGGAGTTAGGGTGGGTTTTGAGATTGGCTTAGGGTGGTTTTAGAGTGGGTGGGGTTAGAGTTGGGCTCGGGATAGTTTATTGCTGGTTTAGAGGGGTCATTGGGGGCCGGTTTAAGGTTTCTTTAGGGCTTCTTTAGCGTTGGCTGGCTTGGTTTTAGGCTGGTTCTCATGTTAGTCGCGGTTTAGGGTGGGTTTAGTGGTGGTTTAGGGTTGGTTTGGTGTAGGGCTCGAAACGTGGGTTTAGGGTGGGCTTTGGGTTCTTTAGGGTTCCTTCAGGGGTTTGGGTTTGCCCTTTCAGATCATCACGGCCCTAAAAAGAAGTGAAGCCGAACAACGGACCCAACAAGAAGAGGTACACAAGTACAAACAAGCATCACCAAGAAGCGGGGGGCGGGGGGGCGTTTCGGGTGGCGACTCCCGTTAGAAAACAAATAAAGATATGAATGGAGAAAGTGCGCGATTACAATAAGGATCGCAAAGCCGAAAATAGCCCTAAAAGAACGGCCCCCAAATAAATGAAGACGCTAATGGACAAAGCGCGCGATTTCAAGCCAGCGTCACAAAGCCGAACAACGGCCCTACGTAAAGAAGCGGGGGCACGAATGAAGAACGCGCGCATTTACAACCAAGGTGCAAGAAGCCAAAACGACAGGAACCTGGCGGCCAAAAAGCCAAAAAAGCCGCAAAGCCGGCTCGGAGGAAAACACAAATCAGAACAGAAAAACATCCTTAAACAAATCGCCCTCCAAAGATAAACCCCTCTGTGGGTGTGTCTTTCTTAGGGAATGCGCCGACTGAAAACCCGTGACAATCTGGGTTGGTAAACGTGGAGGCACCCCCAAACAGCCACACAGACAGACAGACAGACAGACAGACAGACAGACACACAGACACACAGACACACAGACAGACAGACAGACAGACAGACAGACAGACAGACAGACAGACAAACAAACCTCAGAAACCAACAGGTGGGTTCCCCTCGCATTTGATTGATCCCGGGTTGCTATGCGCCTGTGGCACCTCGATCAGCTCCTCCAACTGCCAGTCAGAATCGTGGCGGTGCCTCGTGAAGAGACATAGAAACCATTACTGTATACCTTGGTTCACGTTGGAAGGGGAGCAAAAAAATACATTTTAGCAGTTAAGTGGGGATTCCTCACTAAACCACAATAAGCAAAAATGTAAAATGAACAACAACCATGACACCAGCATAGATCCCATTAGAGGTTGGATTTCTTATGGCTTTCAACTGTCTGGGGAATTAATCTCTAAATGATGGTTCAAAGGGAAACCAACCCAAGAAGCAATTCTGAGACAACCTCTACATGCTCACACCATTCGCCCCTTTGCGCCCCTTTGCGAACCCTTCGCGCGACTGCCAGCTCACTGTGGACCCGCACCTGCGAATCTCCTTGTATCCGTCGAGCTTCCTGGAGCGATGTTCAACCTGAGTCCTCTTGACTCTGGCTGATTGAAGCAACTCGGAACCATTGGGGAGCCTGATCTTGCCGGCCCAAGTCTCAGCCTGGGTTGCGGTGGAGAAAAAAGGAATCGGAAGTCTTCCAAACAACCCCATCTGACTTAAGCTGAGTAGGTAGTGTATACCCGACAAGGCCTGGGCGTGAAAGCAACAAGCCAGAAAAAAGCGATCCGTAGGCCTGGAAAAAAAACGGATGGTGCAACACTAAGCAGGTTGAACATCCCAGGTTGCGATCACCCACTGTGCAAAACATGGCTCGGAGCCTCTGCCCAAAGGGCTCCAAAGTCTCCCTGCCTCTTGTCAAGAGCCCCAAACCTATCCATTGGTTCAATCTCGTTTTTGGGGGACCTCCTCTTTGGGTCCCAGGTTGATCTGGGGGGAGTATCTATTGAGTTAAGTGTGCGTACGACTTGAATCGTGCCCTGATTCATGAATCCCTTCTGTTTTGCGTGGGAGGGTTCCCTAGATCCCTACCAAGGGAAACTCACCTTAAACGGGCAAACAAGGTGATTCAACAACCAAAAAGCTGCTTAAAGCCACCAACAAAGGTGTTTAATTAAAACCATCAAAACCACCTGTTTCGGGGAAATACATTATGACCTACGCTGTCAGCCTACCTGGTGTTTTCCTGATGATGTTTGCTTTGTGGTTTCAGCACGATTGTTTTTGTTTGCTTTTATTATTAACATATACGATTTCAATAAGATGTCCGCAACATTCATGATACATTTACCTTTTTTTGCACGTTAAGCCCCCTCCACTCCAAATAATGTGGTCGTTTCCGATGTTGGCTAAATCTACGTGCTTTTGCGTTTGACTCACGTTGCTATGTTGTGCTCCTCGTTCCTTTTACGACTTCCCGTGACTCACCCAGGAGGTCCGACGGACCCCCGGGCTGGCGGCTTGCGGGCGCCTCTTGGCTTCTTCCGTGAGCCGCAGCAGGGGGATCACCACGAAGAAGTTGTCATTGTACTTCCGCACCTCGCGCGACGCGAGAAAGAAAAAATGTTTAGCCGTGGGGCGAGAAAGCCGGAAAATTCCAAAACTACCCCCGGGGGTCGGACATGCTGAGAACCAAATGCTTGGTGGACATAAACCCACACACGAATAATGTCCACCACAAAATGGCTGTGGCTCAAAAAGCCGGAAAATTCAAAAATGGGTTGTCCTGGTGAGTGGAAACATGGACCAAAACCTGCGGTTTGCCGCTCCTGTTTCATTTGAGCCACCCATCGCCCGAGTCGAAATGAAAACATCGAAGCCCCTCCCTGCGATCCAGCAATCTAAACACCACCAACTGATGGCACCCCCAAATCAGCAATCCAAACCAACTGAGGGAAACCTAATGCTACATGGCGCCCCCAAACCTGCAATCTAAAAACCACCAACTAAGGGAATCCTGATACGTGGTTGTCAAACCCAAGATTGTCTCACTCAAAATGGGCCCGGGTCGACCGGAAGAAAACCAACCCAGATTGCCCAGTTTCTCGCATGAATGAAATGGATGAAACAGCTGGAAACCTGAAAAACAACATGACCCACCTGCTTTGTCGTGAGAGGGATTCCCTTGTCACAGAAAATGGCCTACCCTCCATCCAAGTGACATCCTCAAGAAATGGTTCTCTCGTGGTGGCACAAGGGAAACTACCCCCCCCGGAACGGACATTTTGAGAACCACCTCGAAAAACCCAGTAGAACGTCAAGAGATACTTCGGGCGCCTTGCTCGAATAGCGAATCTGTGTGCACCAATGGCCATGGGTCAAAATCCAAATCGGTTACCCCCCAGTGAACATCCGAATCCAACCGCTAAAATAGGTTCTAAAATGGGCTGTGAATTCACCTACCCCAAAATGGTACCATTGGTTTTGACCCACTGTGCACAAATGATTGCGATTGGCCATTCCCAGATTTTGTCGGAATTCACGGGTGGAATCAATCGTTCATTTCGCCCCCGAACTGTGGACTTCCATTTGCTTAAGTTTTCTCGTGTTTTATTTTCCCCTGCTGGTTTTCAGAGGGGAATCTATCACTACTGGAAACATTTTTCATTTTCTCCTGGGGACTCTAAACGCAAATGAGTCATAATCAAAACCTGGTACTAAAATGGTCCACCCAGAACCATGTAACCAATTAAGAAGGCGGCTGCAGCTATTTATGGTTGGGATTGTCCCTTACTAACCTTCATCTACCCAGGTTTTGATTGTGGCTCAAATGGAGGTCGAGCTCGCAGTTTGCCAATCTTCCCAGGGCTTCACTGGAGCCACGCGGCCTCCTTGTCCCTTCCACCAAGTCCCCCCCCCCAAAAAAAAGAGAAAGAAGCCGGAAAAAGGCGGAGAGGCCCACCCAAAAAAGCAAAGAAGCCGGTGGGAAAAAACTTGGTTGCTGTTGACCCCCCTGCTAAAAGTTTAACTTTTAGTGGTTTAGTGGAAAACCCATTAGTTGGCAAAAAGTTAAAGTCCTAACATCCCTTGGCAAAATGCACCAAAGAAAAGCCTGCGGGAAAAAACAGATGTCCACAAAAACACCATCCCAAGCTTTCCGGACCCAAGGCGAAGGAACTCCGCCTGGGCCCCCTGAGGCTTTTTTCCATCCCTCACCCCCAGAAGCTTAGCTCGGGAACCCCCCCCCCAAAAAAAAAAAAAAAACATGAAAAAAACAGAAAAACAACTAACAAACAAAAAAAACTGCTAAACATCTAAAAAAGAACCTAACAACCCCCGCCAAAAAAAACAAAAACAAAAAAACGGGCGAAGCTTAGCTCCAGCTCGCTTCTCACCTCCCAAGCCCCGAAGCGGTTCTGCCCGGGGCGTCCGGCCATCGGCACCAGCTGCTGCTCCAGCTGGATGGTGTCCTCCACCTCGCCGCTGCCAACGCGCGCGCGCGGGTCGGGTCGCGTTTGCTTTCTTCGTTGCCTGGTTGTTTTGAGTCTTGAGTTTTTTTTTGGGGGGGGGCTTGGGGTTTGAGTTGCGTTTTCTTCTGTTTTTTGGGTTTTGAGTTTTGAGTTTTGAGTTGTTTTTTTGGGTTTTTTGGTGTTTGGTGTTTGGGGTTCTTTTTTTTTGGATTTTTTGGAGTGCTTTCCTTTTTGGGATCGAAAGCGACGCAGAAGCTTCGGAGTTTTTCCTTCAAATGGGACCCAGCCGTTCCCAAAAAGCTCTCCAAATGGGCGAGAGCCCCTCGGAGGGGTTCTTTTCGTGGTCGTCCCTTAAGAGCAACTCATGGGGGCCATGACTTTTGGGTCAAAGGGGGTGTTGAGTTGGTAGCTAAATGGACATGTTTAGGGTCCACATCCGATTTGGACAAGGAGTATGCAAAACTGGGAGTTGAGGCAATAGAACAAACCAAAGTCGTTTCCAAGTTGGAGCCAAAAACACATCGAGCTTCATTTTGTCAGGGATCCTTTCAAAAAAGTTGGCAAACATATGAGAAGAATAGGAGAAACAATAATAGAGGATGAACCGTTGGGTGTCTTCAGGGGGCAAGCGCGTCCCTTTGGTTTGTTGGGGGGGATGCACAAGCAAGCCAAACGACATAATTTGAAGCGTCCTTTCTTCCTGTTGAAACAAGCAGGACACATCCCAAAAAGTCCCTTTCTTAAAGAAGATCTCCTCTTGGAAGGTGTACCCATGGAGTCTCTTCACACATAAGAGGGGCTGGTCACCTGAAATCAACGATTCGAGGAGCTGAATTCACCAGGGGTTGAGGCTCACCCCGCCTCAATTTTGTCAATTGGCCCACGACCTACTGTGGATGGACGAGATCCATTTCGCACCACCTAAGAGACCCTGGAATGATCATTCCCCTGTAAATACCAGCAAATAATTGCCATGGGTCAAAATCCCGTACCCCCCAGTGAACATCCCAACCCCCACTAAAATAGGTGTTAAAATGGGTGGTGAACGCACCTACCAACAAAATGGGATCCCAAAACGGTTTTGACCCACAGCCAATGGTTTCAACCATGGCTTCTGAGGTGGCGCGATTTCTGGATTTCGCCACCATCCACAGTACCTCCGCCAAGTTTTCATGTTCATTGCTACCTCCGGGAAGATTTCTCATGGGGTTTCCAAAAATGAGATGGTCTGACAGCAAGTTTACATGGAAACCAGTGGCCATGGGGAAGAAAGGGCATCCTTTTTTGGTTGGTTGAGGTTAAAGGGGATACAAAAAAGGAAAAAAGGGCGGAATCCACTGGGCAACTAGGTATGAGAGCTTAAGCGCGCTTGCCAAACTTCCTGTTGGCAAGGTTGGCCCTACTGTGGATGGACGAAATCCATTTCCCACCACCTAAGAGACCCTGGAATGCTCATTGCAGGGTAAATTAAATAACAGCAAACAACTGGTTTCACAACAGGGATCCTTACATTATACACCTGAACATTGCAGCTTGTAAATGGTGGTTTCCAACTTTATTTCGGTGTTGAAAACGGATTTCTTTTAATGAGCCCTGGTTCAGGAGCCCTGGGATGCTGATTCCCCAACGTAAATACCAACAAACAAATAGTTGCAACCCTGTTCAACCATGGCTTCTGAACGGTGCAATTTCGGATTTCGCCATCGAGCTACGACCCGAGGACCCCACGGGCAACGGATGCAGCTGGTACTTCACCGCCAGACGCAGAATCGTGGGGCGCTCCACCCGCGCGCAGTGCACCTCGTGGAGGAAATCGGGGAGCGGTTTTTGGTCCGACCCGAACCGTTTATTTATTTATTTGTTTAAACGTTTTTGCGTTTTTGTTTTCCCCCTTTTTTCTGAAGGTGGTGGTGGTGGTGGTGGTGGTGGTGGTGGTGGTGGTGGTGGTGGTGGTGGTGGTGGTGGTGGTGGTGGTGGTGGTGGTGGTGGTGGTGGTGATGATGATGATGATGATGATGATGATGATGATGATGATGATGCATTTGTGCTGGTCCTTCCTGAAGAAAACAGACGGTGGTGGTGGTGGTGATGATGATGATGATGATGATGATCATGATGAGGAATGAGGAAGGATGAGAATGAGGGTGAGGATGAGGATGAGGATGCTCAGGATAACGAGGAAGAGGAGGAGGAGGAGGAGGAGGAGGAGGAGGAGCAAGATGCTGGCAATGCCATGTCGGTAGCGGTAGCGATGGAGTTTCTGCTGTGGCTGCTGTTTCGGCCGATTTGTGCAAGCACGCCGCTGGCTCTCGCCACGTCTGGCATGCCAGAAAAACTTCGAAGAAGCAACAACTAGGTCCTCCAGTAGAGAGGTTGGAATAAGGGTACCGTTTCTTTCTGTAGTCTATTTTAGCAGGGGAACCCTCCCCCGAGAAAAAGGAAACGGTGAGAGGTCGGGCACCTAGCTGGAAGACCTAGACAAAGCGCAAAAGGCTAGGGATCGGACCCAGCGCATTTTCATGTAGGGCTTGCGGTGGGTCAAGAACATGTCCTCGGCAATGCGAGGCCCAGGGGCCCTGCGCCAGGCCCGCGGTGAAGGGCTGAAGGCTATCATACAACCCCTATGAGTGTGACCCTTCTCAGGCGGGTCTAAAGGGAAAACACGGGGGCGGGGGGGGGGGGGGGGAAAAACAGTTTGGGAGGTCCTTATGCTACCAGTATAACCGGGTAGAATTTATAAGAGTACCAGAAGAGTGCATGTTGCCATGGGTCAACATCCCGAACCCCCCACGGCCATGTCAATGATCCATCTATGGCACCAAGTGACACGCTACGTCAAGCCAAGCATCCATCGGCCTGGACGGCCTGCGCGCGCCCGAGAAGGTTGCTCTTGTTGGCGACTTTGCGTCTGAAACCGTTGATTTTAGCTTAAAACTAAATCAAACTGTAGGAGCCAGAGTTGGTCGCAACTTGGGACAAAAGAAGGGTTGGTTGCCTTAGAATGCGAAAATATACAGGACTCCAAGCTTTTGCGCGGATTCTCCTTTGCCGGAAAAAAAACCTCCACCCCAAACAAGGTTTCGAACTCCCAAACAATACCCAGAACCGTTTTCTGCCGCATAGGAAGGCTTGTTCCACAACAGCACTTGCCCGGCCTTTGAAAGTAGCTCTCCTCGATCTTCCGCGGACACCAGTCGATGACGCCAGTGAATCCTGTCTCCTGCGAATCATGCGACGTGTAAACAGACAAAAATGCAAGGGGTGGTGCTTGCCAATACGGAATCCGTGAAGCAAACCTAAAATTGCGTTTGACACCATACATGTGTGTGTGTGTGTCACGGTCAAAACTCCGTGTGGGAGCCATGATCATGGTTTGCTCAACCGGAAACTTTGTGATGGCGCTCTAAAATCCATCCCCTACAATCTCCAGCTGAAAGGATGCTTTGACCATGTCAGCTCCAAATGCCGCAGCCATAGTCATAAAGCAAGTAGTTGCCCATAACATCTGCAAGGGGTTTGCGTGGGTTGGGGTGGCGTGATGATGATTATTTTTGGTGCCGCAACAAACCACGCCCAGCGAAACGCACGCCGAGCACCATGGTCGGGGCTGGGCTGGGGTTGGGGTGATGATGACACACAATCTTCTGTGGCTGTTTTCCGCAGTCTGAGCATCCGGGCTTGGCAGCGAACATATGGACCAGAGGAGCATGTTCGTAAACATCTCTACTCTTGGTATGGTAGCGAAAAACTTTGCTTTTTGCAGACCCCCAGTAAAAATGAACAGAACCAAAAAACTAAAAACCCAAAAAAGATGCCAAGAACAGTGAAGTAAAGCATACGGTTGTCCATGAAAGTATGTCAATGGCCCTGGTGCAGACGATTTTGACCGGGGAGTTGGAACATCTTGGTCAAGCATGTGCTTGGAATGCAAAAGGCGTCAAACCAAGCTTGTTGCCGGTTTTCCACATTCAGAATGAGACGACACTCTACTTTCAAGAGCATCACATGTGCATGTCCTGCATCACATAGGGGCCTCGAGGCGTCGTACTGGTTGGGAACAAGTTGAAACCCTACATCTTACCGCAATTCGACTGGGCTTTGTGTTCAGCTATGTTTGGCCTACTTGCAAAACACTACATCACTGAATCACCCCGCGCTAAAGTTTGAGGCCAAACGGAAAACCGCCATTTTGGGATCCCTCCATCTTGACACAAACCCACCATGTTCTAACCCCAACATGGAAGGGCGCCACCAGCGCCTTCATTTGCCACTCCAGTCCTTCGGCAAGTCCGCCACCTGGCCTGTCACCTGGCGGGGTGCGTGCTGTGGGGGATGGGCTTTTGGCGGGAGGGAACCAGTTGCAACTGAAGACCCTGGAAAGTCTGTGTGTGCGTGTGATCCTGGGGGACAACTGGACCCCTCATTTAGATGGCTTCTCAGGGCGCCGGCTTGAAGCCTTTGCCTTTAGAAACCATCTCAAGAGTCTTTGTTGCAAACAATGGGTATCAACACCCAAACAGGCATGGTGTTGTTCTTTTATTCTCCACCCAAACATGGCCCTCCCCTCCCCGCCAAAAAAACAATAAAAAGAAAGAAAAAAAACAGATTTCCGATGTGTCACCCTCCCATGAAAGTGAATGCTGGGCTTCTTGAGAAGGACTTGGTCTTCCAGAACCCAATCGTCAGCGTCCACTGTTAAAAGGGTTGAGTCCCCATTTTCCAAACAGTGGGTTTCCATCGGACCCCCCCAACAAAAAAAAAGAAAAACAAAAAAGAAGAACAAACGCTGGTCTGGTGGCAAAAAAGTCATGAGTGAAATGACCCAACTATTTTTCCAGGAGCCCTGCCCTCATGCGGGGAGATCCTTTTGGGCCTGGGGGTTTGACCAGGCGCCAAAAGGCTTTCGTCTCCTTTCGGAATCCCCAAAGAGGGGCATCTGAAGGCGAGCATCTGCGGATTTCGTCATGTGCACGACTGGCCGCTCCAAAAAAAAAACTTCTAACCGGAAGAACAAAAGAACCTTCTCGCCGGATTCTTGCACCTGCTCGTACAAAAAAAACACACTGCACATGCTTGCTCAATCCGCCGGCGCGGCGGCGGATTCCCACTCCAAACTTCCACAGAGCCTCAATCGGCGGAGCCGTTGAGCTCGCTGGCAATAGGGAAGCAACCAAAGCCCCCCCCCCCCCCGCAACTCAGCAAAGGTGCTAGGTTCTTAGAAGGGGTTCTCACAAGTATTCTGAGAACCACGTTGGTGGGCGGGGGCTCTCATGGGTGGGGGGTGTCACTACTCACTACCCTAACTGGCAGTTACTGATAGTATGTAGGTTTGTCCCATTTATAACCAAACCTAGGCTGGAATTACGACCCCAGCAAAAAGATATGTTTTTTTGCCTGGTTAGTGGAAAACAAAAGGGATCCCAAAAAAGCAAAAAAAGCAAAAAGATGATTCTGGGGGAGAAACCACGAGGCCAAGTGTGCTTTCAAACTCAGGGTTGCTCCGAAATCCCTGAAAGAGTAGAATCGGCAGAAACGTGGTACATGGTACACATGGAAACCAGGGAAACCAGGGAAAGAAGTTCGCCAAATGTCTTCCCATGTGGTCACCGGCGTTGCCCATCGATTCGCAAGGCTGCCTCCACTACATGCCACTTCAATTGAAGTGGCGCACAACATATTTAGCCACGAACGGGTGCTTGTTCTGCTAATGGTAGCCCAGCAGTTGGGTAAAGCGGTGTCTGGTTGAGCGTTTGCTTGGTCTTCGCTAAGGACGAGGATCCTGTTGCCCTTGCCGCCCATTGCCCCACCATGCCAGCCGCCATTTCGTGCCGCGCGGAGCGGGAAACAAATGAGATTACGGTCAAAACCAAAAGGATGCCTAGGTCCTCCAGTAGAGAGGTTAGAATAAGGGTACCATTTTTTCCTGTAGTCTATTTTAGTAGGGGAACCCTCCCAACCAAAAAGGGTACAAGGGCACCAATTGCTGGGGGACCTAGATGTATTGTCCCTACTGGAGGGTGGACGATCAGTTTTCATCTTGAAGGGACCCGGTCGCCTTTCAAGATGCAAATTCTCTACCGTACGTCCACAACCTGAACGGAATTCCCAGGCAAAGGACCGTTCTTCCCACTCAGTGAGCTCCGATGTTGGAACTGCCAAGAAAATTTTACTCCACAGATCAACATGGAACCCCCCAAAAAAACTGAACGAACCGTGAAATTCCGAGTGGGCACATCATGACGATTGGAGCAACATGAGGTTCACTTTTTTGGAACCCCCTTTGCTCGGTTACTTTCTGCTCTCACTTTTTGTGGCTGAATAGAAAACCCACTAACATCCCTTGGCAAAATGCACCAAAGTAAGCTTCCATTTGATTTCTGGCCCACCCCCAAGCCAAAGTTTGGGTTCCTCGTCTTTGGGAGGGAAACAACCCCAGTTTCTGACCTTGATACACCTACCAGAAACCCTCACAGCCGGAAGCTCCCAGAAAGCCTCTGATGGAATTCCAAGTCTTTCAAAGGGCTCCGTTCATTCGCTTCCGGCTAGACTGGGGTTAAGACTCTAGGCTCTCGTGGCCAACTTCCAGGGGGCCTCAGCTGAACCCCGGCCTCTGGCGATCCGGGGATCGAGCCCGGGGATCGGGGTTCGGGGCTCCGGGCAGGTGCAGCTTCAGGTGCCGCAGCACCGCGTGGAAGCGCTGCAAATCCACCGCCTGGGCACGGAGCCCACGGAGAACTTTGACTTTGACCCAACCTAGAATCATAATTTTGAGACCAAACCTATGACTCACATGGTCGCTAGGTCCTCCAGAGAGGTTAGAATAAGGGTAACTTTTTTCTCCAGTCTATTTTAGTAGGGGAACCCTCCCCCAAAAAGGGGTAAACGGGCAATACTGGGGGACCTAGGTCACATCAAATAATTTTGAGACCAAACCGATCAGAGAACTTTGAGACCAAGCCGATGACTCATATAGTCACATCAGATAATTGTGAGACCAAATCTCCCATGACTCATACGGATGTGTGTGGGCATGTCTTTTGGAGGCTCGGTACAGGTTTTGGTTGATCTGAAAGGGAAGCCGAAGCCGTGTTTGGTTCCCGCTGCCCCCGCACCCCCGGTTTAGTTGGTATTTGAAAGGAAACCAACCAAAAATTTGGGACTCCTATTGAGAAGCACCCGAATGGATTTGGACGTCCTAAAATGGAGGGGCCCTTTTTTGGGGATGGTGTTTGAAGGACAATCAAAAGGACACCAGCCATTTTGGGATCTAAGTAGTTGTGAATCGGACATTTCCAAAAGTGGTTGGTGGACACAAGTTCAACAACCTAAATGATGAGTTGCTTGATCGGCGACTTCACAGCCTACCCCATCCACAAAGCCAAGTACTCTCTGGGGTCCACAAACTGAGATTTATGCCCTCCGGGTGTGTCTCATGGGGCTATGATTACTATGTCCCAAGATAGGCTTCTTTTCTTCCGTGATGCCCTAAAATACGAGCGGTTAAAACGCATGCCCCTTTTCAGTGATGCTGCGGAAGGTATTTAAAAAGAAGTAGCAGCGTGGGTATGGCTGCATGCTTTCTTGAGGGTACCTTGTTCGGCATTAAAGGCCGATCAAAAGCACGATTTGGGGTTTCCGCCCAATTTGACAAACTCACATGTTCTTGGTGGATATCATTAAGGATATACAACAACAAAGGAATCTGCCGTCCCCCAAGTTCTTCCGGAACCAACAGTACTCTCAGTTGCTCATACGCAGCAATGGCACATATGGGGTCAAGATCATGGACCACTTGAAAGGCAGACCCAAATGACGAGGAGGGCACACTGTGAGGCACTTGTGACATCCCATTTGCCTCCATCACCCCCCGGCTTTTTGGGACTTGCCCTGGAAACCAACAATGGAAGTGCAGTTTTCTGCTCGGCGCCATACTGACAGCTGTCCGTGGACGAGACAAAAAAACTGCACCCCCCCCCCCCCCAAAAAAATAATAATAAAAAAGCAGAAAAAAGAACACCAACCGCCCCTCGCTCGCCCCAAACGCCCGCCAAAACCGCTCCCGAACAATTCGGCCGGTTGTTGGCTCCCCGCTCCCCGCGCCTCGCTGCCGATGGCTTCCCAGAGCTGCTGGAACTCGTGGCAGTGCTCGAGGTTCCAAAAGCCTTGCTGCTCCAAAGCCTCACGGCAGACGACGAGATCTCGGTCTCGGAGTGGGAGTCATGTTTTGAGGGGACGACCGGAGACGAGCCGCGGTGGATTTTTGGGGTACCGGGTACCGGAAAGGTTTTTGGGGAAAATGAAGGCTCGTCCCTTATCAGTTGTTGTGGATTGATTTTAGGGCTTGGCCGCCTTTGTTCCATGATTTCGACCGAACATCTGTGTACGAAAGGGACCGGCTGCACATCAAACATACACCCACGGCGTTCATATTTGGCTGTGGGACATTTGGAAGCAAAGCAACGCTTTCCGTCCAGCGCGCATGCCACGAAACAGGTCTTAGCTAGCCGGCACAAGGCGGTCAGTTCATGCGTCCAAAGAGAATGCGAGCTCATTCTCCCCACTCTGAAGTCACAGTGTCTGACAAAGCAGCTGCTACTGTTTAGGGACGACATCCTGCGCCACCTGAGAAGCCATGGCATAAGGATTTTCCTGTAACTACCAACAAACAAATGGTTGCTTCTGGGTTCAATCTGGTGTAGGATTGCGTCCATCCACAGTACCGCGACCACAGCCTCGATGGAAAATCAACACATCGATCCTTCCCCAGAGCAGCTCCCACGCCCCTGGTCCCTCGAAACACCAAAAGCACCAATGCTATGCTCACGAGCAAAACGCCATCCATGCGCCCGTTCCCCATCAAAGTCAAGGCCCTCCGAAAACCCCCGAAAACGCGCAGCCCAGAAAAGAAACGACCGACTATCAAATGGCAAAACGCACGGCCAAACAGGAACGTCTCCACAAACCAAACTCTGCGGATGCCCTCACTGGATGTGCCGTGGTCTCAAATTCCTTGTGTGGGTCCATGCCAGAATGACCCGTGCAAAAGTTGGTGGTCTAAAATCCAGCAGGCTGTATGATGCACACCTTGCTGCACGGCTCTGCCTTGAGCAGCTGGGCCCTTGTCATGGTCGGCTCCTCCATGGAATTCCTGGAGAGAAAGTCGGCTGAAAAGGTGATACACACTCAGCAAACATGAGTCGCAATCAAAACCCGGTATTAAAATGGTCTACCCAGAACCATGCTTCAAGAATTTACAAGGCGGATATCCGCAGCTATTTCTGGTTAGGATCGTCCCTTACTAAACTTCATCTACCGGGGCTTTGATTGTGACTCACATGGAACGCGCCGGAGGAAAATGGCCCAAGCGTCACGGCTCACTTTTGGAAGACCACTTTCCTCTCGGAAAAGGGTCCTGTGTACCACGCCATTTTTGGTGGGAATGCCATGGCGTGAGAAAAAAGAACCCAAACTCTGCCAACCAGAACTTGCAGGCCCATGAGCCAACTCATGGTCAAACCTGCCATGAGGTTTACGTTGTCATCGCTTCGCATAGAACCTCTTGCAATGGTTGTCAGCCCGAAGAGGTCGATGACCATCCCCAGCAACCCCAAAGCGAGTGTCTATGCAACTTACTACACGCAATGGGAGAGGGTTCTGAAAATAGGGGTTCCCAAAAATTGTTGGTGTCCGTTCCCTTTGAACACCAACCCAAAGGGTCGACTTTTCCGAAGTTTTGACAAACACCCAAATCACCTCAGGGGTTTTGATACAAACCAAATTGCTCCAAAGATCCAAAGCTAGAAATGTTTGGCCACGGTCGTGTGAACCTGAAGCAAGCCAGCACCAAGGTTCAATGTTGACCATCTTAGAGAGTGAGCCTGGGAGAAAAAGGGAAGCCCTTCTGGGTGAGTTCCATTTGTCACCTAAAAGGGACATCTCCGAACAACCGGGCGGGTGCATCGGAGCGATCCCGTGGGAAGAATGGACCCTGGCGGCTTCTCAGGGTGGCTTTTGAAGTCTACCTTTAGAAACTGAATAACCGGAATACAAAGCACCAACATCTAACAGGCAAGCTCTAAACCTAACCTACCCCCCAGCTGGAAGGGTCAGACTTCCCCTTGCCACCACACGACTGGACCAAGCGCGGGGGAAAATTTGATACACAAAAGGGGGGGCGGAGGGAGGGAAGGAGCTTCCAAAACCAAAAGGATGGCCACTGTCCTCAGCGTGGCTTCCATTTCCATTCTTAACCCAGCCATCCGGATCTCTCTGGAAAACCACCAAAAACCCCGGGAATAAGGGTGCAAAATTTCAAACAACAGGTGCTATCAGAGTATAGACACCGTCCATTTCCATTCTTTCCAGGGATTCGGATCTCTCTAGAAAACCACCAAACACCCCTGGGAAAACAGCGATCGGTTTTTGAAAACAACGATAATTGAACTGCGACCCACCGGTGTGGGGTCTTTCCCCCCTATTTGGGGCTCTGGCAACGAGGCGCTCCGCTGGCGTGTGAACGACGAAGGCGGGTGCCTCAGGCGGAAAAAACTCTCTGGCCATGAGCAGAGTTCCTTTACTCGGTTGATGTTGGTACCAAAATAGGGAACATCTACAGGTGTTAAAATAGCCTAGGTCCTCCAGATTTGAGCGGAGTCAGAACAAGTTGGGACCCACTTTGTTCGGTAGAACTTTTTTAAAGGGGAACCCTCCCAACCAAAAACGGGGTGAGGAAGGGCACCTGGCTGGGGGACCTAGGCAGAGTTCCCCAAATTTCTTGCCCAGAGGGTCCATTTCCAGGGGCATGGCACTGGCACTTGAGCGTGGGTAGCCAACTACGCAGACACAGCTCGTCCTTCTCTGCGAGCAAGCTGCGGCACCACGTCTGAAAGATCGCCCGTGGTCAGGCGCCTGGAACGCGCAATGGACATCACATACCCCTGCGCAGGTACAGGAGTTGGACATGTCCTTTGTTTCAATTTCCACGCGAGTACAAGAACTTCCCTGCAAAATGATCGCACCAAGCCAAAAAAAGCTGCCGACTCCAGTTGAACGGCGCGTACGTGTCGCTGTTTGGCCACGAGTTCGCGTGGCGCGCACTGTGGACGGCGCATGATGGCGCCGAGCGTCTGAGGACGGCTCTTTGCGCCCGCAAAGTGAGTGCACATGGGTGTGTCTCAGTAGAGGCAGGCACAAAAGGGGTGGTGTCCCGATGTCCCTTCTGGTTTCCTTTAAAATACACCCAACCAGGGTTCCACTTTCTGACTATCCCAAGATAGACTTAAACCCAGGGGTTCTCCTTTTGGGAGGAATGAACCATCCCTGGGTTTAAGTCTATCTTGGGGTAGTCAAAAAGTGGAACCCTGCACCCAACAAGTCAAGACACACCCATCTTGCGTGCTGGAGTAAATCTCAAAGCCAAGCTCCCTCGAGCTCCGCGAGCATCGTCGCCCTAAGAGTACAACTGGGCAGCGTGCAGTCTAGCATCGAGGGAGGGTTCTATGAAGTACGCGTGGGTTGCTTCGCTCCAAGACTCATGCAACCAAAAGCCTTTAGAGCGATTTTGAGTGTTGGTGATCCTTGATGTCACATCTCACAGAGTTCTCACCAAAACACCCAGAAACACTAAACCGCATGTTGCCGCCGTGTGCTACTTTCCAGCCCCAGCCTTTCCAACAAAACAGGGATCCTTACATTATACACCTGAACATTGCCACTTGTAAATGGAGGTGTCCAACTTTATTTCGGTGTTGAAAAAGCAACATGTTTCAAATGGTTGCAAAATGGAGATTTCTTTTGAGGAGCCCTGTAAGAATAACGCCACAAAGTCCGGGCGACACCTCTGACACGGCGCGCACGGCTTGCCTTCTTCAAGTTTGCCGGAATCTGGCAAGGACTGGCGTGGTGCGATTGGGATGAGAAATGGAATGAACCAGGGATTCCCTCAAAGGAAGGCCACAGGTGATGGCTTGATAGGGGTCATTCCGTTTTTCATTCCCTACTGAGCACCTGCAAGGACGTGACTTAACAACTCACATGGCCGTGGGTCAAAACCCTGTACCCCTTGGTGAACCTCAAAATAGGGTGGTACATGTTTATTCATCCGCCCCCAAAAATGGAGGCATAGGTTATGACCCATGGCCACATGTTTCGTGGAACCAGGGGGGTTGTTTGAACAGCAGCTGTCTGCTGGGTGCTCAGCTAGGCCCTCAGCAGAGCTTCTGCAGGTCCATGACCTCCGTGAGGAAATTCATCACCACGGGCCGAAGCTGGGCGCCTCAAGACGAATTTTGTCCAGACAGCTTTTTCAGACTCAGTGGCTTTCTGCTCCCCTGCTAAAAGTTTAACTTTTAGTGGTTTGATACCGAAAACCCAGTAGTTGGCAAGAGGTTAAAGTCCTAACATCCCTTGGCAAAATGCACCAAAGGCTTCAGAGTTCCCTTTTCAATACATGGGCCACCGCACACCCCATGCCATGTTTTCCACTTGGACGTTTAGAGACCCCTGGGCTTCAGTCCAAGTCCGAAGCATAGGCTTTGAGGGTCCAGTCGAGTCTTGGGAGACTCCCCAAGGGCGAACAGCCTCTAGGAGTTGGTAAAAACTTAGGAACCCCGAATTCAAAAGGGTCTTTGAAGGGAAAACCAAAGGACATCGACCCATTTCTGAGGTCTATCTCCCTACACCTCCCCTTGACCCTTGCGATTATTTGTCCGGAAGCTGCCTTTCTTGCGGTGGTCATGGTGGTCCCCTTTTTCGAGGCTCGATGCTCTTTTGCTTGGGGGGCGATTGCAGGAATCCTCATGTCGTGCGGTGTTTGGGTCATTTTGAACTTCTCAAAGTCCTCGTCCCGAAGCCAAACAAATCCTAGCTCACACCCCTTTGGGATCCGAAACGTGTTCGAGCCGTGCACTGGTGGGGGCCTTATTGTGCGTGCGGAAGCCAAGTCCGCAGGATCCACGCTACCCCAAAATGAGCAAAATAAAAGGAGACCTGAGCAAAACGCAGGGCTTCTCAGGTCGCAAACTTGGTTGACCTTTTGGAAGGGGAGCAAAAAATCAAAATTTAGCAGTTAAGTGGGTGGAATTCCACCACTACACAACAATGAGCCAAAATGTGAAAACTGTTTCAAAGGGGTAGACGGGATCCCCATGTCGAGGCGCTGACGTCCAGCTCTGCCCCCGGACCCCAAGGCACGTGGACGCCCCCCGGCACCCAAACGATGCGGTTCACGAACTCCGGCATGCCCCTGGCCAGCAAATAGGTGTGGGTCATCACCTCGGCAACGCAGAAACTCTGTGGGTGTGGGTATGGCTCAAAATTAAAAAGCTGGGGCCAACCGCGGGTTTTAGTGTTTGGTTTCATTTACCAAGGTGCCATTTTGGTATTCCACTTTTTCGAGCCACAGCCGTGTGGGTGTGGGTGTGGGTGCAAGCTCGGCCAACGACCGGGGGGCACCGAACTGGGAGCCCAGGGGGAAAACCGGTTGAGTTGGGGTTGATCAACCATCAGAAAAGCCCCCGGGAGCAAAAACCAACTCGGGGGTCTTTGCTTTGGGATCAACCAAGAGGGAAGGTTTTTTTTTCGAAGGTGTTCTCATTGCAATGTTTGGGAGATACCTCCCTCGCCAGGAGACGGCCCCTGCGGTAGACGTCAGAAACACATTCGGAGTTTTGTCCACCAGCCATATTTGAGCGGGACTGATTGACCCTGGATCAACAAACCCGGCGGATTCCAGGAATCGTTGCGTGGTGTGCCCTCCGCAAAAGATCCGGAGACCCCTTGTGCATAGGAGACAGAGATTTACCCACCCCTGCTCGTGCTAAGTGGCTGGTTCTCGGTAGGGAGCTGACACATTGGAGATCAACTTATGGCTCTGGGTCTCTGGGTCAAAACCCATAGCAACCCCGGTGAACACCCAGACAGCCTTCTGAAAAGACAACAGAGTGGTCACCATCCCCATTTTGGGCACCTTAGGTTTTGACCCACAAGCGTATGAGTTGGACGGAACAATGCTTCGTGTCATTCTTTGGTGTGCTCCGAGAAGCTATCGAACCAGCAAGCCGAGGCACTGCCAGGAAGGGGAAGACAACATTGTCCATCTGCCCGTGGACGTTGAACCTGGACGAGCCCCCCCTTCCCGCAAGAAGTGGTTGAACCGCTTGCTGTTTGCTGCACGCTTTCTTGGTCGCAAAAGGTCGAACAAAAACGTGAGTTCTATGCCCCCAGCTTGCCGAAAAATCCAAGATAAAGGGCTTGACAAGTGCTCTTACCCTCAAGTTTGGGGTGGGCCATGCTGCTACACTCGGGTTTGGGGTGGGCCATGCTCTTACACTCGGGTTTGAGGTAAAAGTTGATTCAGTCGAGCCGGATGCAGCCACGGCACCAGGGCGTCACGTTGCGCTGCTGATTGGAGGGCGCGCCCACCAGGAAGGGCCACATGGTACTGGAGATCCCCACCGCAGCGCTGACGTTGGAGGGATAGCCCGGGCTGCCGCTGTCGCCCTCAACGAACTTTTAAGAGAGAGACCCCCGAAGTTGTGCGAGAAGCCGCGAAAAGCGGAGGTCTCCCTGTAGGTTCCCCTTACGGTTCCGGAAAAAAAAAAGCATCCTGGCACTCAACTGCAACTTCTTGAGAGCCCGAAACCTTCCAATGAATATTTTGACCCTCCTTTCTCGGTTGCGAAATCTGCTCCCCTGCTAAAAGTGACAAACTGTTAGTGTCTTAATAGAAAACCCATTAGGCAAAAAGTTAAAGTCCTAACATCCCTTGGCAAAATGCAACAAAGTTTCAAATGGCCCAATGGCAATTATCCCGCCAGTGTTCGCCCGCCTCGCTGCCCAACGAGTTCATGCCTTGGTCATACCAGGAGTTCCGTCTTTTCTGCCGCTGGAAAAACCGCTGGGTTGTGAAAAAAGACCGAAAAAAGACGGGGAATTCCACCCCTTTTGCTTGGTTCCAAATGAGCGGTGCCGAAAAGAGGGGTACATAAAACCCTCAACTAAACTCAACTAACTCCTTTCATATGGGCCATGGTTCAAAACCAATGGTACCATTTTGGGATAGGTGCACCACCCATTTTAACATGCACCTAGGTAAAGTGGCTGGATGAAAAAATGCTCACTGGATCCCAACCGCGTTTTTGGCCCATGGCCCTCTGGGTTTTTTGATGGTTTTTGGCCGCATGACCGCCACACCTCGCGCGGCCCCCTCGGCCCAGCGGCTGGTGGCGGTGATGCCCCCGGCGGACTCCCCCCACGCCACGATCCGCGAGGCGTCCACGCCGTAGAACTCCGCGCGCCGGGCGATGAACCGCACCGCGGCCTGCTTGACGTTGGGTTTGGGGAGCAAAAAAATATTTTTCTTTCGCAGTTCAGTGGGTGGGGATTTCCACCACTCAACCACCATAAGCAAAAAGCAATGCAGCCCTACGACACTTTTCCGGGTTTTCCTTCTAACAAGGGGTACCCTGAATGACCTTTATGTAAGGGGACCCCTCAAACAATGGCAAAAAGAGCCAAGCCCACGGGCCTTGGCGTCGTGCACCGCGGCGCGCACCGCCCCCGCCTGGGCGGAGAATAAATCCCCCGCGGTTTTCCCCGGCGCCGCCGCCGTAAAAACACAAAGGCGCGCCAAATGATAAGGGACACCCGGAGCGTGCAGAGCATAAAAACATGTGGGGGTGGGGGGGGGGGGGTGAGGGGGGGGGTACCAGATACCCAGAGACCTTATTTTAATACCAGATACCTAATGGCCTTCCATGGCTGTGAATGCCACATTCGGCGGGGGCGCTGCCCCGAAAGCAACCCCGGCTCCTTGGTGGCTGCAACGACCCCCCTGCCAAATAGTTGTTCATTTTAGGGTTTAGTACGGAAAACACCTTTACTTCAACCAAAAAGTGGAAGTCTAAAGATGCAACCCAATAGCGGTCAAGGTTCTTCGGACTATCTGATTGATGAGCTGCTTGGCTTGCCTTTCAGCCTTGTTGCTTCCCTTCAAAACCAAAAAGGGGGCGTTGCTACTTTCGTCCTTTCAGACGGCCCAAAACAGGCAAATCTTGGTCTAAACAACCTTTTCGCTTACCTCCCACCGTGTTCAACCATCTTCCCGGAAAAATGTGGAAGAAGAGTGCTAGTTGAAGCTCTGGGATGTATACCACCCAAACCTGTCAACCGAAAGCTGTGTTTCCCTTTGAACAGACATCAACAAAGTAGCCGAGGTGGTACTGCAAAGGGTAAACCACTTACACACATTACTAAGCTGAAACCCCAGCCCCTTTCCAATTATTTGGACCCTACAATCCTACAGTACTTCTAGTGCTACCTTCCGACAAGAACGATGGTTGGAAAGAATGGGCAATCAGCCCTTAGAGTACTTGACGCCTCTTGCAAAACAATCACTTTGTCACTCCCGACCTCCACGAGGTAATTGCTGCCCTCCAGGCGGTAGTCCATGCTGAATGCCACAAAGCCGGCATTCGCGAAGTGGCGCGCCTGGGCAGGACATGGGGTCGGCGGATTCCTTGTCCATTCTTTTCAGCCATCGTTCTTTTCAACAACCTCGCCATTTCCAACCCGGATCCGTTTGCCCTGGGTTTTTGCCGGTTTTCTAGAAAGATCCGGATCCCTGGGTTTAGAAATGGAAGTTACCCCTAGAAAGATCCTCGTGTCCTCCATTTTCGCGCGCCATTTAACTGCTCCAAAGGACTAACCCTAATTGGCTTCTACGTCCAATTGTCCAAATAGTCTCTGGTCGCTGGACCCCAGAAACTGGCAAAAAAAAGAAAAAAAACACCTCACGCAAGCCCAAAGCGCACAGAAACCAAACAACACAACCGCCTCCCTCCATGTGCTTAGGTCTCCTGGAGGAAAAAAAAACACCCACAGATATTCCAGTGATACTGTGGATGGACGAAATCCTGCACCAGTCTGCAAACATGGGACACAATTTGTTGTTGGTATTTGCAGGGGAATCGTATGATTCCATGGCTTCTTAGGGGGTGCGAAATGGGTTTCGCAACCATCCACAGTAGGTTCCCTCCCTTGAGCCCACAGAAAAGCAGATCGAAGCCTCGGAGACCATGATGCCGTTCCGCTTGTCGCTGCCCATGAAGTTCCCGCCATGGATCAGCAGCACGGCCGGAGAGCGATCTGCGGATCTGTTGGATGGGTGGTACACATCCAGCACCAGCTCCTGACATGGGTCGGGCTCAGCAGGGTAGCCCCGACCTGTTTTTTGTTTCCCAAATGGCCCGATAACCTCCCACATGGGTGCCTTTTTGTTTCGAGGGCCCTTCTCTGCTTGCTGAGAACCGCGAGTTTTAGGCTCACCCGAGTTTGACACACACCCAAACGTGGACATGGTGGTGTAACATATCTCGTTCTTTTCTAAACCGCTCCATCCCCATGGCGACTTGAGGGGACTCTCGACTCCCTTGGAGTAGAGAATGGCCCTAACGCCTTTCTCAGTTTTTTTGTGTTTGCTTGTTGGTTTTCCTCTTCGTTTTTGCCCCAACCCGAGTTCCTGCTGTCTCCCCTCCCGCCGCGAGTGAGCCATGCCATAGACGACATTCCGGTCCACGTTCACAGCTGAGACATTGTTGGCGCAGAAGCAGCCGGTGCATGCCTGCGCTGTCGACATGGAAACGAAACCAGACTTGGACCAGAATCATTGGGCATCAAAAGAGTAGCGCGAACACTACAAGGCAGTGTGGTTGTTTGATTAAACAACAGGTACTATCAGAGTATAGACGAGTACCGAAAAGAAACAACAAAAACTGCTGGAGAAAAGAAGCAACACCATCAGCTGGAGAGGTGCTGGCAGCTCCAGGTTGTCCATGCTCTCCCCGGGCGGGAAGACATGCAGAAAAAGGAAGATCACCGTACAGGCAACCTCACTGCCACCGGCAGTCCAAAAAAAACTTGGTTGACATTGCAAGGGAAGCAGAAATTGAAATGTTAGCAGTTAAGCGGGGATTTCCACCACTAAACCACAATAAGCAAAAATGTAAAATGTTTCCCAACAACAACCATGAAGAGGGGGTTCTGTTGTAGAACAACATGGGTTTTGTGTCAAGTACTAGGAAAAAAACACGTACTCCTCCTGTTGGGTTCCCTTTAAACCAAGGGTGAAAAAGGGTACGGTACCCTCAAAAAACAACACAAATGGGTCCTTGACCATAGGCAATATCAGAATTTGACAAAGAGAGTTAAGAACACTAAGATTTACAGGACGCCCTTGATGGGCATGTGTTGTGTAATCCCAAAAAACGGGGAGGGGGGGGGGACTGAGACCCAATAGTTGGTTCAAGCGCTCCTTACATAAAACGCTTAGACTAAAAGATGCTTCAACTTGTCGTGAGAAGGGCGGCCCCCCAAATGTGAAGGACCCCATCGAAACTTTGACACCCCCTCCCATTCAGCCGGTTCCGAAAAACCCGGGCTGCCAATGGCGAAAAGTCCGAGGGGATCTCATGGAACGTCCCAGGATTTTACCCTCCCAAACGAACATGGAAGTCTCAGTTGTGAAAGGTGACCCTGGGAAAAAAAAAAGACGAATTGGAACCCTTTTGTTGGGCTTGGACCATTTTAGTGGGGCAGCCACCAAAAAAAAAGGTTGGAAAAGGGGAGCCACTGAACAACTGGGAAGTGCAAAAAGGCCAACTAGCCGAGAGGAAAGCCGTCTTTCTACAGTGCACTTCCATGTTAGCTGGGAGGGTAAATACTTTGTCGCTCTTTGAAAATCAACGCCAGCCAACTCTGGTTTTTCGCAACTCCCGACCGAGGTGCCATGCAAAAGGCGCACGCCGCGGAGATGGCCTTCAGGAGAATCCTGCGGGAATTCGCACATGGTTGATGCGTCAAGAACGAGTTCTGCCCGCATGACCTGTCAAAAGCACCAAAGGTTGCAGAGAAAAACAACCCTCTGTTAAAGACTATGTGACTATGTGACTATGTTCACAACAAAAGGCTCCTGAAAAACATTTAAGCCAAATTGCCAACTTTGGCCTGCTCTTCCACATGAGGTCTGCTTGACGCCAAAGGGTTTGACACCGCTGATATGCGGAGATCGTCTTCAAACCTGGCTTTGACCAAGCCAAACCCCACATAAGGCGGATTCCCTAGCAAGAAAGTTGGTTGGGAACGAGTCGAAAACCCTGGCAACTTACCGCAAGTTCTTCGGGTTTGGTGGCTGGATGTGGTCACTGTCACGGGAATCCACAATCTGAGTTGGTCGCCAAATCGGGGGTCTGCAAAGGTGCTTCCCCTTTGGGCTTCCTTTGAACCAGCGCCAAAAAGAGCACCAACTCTGTTGCAACTCTACCCTGCCGGGGTCTTCATCCTCCATTTGCTCAAGTCCCCTGGAAAAAAAAAGGTCCAGTAGTGCTAGATTCCGTTTAAAACCAGCGGCAAACATATTCTTAATCAAATGGAAGCCATTGGTGAGTGGTTTCCGTCGGCTTGAAACCCCGAAAGATGACCAGCACCCACAGAAAACTGAGATCTCAACGTCGAGGCACCCGACCCGAGCGAGCGACTCGTCCTCAGGATCTTGGTTGGGCGCTTCGGCTCCGGGTGGGGCTGGCTCAGGGGCAAAGGTTCCTCTGTGCAGGCACCAATGACCTGCGAGCCGGACTCACCTCTCATCTTCTTGTCCCTACTGCGACTTCCCAAACGGCGTTCCAAAAAACCACCCTCTCAAAGCGCAAGGTGTCTGCCCCTTGGTTCGAGTTCGCGGGCCAGGCGTATGGACAAGTGTGCGCCAAGCCTAAGCCAACACCTCCAAGTGATCTGGAAGCTTTGAAGGGGATTTAAGAAGTTGCCAAACATTAAACAAAACAAAAAAACAGAGGCTCCAATCCGGGGTGATTGCAGGATTGCTCTTTGGATTGTATCACTTTCTGGCGATCAATCTAGTCTGCGGCAGGCAAGCCTCGGTGATCGCACTGGGCTTGCCATCTGTTTGTCCGGGTCACGCTGCCCCATGGCGAAGAAGTCAATCGACCCAGATGGCCCTTCAAAGCAAACCAGTCCAACAAAAAAATGCTTTTCTAAACTCAAGTTGGTTGAATCATCCTTGTGCGGATTCCCGGATAAACAGCCCCTTCACCATGGGCTGTCGCGTGTATCTTCTGATTTGCCGAGAAACCCATCGGTTTTGGAACGGCTGCCAATCCCGCCGGCTTGCCTGACTCTGCTCGCCGGGGATGTACTGCGGCGCCGCCGTCGCTTTGGACTTCAGCACTTTTGGAATCCTCGTGGCTGTGGGTCAAAACCCAAATCGTACCCCTGGTGAACATCAAAATCGGTGGCAAATGGATGTTCATCCACCCCAAAATGGTACCATTGGTTTTGAAGCGATGCGTTCGAAAGAACGATGGGGGAAATAACAAGGGGGAACATCCCAATCCCCACTCAAATCGGTTCTAAAAAGGGTGGTGCACCTAGTATCCCAAAATGGTATCATTGGTTTGAACCATGGCCATGTGTCCACTTCCCGTGTCCCTTTAAAGCGGAAGGGATGTTCCCCTCCCAACAAATATGCCTCCGAGCGCTGCCATGAGCTGTCCTGTTGGCTAACCCCTGAAAAGGGCACCGCTGACTTGACCAAATGTTGGGACTGCCGCGGATGGCTTCTAGGCTGGAATTAGGACCCCAGCCAAAAATTATCTTTTTTGCCTGGTTAGTGGAAAACAAAGGGACCCCAAAAAAAGCAAGAAAGCAAAAAGGGGAGCTAATTCTGGGGAAGGTTTGAGTTGGCTCCAAACAGTGCCTCATTGGGCTCAAAACACACACAAAATATATATATATATATATGTCCTGCCATCTGGGCCAATGATGGGAAAGCAAAAACGCCCCGAACGGACCTTCCTGGATTCCTGGGCCTTTCGCTCGTTTTTCCGTCCCTCACCCCCCAAAAGTCGGACAGTGCTCGCCTCAAAAAAATCGCCCCAAATCCTCGGTTGCTTTCTGCTCCCCTGCTAAAAGTCTTTAACTTTTGAGTGGTTTCATGGAAAACCCATATTCGTTGGCAAAAAATCGTTGCGCATCCTAACATCCCTTGGCTCAAATGCAACAAAGCACCGGTGGGTTCCTTAAAATAAACCCACCCGATGAAGAAAATCGGACAGCGCTCGCCTCAAAAACTCTGCCCATCGCCGATGTCGCCCCCGGGTTGCTCCCGAGGCGCAGCACCAGCACGGCGGCGAAGGACAAGACGCTCAAGGCGCAGTTAGCGCAGAAGACGCGCCAGGCCAGCAGCCAGCCGTGCTCCTCGAGAAAAAAATCATCATGGCTACCTCCAAAAGGTTTTCTCATGGGGGTTTCCAAAGAGATGTTCTGACAGGAGTCACACGGAAACCAAAAAAGGGATGTTCTGACAGCAAGTTGTTGAATGAACATCAAAAAAGAGATGTTCATCTGACAGGACTCCTTCAATGCCAAGTGTTGACTTTGACTCAGCTCAACCCAAAGCTTGGTGGACCACCCGAAATCGCAACTATCGCCCTTTTCCCAGAACAAGACACAGCAGGAGGGCTGTCTTTTTTCTACCAGTACATTCATCACGTCGCCCAACAAAGGCATCGAGTCGCGTCCACTCGAATCCGGGGCTTTCAGTGCAGCTCAGGCGCTATGCTGCCACTCTCGTCAGCCATCAGCGTTGAGCCGGCAAAGACGAGGCCAGAGGAGATGAGCAGACCTAAAAAAATACGCTGCATGTGGCCATGGGTCAAAATCCAGATCGTACCCCGAAGCGAACATCCCAATCCCAACTAAAATAGGTTCTAAAATGGGTGATGAATTACAGCCATGTCAGCGTGCGTCAAAGACCTTGACCTCCAGAGACCGTGGGAAAAACAAGCACGTTGATGTTAATGGGAGCCGCCCTCTCAAAAAATGGAACTGGACCAACTGGCACCGTTTCGCAAAACAGCCCCACCCAGCGACTAGGCAGCCTTCCCGACCCTGCGCAACCCCATTTCCCACTTGGGCTTGTTTGTTTTTGGATGTTGCGGTTGTTGTGGGAAACCAGAGGAAAGCATCCGTTTTGCTGTTGGTATCTGCTTTGGAGAAGCCACCCCTTGCCCACACACACATCACACACACACACAGACGCGCACTTACTGGCCTCTCAATGCCAACTTTGGATTCATCCGGACAGGACCTACTAGGGTGCTATTCCCTTTAGTCGGGGATCTACTTGCTCTGGGCGATTCTGAATATGTTCCCCGCAGGTGAAGCACAAAAACTACAGTGCACAACAAAGTGCATCATAAACCCTAGATTTGGATGCCGTGCAGAAATAATTCACACCCTATGTTAGCATTATGGGGCCTCCCCCCACGGTGTGCGGAGGGGTGGGGGGATACACGAAAGGCTATGAATCACGTACACATATGGGTCTCTCCCCCCAGCAGATTCAAATTGGACCCCCCAAAACCCCCCGTAGCGCACGTTGCCAAACTCGCGCCGCGCCCGGCCGACCTCCGACCTCCGCCCTCCGAGCCGCCCGAGCCGTCCGAGGTGCCCAGCGTCGCCTCCCCCAGGCACCAGGCCGCGAAAAGCACCGCCGAGCGGCGGCGCTTGCAGGCCTTGGCCCCCGCGCAGACCACGCCCAGGTAGACCAGGAAGGCCGCCAGGGCCTGAGGAGACCAAGGGATCCTTACATGACACCGGAAAACTGTGCAACTTGTAAATGGTGGTGTCCAGCTTCATTTTGCCGCAAAATGCAACATGTTTCAAATGGCTGCAAAATGTATCGCCAAGGGGTTGGGTTTCTTGGCGATTAAAGTCTGCACGGCATGGCCCCAAAACAGACGAAATGAGGCTGTTTTCATGCAGAATGTGCTGTGACCCAACCTTTGAGACATACACAAAGTGACAACTGCCTCGGTGAAAAGAGAAACTGGAGGAACCCCCAAAAGTTTTCAAAAAGGCTGGTCGTACGGATGAAAGCATGATTGAGCGCTTGAAGAAAGGCAAGCGCTTGTGTGACTTCCGATGGCCCCATACCTCTGGGCGAACAACTTTGTGCTTCCAGATGTCTTGATCCCATGCACCTCAAGCCTGTGAGTCCACAAATCACAAATCAAAGACTTACCCCTTAAGACTCCAAGCCCTGGGGAAGCTAATCTTTTACAGACATATAGCCCATGTTACCCAAAAAGTTGAAAAGTTGTGCTTTTAAGAGGTAAGAGGAACCAAGGGAGGCCAGCACGAGCAAGAACCCGAACCCGACCAATGACGACTGATGTGGTCCGGTTGGGAAGCCGCCGGCTCCGCATCTGAAAAACTAGCGCGGAGCCGGGGTTCCAGCGATCAAAAAATGGATGGACAAAATCCGCTCGCACGAAATGAAATGGGTGAAACCATGAGGCTTCTTGGTCTCTTGCAGGGGACCATCGAATTATAGGGGAAGCATCATTGCTGCGAAATGGGCTTCGCAGCCATCGATATGAACGGCTTCCCTTCGGCTTCCCTACGACACTGTCCTGCAAGCCCACCAGAGGCACACACGCCAGGGCTGCTGCAGAGAGCAGCATTGCCAGTGACAACCACACTGTGGCCTGCCAAAGGCGGCGAAAAGCTAGAATCTTAGAAGTGTGGAACAAGCCGGCCCCTGCCTAATTAAATGACAACTAGCGAAGCCAAAAAAGAACAAGTTGAGAAGGTAAGCTCAGTCCTGCCATGTGCGCGGCTCCCCCTTTTTTGCTGGTTGACAAGCCAAAGAACACGCATCACTGAGTAGCATTCAACCCCAGCATCCCACTACATCCCGCTCGTGCCGGCCTCTCTTGTTTTGTCTGTCCTCTGCGAGTTGTCGGCACATAGCAGGGCCAAGGTCCAGGCCGCGAAATGCCCGGCAAGTTGGCCTCTGGACTCGACTCTGAGACACCCAACAGGTTCAGAGAGACGGTTTGAAGCCCCAAAAACAGAATCAAAGCACTTGAAAAGGCACCTGAAAAGGTGTGCGGACCGGTGTGCGGATTTCTTTTGGGGTAAGACTAAATCGTCCCCGCTTTGACACCAGTCTCTTGACTCGCCAATCCCTCCCTGCCAAGCGGCATGCCACAAGCACCGAGCCGCTGAAGAACAGTACGGTCAGTGGCAGAAGGCACCACCGGAGTCCAAGCAAGGAATGGCAAAGCAGCAGTGACCTCACCAAAATCCGTTGCTTTTTTTTACATCTCACCCACCAACTCATACGGGTAGGAGTCGGACACGAAAGAAAAAAACACTGGTTTTCCTGTTGGCTTCCCTTCAAAGCAAAAAAAAAAAAAACGAGTACCCAGCGCCAACATGCCACACCCATCTCATCTGGAACCCCTGCAACACGCAGTCCATTGCCCCTGATCCGCCGAAACCGACAACGGGTTTTTTAATCCACCTCAAACCCTATGAGCCGATTCAAGGCGGATAGAAAACGATTGGGCTGAGAGAGTTCAAGGCGTTGAGTATGCCGTTAAGAAACTCCCTGCCAGCACATGCCTGTGGCCTCTGGTCCCTCAAAACCTAAGGCTGAGATCGGCTTCAAAAGGCTGAGATCTGGGCTGCAACTGCCCCAGTAGATTGCCACCCATCAGCTGCCAACTTCGCAGCCAGTTTGTCCTTCCCTCGTGTTGGCTCAAAGCTGTAGCGTCTTGTCTGTGCGCGGCTGGTTGTAGCTTGCAAAGAGTGCACTTGCCACCACTTTTGGCCACAGATCAAATGACATGCTCAGAATCGAGCATCGTTTAGTGAAACATTAACAGCCTGAAAATTGCTCATGTCTGTAATGCCATTACAATGTGTGCATATCTACATGTGTATATGTATATATATATACATACACATTGACATGTGTATATATATAATGCATATGTATATATGCATTGACATATATATATATATATATGGGCCACCATAATTAAATCCAGTAGACTCTCGAAAGAGCTCCCAGACATGACATCATCGCTGCCAAGCTTTGAGCCGCGGCGGCTCTGCAAGCGCATAGCACCCGCTTCCCGAGATAAGCTCATGACCCACGTCGAAGTGACCGTTGCCGGGGACCCTGTGAGATGGGTGCGGATTCATTTTGGGGATTTTTGTTCGGGGATTTTTTCGGGAGTTTTTTGCCTGGGACCCTGTGAGATTTAGTCCCCATGATTCCCCATGCCTCCCGAATTGGCGATGATTGCTGGCTGTTCTAACTAGTCATGAGGGTTGGTCAGAAAGAAAGGGTGCCCTCCATTTTTCCAGGGGAGGGCGGCACAAGGATCCCATAGGCCCACCCTTGAGCAAGATGCAAGCTCGCTGCTCTCGCTGCTCTCGCTGCTCTCGCTGAGACTCCGGCCCTGCGTTCCTCGAAGTGATGTCCTAAGGCCCAATATTGCTCACATCCCTTGGACCCGCAGTGACCAACACCCCCGAAAAAAAACTCAACTGGACCAAAACCTGCATTTGCTCAAGTACCCAGGAAAAATATATATATATATATATATATGTCCAGTAGTGATAGATTCCTTTAAAACCCACAGGGGAAAATAAGTCATGTTCTTAAGCCAATGGACCAAAACTGGGCCTGGGGGTGTGTTTGGGGAGGGGGTGAGGTGCTTTTCTCAGGCTGCCAAAGGGTCGTGTTGGGAACCCTGGCGATACGTGGATGGACGAAATCCTGCGCCACCTAAGAAACCCTGGAATCATGATTCCAATGTAAATACCAACAAACAATGGTTTCCCATGGTTTCTGAGGTGGTGCGAAATGGATTTCGTCCACAGTATTTGTGCCTTCAACTGCGGATCCCTTTGGAACTTGTGCAACGGTCCAAAATTTGCATGAAGGACTCTATGAGTGACGGGTCACTTGAGCGTCGCACATTTGGCACCGGCTTTAGAGGGAGGTCCCAAAAGGGAACCATTATCATAAGGCCAACCCGAGAGTCATCAACTGGATTGATTGAGGGGGATCATCCCACAAAAAGGGCATTATTCTTTCTCAACTGGCGCCCCCTATTAATAACACTGGGCTGCCCTCAGATCCCTCGCTAAAAGTTTAATTTTTAGTGGGTTAAATGGAAACTACCACTAAACACTAAAAGGCTAAAAAGCAAGGAACCGGATGGCTGGGAGCCACCAAGAAAACAGGAGTCGATGAATTAATTCCTCCCGGGTTCCTCACCACAGTCAGGGGGAATTTAAAATTTTAAAGTTCCTCTAAGCCTGGTTTTCAAAAAAAAGCAGTGAAGTGGTTGGATTTCAACCACTAAACCACCATAAGCAAAAATGCAAAACATGTTCGGTCCCGCCTGCTGGTCGTTGGCGACGATGGTTTCGAAGACTCGGGTCGCGTTCTCCAGGCTCGCGTCGAAGCGCTCATGGCAGTTGGCTCCTTGGGGCGTGGCGAACATTTTCGCGGAAACCCCCCCGTCCCATGGGTTTTTTTCCCTTGTCCCGAGGCAAGCCACGGAGAATGCATAAAACGGGCCCAGGATGGGGGCCCCTCCCTCCAGGTACATGAATCAGTTGACATGGCCATGTGCAGAAACTGGTCTCATGGAAGAAAAAAAAAGGGACTAGGTGGTCAGTGCAACAGGGACAAATCAGCCCGGAAACTCAAGACACATTTGCCACATGTTACTGCAATATGTTGTCTGCACCCAGAGCCATGCTTTGGTTTGGCCTTGTCTATGGAGCTCCAGGCCGAATACAGCGGCACGCGTGCCGCTTTTTCGGATGCATTTTGGCGCTCGCAAAAAACGGCAAGGGGACCTCACCTACCCTGCACGTCAAACGAGACAAAAACGGACAACGCGAAACGCACCGCAGTCCGCAGCATCGGACAGGTCGCGTTGCAGCTGAAACCAACTTATTCAAAAGAACCGTTACCCTCCCTCAGGCGATTCCATGGAAGCTCCCGAACGGACCCCTTTGGAACACTTGGATCCATCGGAGGCCTTCTGAGAGCTGCCATGTTGGCCTGAGGGAGTGTATACACTTGCTAGGTACAAAGCAGCGGAAAGCTGCTTTCTGCTACTGTGGACGAACGAAATCCATTTCGCACCACCTAAGAAACCCTGGAATGATACGATTCCAATCTAAATACCAACAAATGTTCTGGTTTCAACCATGGTTTCTGAACGGTGGTGCGAGAAGCGGATTTCGCAACCATCCATAGGACATGCCCCTACTGCGCGCGCTGAACGCCCCAAGCTGAGTGCCGCGCGCCACACGTCGTCCAGCAGCGGTCTCCCGCAATCCCGCGCGATCCGCGCGTAGATCTCGCTCATCAGGGAGGCCTTCCGATCTCGATCTCTTTACTCGCTGAGAATTTTGTTCCTCCGGTCCTGATGTGTGGGTGTTGCGCAAAATAGGGGTTTCGGCGCCCTACGGAAAGGATGGGTCTCCTTTTGGCCTCCTTTCACACCACGCAAAGGGGGACACCCAGAAGGTTTGACATTCAACGATGCAGGTCAGATTCCGCCGTTCAGAATCCAGGCCGCAAGGCTCATGAGTCCCCTGTCCCCCAGTCGTCGAACCTTAAATTTACCGCAGGCGACTGTCGCGTTGGACTTTGAATCTTTTGACCCCTCCCACATGGCGAAACTTGTCTGCAAGGCCTGAGACCTCGAGTAGACTTGGATTGCGTTTGTTCAGTCGGTAAATTTCAGCATGCCTCGGTCCACACCAAAAGGTTTGGGGCAGCTGTCAAGGTTTCAGAAGTTGGCCAGCTGTCGGTTGCGCACGGGGCTATACAGTAAACCTTATAAACCTACTGATCCCTCCAAGAGGTACAACCCCCACCAACAAGGCGGCGAAGGGCAAATGGGCGATTGTCAGGCGTCTCAAAGCGCCTCCAGGGGCGACTTGTTTGCTGGAAAGGGAAAATGGGTGGACAGGGGGGGGAGGGGAGAGGTCAGTGAAGGGCATGTGGCTCAGGAAGCTCCCAGAGATTCGACTTACTGGCATGGTGGCTTATTGGTATCAGGATATGGATTCGATGGAAATCCGCTAGTCCTTTACCAACTGCGTTCTTGTATGGAATGGTCAGGTTCATTTAATGAGTGAACTCCGAACTGCCTTGTTACCAAAAATGGTCTTCTCAAGATGGCTGGAACTCAGAGAGCGAGCATGTTCCCTAAGAAGCAAGAGACAGGGTTCCCTATCCTTCCCGCTCGAACACCACCCAAAGTGAACTCATCTAAAGGTTGCTGCTTCTTGGTGAGGTTCAAACCCACAGGTGGAGGGGACAACATGAAACAAAAAAATGCTGCCCTCAGATCCCCCGCGAAAACTTTAACTTTTAGTGGGGTAGATGGAAACTAGACGAAACACTAAAAAGCTAACAAGCTAAGGGGATGGCTGGGAGCCACCAAGAAAATCTGGTGATAAAGGAAACATAAGCAAATATGGGGAATGTAGCAAAGTACTGTGGATGGACGAAATCCTGCACCACTTAGAAACCATGATCATTGTTTGCTGGTATTTACAGGGCAATCATCACATTCCAGGGTTTCTGATCGGTGGACAGTATGCCTCCGCCGACTGGTTTACCATGATTCCCCGGTAAATACCAACAAACCAATATTTCAACCATGGTTTCTAAGCACTGTGGAAGGACCGGGAAAACTTGGTTGACGTTGGAAGGGGAGCAAAAATTGGAAAAATAGCAGAGCCACAACAAGCCAAAAATAGTTGGAAAAATGTAAAACCCAACGACAACCATGAAAAGATGCCCTGGTTTCTAAGTGGTGCGAAATGGATTTTGTCCATCCACAGTAGCACCTGTTTTGGAGGACTCTGGTAGTTTTTCACCCTTCAACCCCCCAGAGGTTTCTACGCCCTGTGGAAGGACCGGGAAAACTTGGTTGACGTTGGAAGGGGAGCAAAAATTGATAAAAATAGCAGTTAAGTGGTTGGATGTCCACCACCAAGCCACAATAAGCCAAAAATGTAAAACCCAACTGGTAACCCAACTACAACCATGCAAAGTAGATGGGATCCCCTGTAAATACCCTAGCAAACAATTCTTTCAACCATGGTTTCTAAGTACACAGGAAAAGCTAGGGAGCTTCGGCGAAGAATGTCTAAAAAAGATCCGCGACATCAAAAAAAGTAAAACCCAACAACCATGCCCAAAGGACTCTGGTAGTTTTTCACCCTTCAACCCCCCAGAGGTTTCTAAGCACTGAAGGACCGGAATGCCTCCTTGGAGCTCTGCGGGCGCGCGGCACGCAAGGGCCGCTCCAGCGGCTCCCCCAGCCTCGGCACGGCGAAGTGCTCGGCGAGCCGGACGAAGCGGTTCCGGGGTGGTTCTGGGGTATGACTGGGGAAAGTCAAAAAGGGTTCTGGGGTTCTGGGGTTCTGGGGTCATTGATATCCCCAGTTTCTGATTTCGACTGGGGATAAAGTCGGACACTGACTGACATTTGGGTTGTTTCTTCAACCCATCTTATGTTAGGGGTGACTTTGATAAAGGGAAAATGACGAGGCCGGTTGTTCCAGGTCTACTTGTGCAAAGCGATTATTATTCTAGGGGTACCTTTCATTTCCATTCTTTCCAGGGATAATCCTTTCTAGAAAACCTGCAGAAACCCAGGGAAAACGGATCCGGTTTTTGGAAAGAACGATGGTTGAAAGGAATGGGGGAACAACCCCTAGATTTATTATGTTCATGTGCAATCATCAATCGTTTATTCCTGCAACTACAAGTATGGCTAAGTCCCAAAGCCACATTCTACATCTACCATATGTGAGGGAACCTGGGAAAGCAAAATCTCGTGAAGCCTAAAAAAGAGGTCAAAAGGCTTCCAGAGGTAGCATGGGAAAACTCCCAAACATCAGAGTCATAGTGTGGTCTAAAACCCCCTGCGATGGCCATGACCATTCCGACCACCCCAAAGTAAACAGATCTTTTGCTCATGGCAAAAGATAGGGAAACTCATGAGAGGCAACTCTCCCCTGTTCGGTTCACTTTGATTGGGTTGAAACCACCACCACAAATGGCTGTGGGTCAAAAACATTTGCCAAAATGCCACCTTGGTTCATGGAACCAGAGACTAAGACCTGCGTAACCCTAGCTCTTTTAATTTTGAGCCACAACCAAATGTTGGTGGACATACAGTAAAAGCCCGGCTTTAGAGCCACACGCCAGTCCAAAATGCTGCCTCGGCGCCGCTTCTTCAGCGTCGGGATCATCAAGTTGTCGAGGTCAAGGCATTGCGAAGACATCGGGCCTGTGGCATGACAAACCTCTTAGTGGCCTGCCGAAAGGGACAACCCGTCAACACCTATCGTTACGCACAACTAGGTTCCATCCCCTGGCTTTTGTGGTTGATCTTCCAGCGCGTCCGGGTCCTCAACCGAACCAAAGCAGGATATGGTCTTAGTTGCTGCAACGACCCCCCTGCAAAAAGTGTTAACTTTTTGGGGGGTTAGTGTTAGTGGAAAACACCTTTCTTTATTTCAACCAAGAAGCTTTGAAGTCTAAAGATCCGTTGCCCAATAGCAGAAAAAAACTGCGTGTCAACGGCGACCCCAGGCGGCTTTCGGTGTCCCTCGCAGCTTTCCCCGAAGCCCCGAAGCGCTCGCCTCGCTCGGGCCAAGAAAAGCCGCGGCTCGGGGAGTGGTCCTCCATAAGCCAAAGGGCCTGGCGTTTGGATAGGTCACGGCGGCTTTGGCGCCGATGCCTTGCTTCTTGTTGTGTTTGTCGGGTTTCTTTGTTTTGGGGGCTGTTAAAAGGAGAAGAGACATCTTCCGGACCACACAAAATCAGGTGATCATGTCAGGAAACCTTGAAGTGTAGCTTCAGGGGTGTGTCACAAAAGATTCTGGCAGGGTGGAATCTGCGGCCCAAGAGCTGGGTTTCTCTTCCCTGAGCAAAAGGTCTCGTCTTTTGTAGCCTTTGTGCAAAAGCCGAATTTGCTTCCGAAAGGTCTCGGGGCTCACACCAAAGACTAGTGAGAGGAAAGCAAAAAGGACCCAAGAGCAAGTTTCTACCCTTCTGGCTTGGCCGTAAGCTTGGGAATGAGCCTGTGTCACCTTCAAGGGTGTAGTGAACATGTCTTGGTTGCTGTTGACCCCTGAAAAAGTTCAGCTTTTGGTGGGTTTAGTGGAAAATCCCATGATTTCACAAAAAGTTAAAGTCTAAAGATCCAACCCAATAGCAGTCAAGATGTAGGAGACAATTCTGAATAACTGGGGAGAGGGGTAGCACAAAATGACTGTCGCCTATTTAATTCCTCCTCGGGAAAATATAGCTAAAGAGGCAACTCCCAATGATTGAAGGTGATTCAACTCCCTGTAACCAACCAGCTATCACCTGATCACACAAATGAGTATTCCCACAAACTCCAACCGCCATAGCAAACGGATTCTCCACTCCAACCTTATTCAAGAACCTGGTATGGCCAACACACAGTGATGGAAATCTCACAACTATCGTGTAGCTACTCTCCCGTGTCTCGCCTCAATCACTGCAAAACATGAAACTTCAAAATCGTGTACAACTCCACGATCCTACGCAAGCGGAACAAACAATGATGTAAGCAAAATGCCTTCACGATCCTACGCCCGCCCATCCCCACTTAGATTGCCTAACACGAACATGATGCAATTCCCTGCTTGCATACTTAAAACCTTTCATCCAATCAAAAAGAGCTGCCCGCTATGTCTTAAACGAACAACCGCTGTCCCTTATGGGACGAAGGTCTGGTTGTAGCCATGGCTGAAACAATTGAAACAACTTCCTGCTGGCTTTGAAAGGGGAGGCTTGGCTTACGCAGTGCCTTCGGGAGCCTTGGGCATGGGAGCATAGGAGCCAAGAAACAACTTGAACACCCTCCATTTGCTTAAGTCCCCTGGAAAAAAAATCCAGCAGTGATAGATGTCCTTAAAACCAACAGGGGCGGAAAAATAATATAAAGCAAAAACATTGTTTCCAGTAGTGATAGATTCCGTTTAAAAGCAACACGGGAAAATGAATAATATAAATATATATATATATAGATATTTTCTTAACCAAATGGAAGTTTCCGGGCCCTGCCTCGGCGAGCCTGGCGCGAAAGAGAGACTCTGCGCCTGTGGCGCGAGCAGCCTCCCATCGGATGCGGCGAAGGAGAATTGTTCCAAACTGCGGCTTGGTTGCTGTTGACCTAAAAAGGCCTGAGCCAAAGTTGGTATGGTTTGTGAGGTAGCTTAATAAGTCCAGGAGCTCAAAATGGACGTGGGGCAACAAGCAACAACCACAAAACCCTGCCACTACTTGGTTGCTGCAACGACCCCCCTGCAAAGAGTCGTTCACTTCTTTTTGGCGGGGGATAGTACGGAAAACACACCAATATTTCAACCAAAAAGTGAGAGCCTAAAGATCCGTTGCCCAATAGCAGTCAAGGCAGGTGTTCGCTTTGTGCTCGTGCCGAATGCTCCTGGTTCCAATATGGCGCAGCAAATATCGAGTTGGCAGCGGGAGCCTTGGAAAGCTGGTCTTACATCAAAGCAATGAGCATGTGTGCCTCTCTCTGTCTCTTTCTCTCTGTCTCTCTCTCTCTCTCTCTCTTTCTGGTTCTCTTTCTGGTTCTGTTTCTCTTTCTCGTTCTCGTTCTCTTTCTCTCTCCCTCTTTCTCTTTCTCTTTCTCGTTCTCTCTCTCTCTCTCTCTCTCTGCGTCACTGAATTGTTCCTTGCGCAAGTCGAATTCCAGCTGGAGCCATGTGCGCGGCGGTAGGGATGTCCACTTCTGGTTCGCGGACTGTTGGCTCAAAGGAAACCAAAGCAAAGCCACCAATTCCGTCGGAGCCCCTGGGACCAACTCAAATGGTTCCCAAGGACTGAGAAGCATCCAATGCACCCCGAACCAGCAGGCTCTTTGATCACGAAGTCATGGCCAACTTTAGGTGGACTAAACGCTTCTTGTTCCAAGGCACCAGACCCCCCACTCAGTCGATGGATCTAAGGCCCCGACAAGCGCTTTTCTTTTTTTCGAAGATGGCTACATGACATTGGCGGCGGGCCAAAGGTCTTGCCTTTAGCCACAATAACATGCCAGCGCCTGAGGCAATTAAACCGGAGAAACCTCTGGTCGCGAGTGAATTAGGAACGGCAGTCATCCTCTCATGCAGGATCAGCTCCTTCACACAACACTCCAGCATTGGTAATCACATCCAAGCCATGGTCGATATATGCAGTTAAACGCAACCCCGTGCTTCTTGCGTGAAGGCTATTGAGTCCGTGAAGGCTATGGTGTCCGGCGCCAATATGTGGTTATCTTGAAGGAAATTGGAAAACTAGAGTTTGTCCCCTCGTTTGGAAAATTCAGAGCTCGTCCCCTCATGTCCCTCCTAAATTGACCATAGAGATTGTTGACCGAGCCTCGAAATGTGCCACATGATTGGCTGCCTGATTGGCCGTCTCTCGCGGAATCCTGTCACACTTCAATTAAAGCGATCAAGCTGCAGAGTCCCAATGCCACAAAGGACCAAGTGGGTGCTTCTCAAAATAGGGGAGGCAAAGGTTTCTTTCTGGTGTCCCTTTAAAAACAAAGCACAAGACTGGGCTGCCCTCAGATCCCCTGCAAAAGGTTTAACTTTTAGTGGACACCACCACTAAACACTAAAAGGCTACAAAGCTAAGGAACCGGATGGCTGGGAGCCACCAAGAAGAGTGTCCAAAAGTTCTGAGAAACTCATGGGTCAAAATCCAAATCGTACCCCCAGTAAACATCCCAATCCAACCACTAAAGTAGGTCCTAAAATGGGTGAATTCACCTACCCACCAAAAATGGTACCATTGGTTTTGCGCGAAATTTGGACCCTTGTTGTAGAACCGACTCAAATAGGTCCTAAAATGGGTGAATTCACCACTCCCAACCAAAATGGGGTATCCCAAGACGGTTTTTGACCACAGCCAATCCTTGGTAAAACGCTCTGGCAGTCCTGCCATCAGGGTACAGCTCCTGGCAAAAAAAGATCCGCGCCTCTGAAAGCCGTCCCAAGGGGATGAACCCCCCATCCCATGTTGCCTAGGTCCTCCAGAGTTGAGAGCTTAGAATAAGTTGGCACCGATTCTTTTTTCGGTTTAGTCTACTTTAGTAGGGGAACCTTCCCCCCAACAAAGAAACGGTAGAGAAGGGCACCAATTGCTGGGGGACCTAGTTACGGTACACGATCTTTCGAAAACTGGGGGAACCATCTGGAAAACTAAATTCCCCCCAAAAAAGGTAAAAATGGTTCATGGTTCGGACGTTACCATCTTTCCGTCTAATGGGTTAGGACGTTACCCTTTCACGGAACCCTCCCCCCAAAAAGAAATACTGAGAGGTAACCATCCTAAAATACCATCTGGTAACCATCCCAAAAAGGGGTGAGAGGTCGGGCACCAATTGCTGGACCAAAAAAGTTGCGTGGTCGCACCCGAAGCCCCAAAGCCGAATCCGAAATCCGCTCGAATTTCCCCTGGTCTCGGTGGCAACATCTGCGGCTCGCCCTGCTGATTTTTGTTTTGGCTTTTCGTGGTTTAATGCCGAAAAACCCAAAAGCTTTTCGTGGTTTCATACGGAAAACCCCAAACATTTGTTGGCAAAATATGTTTTAAAGTGCTAACATCCCTTGGCAAAATTCGCAGAGATGTGCCCACGCCTGCAATAGAAATTTCCGCTGCGTCTGCCACCACTGGACTTCTCGAGGCAGTCCCTGAAAGCTGGAACGAGCCTGCGCCACATGCAGGCCATCAGCACGCTCCTAGACCATAAGACCTTCTTTGATACCAAAGGGCGCTAAGCCCCCTGATCGCGCTGTCGTTTTAAAGGGGGGGGTTCCAAGGCGGCTATGGGTCAAAAATAGGTATCCAAAACGGAACCCTGGTAAATGGAACCAAAGACTAAAACCTGCGGTCCCCTGGTGGCCTAATTTTGACCCACACCCAGGTCGACCAGGTTTGGGAGTTTTGGAGAACAGGAAGTCGGAGGCTTGCCCCTCGGATTTGGACTGGCCCGTCCCCTTCGGTCCTGTCCTGTGTGGACCCCCTGTCTGGCCAACAGGGGTGCAATCATAGGTCTCTTTTTAGGGGAAATAGATGGCCCTGGTAGATGATTAAACCACCAGGTAAACCAGGAATGGCCATCTATTTTTTCTAGCAAAACAACCAAAAAGGACACCTATGACTGCAATAGGCTGTAAAGGAAATTGCAGCCCAGTCCAGGGTTGGAGATGGCCAGGATGAAGAGGGGTTTGTTGGTGTGCTTCGGGGGGTCAGCCTTCAAGGCAGGGTACTCTTTACGAGCCTGTCCAACCTTGCTTAAAAAAACAAAAATGTAATAAGAACATTGCTGCTTCCGGCCAGCCATTCGTTTTCCGGAATGGCAACCCTGAGACTATGACAGGAGTTAGTATTGGCAAAAGTATCTGCAATAGCTTTGGCAATCCAACGTATTGACTTGTTTGTCTGTTGCTATTTTTTTGGCCGAAAGGGGCGTCTTTAATCAAAGAGGGGTTTTGGGAGGTGCCCCAAAAACATAAGAGGGCTCTGTTGGCCAAATCTTCAGGGTTCCCTTAAACTAGTATGGCAGTCAACTGGGAGCACCGGGTGTCTTTAATCAGAGGGGGCTTATTCATCATGTGCCGAAAATATGGTTCCATCGCCTGTCCACACAGGTTTTGAACACGGCTGGAGTGATTTCAACCGTCAAATGAGTCATAATCAGAACCCGGTATTAAAAATTGGTCGACCCAGAACCATGTCAAGAATTAAGAAGGCGGATATCCGCAGCCATTTATGGTTGGGGTTGTCCCTACTAACCTTCACTTACCCGGGTTTTGAGCACGTGACTGAAATGAGAAGCGAGCCTTGTGCCAGGCTACCACCTGCTTCTTTGCCAGGGCCTTCTCAAGCCTTCGGCCACTCAGCCCACCACCGGCACCGACAGCAACTTGCGTTGAAGCCGAGAACCATCCGGCCATCCGCTTGAAAAATGTTGTTCAAGCGATGTGTTCGCGAACCCATGGAAATCAATGGAAATCAATGGGGCCGTATATTTCCATTTGCTTAAGTCCCCTGGCAAAAATGAAAAAACTTTTCCAGTAGTCATAGATTCCCTTTAAAACAAACAGGGGGAAAATAAAAAAATATGTTTTTCAGCAAATGAAAGCAGATAGCCCTCTCCTGCCTCCCGGCAAAGGTTCTTATTCGGAGCCAAAGGCTGTCTTCAGGCTTCATACTGTGGATGGACGAAATCCATTTCGCACCACCTAAGAAGCCATGGGAGACCATTTGTTTATTGGTATGTACGTAGGGGAATCGTATCATTCTATGGTTTCTCAGGTGGTGCGAGAAGCGGATTTCGTCCACCCAGTGTACCTCCAAACAATGAAGGCCTTCGCTGGATCCCCTTCGCGAGTTTCGAGCGAAGCTTTAAACCGAGCGGCTGGTCATTCTTGTTGCGCAAGGCGTGGAGAGTGCGGAGGTTCTCCTCCTGCCTAAGACCAACTCGCTTCTACATCTAACTGCCCCCGCAAGGCAACGCGGAACTTGGCAGGGCCCGAAATTGGAGGAAACTGACTTCTGCCCGGCCGTCATCTTCAGCGCTGAAATGTTGAATGGATCCCGATTCAGGGCTCGGAACCCCCAACCAATTGCGTGGGCAAAACATAGGGATGGCAGAAGGTTTGGCGCGTGGCTTGGATTGGTAACGGGGCTCCAAGAAAAAAGACATCCAATTGAGTTCCATGTGAGGAGTTCGAACAGGCCTCAATTACAAGGTCATATCATCAAGATCATTGGTATCCATGAAGAAACCTCTGGTGGACTCAAAGGGGTGTCCCTTCAGAGGTTTTCAGGCTGCACTCCAGTTACGCTGTAAGCCAGGGATGTCCACACAGGGTGCGCCTCCGAAGCAAGTCAGCCCTGGCTCTCTCTCTCTATCTCTCTCACACGCACACGCACACGCACACGCACGCGCACACGCACACGCACACGCACACGCACACGCAACACCACACGCAACACGCACACGCAACACGCACATGCACACGCACACGCACACGCACACGCACACGCAACACCACACGCAACACGCACACGCAACACGCACAGGGCAACACGCACACGCAACACGCACACGCAACACGCACACGCAACACGCACACGCAACACGCACACGCAACACGCACACGCAACACGCACACGCACACACCGAAATAATTCATCCAAGATGCTTTCTCTCCATATCACGTTGAAGCTTCCCAAGATGCTCCTGGATTCATATGGCTTTCTGTCGAAAATAGGTACCACAAACGGAACCCTGTTACATGGAAAGAAGAAAAAAAACCAAAACCTGCGGTCCATATCCTAGTGGTTTCATTTTGACCCCGACCAGCGCATCCGTCTGTCTGCGCCTGCCTTTCCATGAGCCCGTCCTCCATCTCCTTCCTCAGCTCCAGCAACTCCGGCTCGGATCCTCGGCCACCCGGCGCGGGGAATGGACCCCCAGGAAGGGAGAGAGACGCGCTTTGGAGCGCCAATCTTCCGGATTTTTTTTTCAGGAAGCCGCCGAGAGAATCGGGGCGGGGTTCCGCGAAAAGAGGAGCCAAAAAAGAAGAGCACGGCAATGTTAGGGACACATTTTGAGGGCACCCGTTGAATGGGTCCAATCAACGAGTTCCAGCTAAATGACAATCATGAGTGCAGCCCCCATTCAACGAGTCACCCAAGTCTTAGCCAGAACCCCCGCGCCCATGATCAACAAGCCACTGGTTTCTTTGGTATACTTGCTCAAGTTTCTTGTGCCCATATGCAAAGAGCACCTGTTTTTTGGTATGCTTGTTCTTGAAGGGAGTTCCTCTCCACAAAAGTTTTGAACAAATGGCTCAAGTCGGGCAACCTTGTCCCTTAGCGGCGCCGAGCGCGGCGCGCCGGGAGGCCTTGCGGTCCTCCAAGAGTCGGGGCCTCAGATGGGTCTACTTTCCACTCGGAGAGCGAGAGGTCCGGCGGCTTCGAGAGTTAATACACCTAGGTCCTCCAGAGAGGTTAGTACAAGGGTACCCTTTTAGGTCCTCCAGAGAGGTTAGAATAAGTTGGTACCAACTTTTTGCTGTAGTCTATTTTAGGGGAACCCTCCCCCGAGAAAGGGTAAAAAGGGCACTGGGGGACCTAGCCACACAAGGTCGCCCAAAAGCGGCCAAAGGAAGGCTGGGTTAAACATGGAGACCCTTGGGTCGAATCCATGTCGCTTTAGGAACGTGCCGCTTTCGGTCTGGTGCAACAGCGTCAGGGGGTGGCGTGAAGGTTCAAAACACACCACGCCTAAGGATTGGGTTAGGTGACAGACCTCACTTTGTGTTGCAAAGGAAGCTCATTCGCCGCGAAGTAAAGCAGCCAGGGTCCCTCGAAACTGCGCCTGGGCATGGGTTTTCTTCCATTCCAAGGTGATTCCTTGACCGGAGCCAGGGCTCAAGGCGGCATCATATCGTTTTAGCCAAGACGAACAAAAGAAGTTGGATCTGCACGGCTTTTGGCGGGCTTGCAAGGCAGAAACACTTTATGCGCCACGGGAGCAAAACCTACGCCCGCGCCAAACCGCCTTGGGAACTTCGAAAAAGAGCGGTTCTCACCGAAGAGTTCAGCTCAAATCTCTGGGCAGGGCTACGGGTTCAATTGTGTCACTCCTGAACGTGCACTCCTGCAGGTCATTGAAACCCCTGAAAACCGTCGTTTTACCGGAGTTTTCTTGTGGAGACCCCATTTTTGAGTCCCATGGTAATCTGCAGGGGATCCTGCGTCCAAGTCACAGCTCCAGGCAGAAGTCGTCCAGCATTGCAACGGTCTAGGCTTTTGATGCAGACTCTTTTGCCCGGATAGATTCGAAGTTTCTGGCACGGCCACACACGAAGGAAGTCTCATACGTGTGTGTGCGGGGGGGGGGGGGGGTCGTTCCCCACCGAAGCTGAAACTGGAGTGCTTGGGCCAAGCGAGCGGCTTGCGTCTCCAAGGCCGGTAGCCAATGAGAAAAATACGCAAACCAGTCGGCAGCGCATCTTTCGCGACGGCATGCATTCCGAGAAGTGATTAGGTCTGCCGCTCAACGAGCAGGAGACATCTGAATTTCCGTGCAAAAAATGTATCCGATTCTTGCAAGTGCATACGAAATGGCGAGGCGACTTGCCCGACGTTAGCAACTGGAGACTGGAGCAGTAGCCCAGGAACCAGAAAATGCCGGGCATGGCGGTGTCACTTGTTGCCGACGAGCAGAAACAGCGTGGCTTGTGACTTTGGGCTAAAAAAACTCACACGGCAGCCAGTCTGACACGCCCAGCGAAAAGATCGGGCCACACTGGCCCGACACATCTGGAAGGGCTCGTCAAAACCAGAGACCCCAAATCTCCATGGCTCCTCGTTCCGGACCAAAACACAGTTCTTTGCTCCGCCCCTCAACTTCCAGATGTCTTCTGAAAACATCCGCTCCTTAGACCAAAACGGCTATTTTTGTGCCCGCCCCCCAACAACCTCGGCCAACAACTTCCAGATGTTTTCTGGAAGCACCTGGAGATCCAGAGGTGTCCACCTTCGACCGCTTCAACGCGCCGGCTCGCGCCGGCTCAGTAGGCGCCCCGCTCCGGGGTTGTGGCCAGGGTCTGCGTGGCGCGCCGCTTCCGCTCCGCCTGAGCGAGCAGATCTCCGGCGGCTTCGGAGTGGTCAGACTCGGTGGACGTTGGAAGGGGAGCAAAAACTTAAATTTCACCAGTTCAGTGGTTGGATTTCAACCACGTTTCAACCACAATAAGCAAAAGTGGAAAAAATGTGTCCCAACAACCATGCAGAGCTCAAAATGCCGGGCCCACCCACCAAACCAAGCAATATTTGGCAGCATTCTGGAGTTTTTGGCGCTCAAAATGATGGAAGCCCACCCACAAAAACCAGCAATCGTTGGCAGCCCGAAATAGTAGGGTTGTCTTCCGTCGCTTTGAGACCTGACAGCAATTTGGAGCGTTCTTAGAATGGGGCCTGACAGCTTTTTGGAGCTTAGGCTCAAAGTCCACGGTCTGCCTCTGCTAGAATACCACTGCATCTGAAAAGAAACCGCCAGTAACAGCCCAAGTCCAGGCAATTTCAAGCCCATCTCTTCTTGAATCAATCCATATTTGTCAACCATCTAGTATCTGCTAGTTGTTCCTCATCTGGAAAAGCAATGTCTGCGAATGAAAGCCGCCGGCTTTCCTCGCCTGAATGTGCATCAACCTGCACAAAAGAAGTGAAGCAAGCCACCAACATTCCACCACGTGCTTCGGGCACCACTTGAAGCATGGCACCAAACACACCCAGCACCCCGGCCTGCATTTTCTCCCCGGCACCCCCGCCGATGCTGGACCTTCTGGTCCGGGTGCTCCTGTCGAATTTGTTTTTTCTGCTAGACTTCAACCAGCGAGAGGCGCGGGAAAGGCAATGGAGGCGCTTCTGCTACTTTCAGAACCCCATCAAACCAAGCAGCACCACCTACAATGACCAATCGGGGGTTTGGGCAGCTGAAGGTTTGGTCCATTTGGGGTCAAGGTCCCAAAAGGGTACTTCTGAGTTGATTGGCTGAGCAAAGGTCGAACAATGTTGGGGGCCTTGATGAAAGTGAAGACCAACCAAAATATGCTGAAGTTTGCCAACTCAGGAAAGCCCTCCAGTTCCAGTTTTAAAGCCTTCCCCACTAGGATGTGGTTGAGTCTCTTTTCCTTTGGAGTTCCTTTATGGACTTGTTCCCCTTTCTGTGGAGGGGAACACGCAAAAGCCTTCAAACACCGGTTGGGAATCTTACCCTCCCAAAAAACAAGATGGAAGCTGAAGGGCCAATATCTTGATGCCACGGTGAAGTTGGTAGACAGCACTAGAACTGCCAGTCAAACGAATCGCTGTTTCAGTTTCTTCCCCAGCCAAGATCAGATCTGTGCCGTTTCTGTATGACAACTGGCCCCGCGCGACGCCATCAAAGCCTCCACAGCTACAAAAAGCAGAAACCGTTGGCTGTATCTCACTTGAGTCTTTGCTAGAATCATGCCAAAGAGGGTGATCATCTTCTTGGAAGATCGATGAAAGTGGTGTGCCTTCAGGGCGTTATCCTCCTCCCTCCTCCCAAAGGAAAGAAGCACTCATGGGTCACCTTGTCGCTTGGTCCGGTGGTTTGGAGCTTGAGCTACCTTTTCATTTGACTTCCAGAGAAACTGGGGCAGGCCACCACTCCAGCCAGGAGGGTCTTAAGAAGTGCAGCAAGCAGCGACTGATGAAGCGACTATGGCCCACGCCTGAACCGCGGATGACAGCCCTCAGGATAGAGGTCGCTCATCAGAAAGTCACCTCAACGGGAAGTCTGAGACACAAGCCCAGGACACTGCACCGGAGGTTAGCCAAATACCCACTGCATAGCAGGGTGTTGTCTATTTCCTGTTGAGGATGCAAGCAAAGTCAGCAAGGTCTGCCGTGCTTCAAACAGGTCCGTTGAAATTCACATGCCCTTTCTGATGCAATTCATGAGCGCTCGGTGTCTCCAACGAGTAACCGAGTAACCAGGCGCACAGCACAAGAATGGCAAAAGAAACCCAGGAAATCCACCTAAAAACTTCACACTCCGAGAATGCAATACGCCTCTTACAATACGGGCTGTCGCCATGAAAGGACATGGAGAATTTCGGTCATGGTCAAAAGCAGCTACAAGACGACATGCAGCATGGAGCCACGCGAGCCAACGGCTTTGGGCATTCGATGCATCCAATCCAATGGCTTACTTGAGCCCAAGGCACGCTGCTGTGTCCAGTTGGCCTTGTCGTTGTCAATAATGCTTGTTCGCCGATCATCCTCACCCGAAGGCAGGCAGCACCGGCTGCGAAGGCCGCTCAACGGGGGACAGAAGCTATGGAGCCGAATGGAACGCAGGTCTTATCCCTGAACACTACCCCCAAAAAATGCTGGCTTCGTTTTGGTCTGCTGGAAAGGGTCATGGCTGAAATTGCCGAATGGATGCCAATAGTATGTTTTAAGGATCCCTTGAACAGTGGGCAGCAAAACAAAATACCCGTCCAGGCTTATCTGCTTCATCGCCGATTGATCCCATGAAGGTGGCACCCGGTGCCTTCCGATAGAGAGCCCGCAACCACTTCGGAGGAAAAAGTTGGGCATAAAAGTTAATGTTTGGCCCCCTTGGTGGACATCCTTTAGGTGAGGATTCATGTCTGCCAAGCACTTTTGAGGTGGTTCCTCATTAAAGTTCACACCCAATGCGTGTTGCTTGGCAGGAATTCTCATCAGTCCCTGTGGGCTGATTCTCAAAAGAGGTAACTAAAACCTCTGTTATCCGTTTTCAAAGATGCCCCCCCCCCCCCCAAAAAAAAAAAAAAAAAGAGAAACGTTTTGTTTTGAGATTCTTTGACACCCACAAAACCGTGAAACGTTCTTTAAAACAAATGGTCGGCGGACATGACAAAGTAAACTTGATGTGCAAAGGATCCATGTTCAATCATGGCTGGCTGGTACCAGGACACCTCTCGTTTGCTCGTGTGCTCGTTGTTCTGGGAAAATAGATACCCCCTGCTCATTTTTGAAGTCGATCTGTCCAACCAAAAACGAGCCAGACATTCATATCGCCAATGAAACCAATGTTCGCCATGCCTTCGGCATCGGAACATGGTGTCAACCCAGGGGGGCTTTCTCAGTGTAATACCACTGGTAGACCTATGGAAGCTTCTCAAAATGGATTTCGGACACTCTTTTAGTTGGTATTTAAAGGGAAACCGAAAGAAGACCGTTGCAATTTTGGGGGGGACCCCGATTTTCAGAAGCACCCCTATGAATTCTCACTTCAAGGGGACAATGCTTCCCGGCCTCACCGTGGTTGAAACATCCCACCTCGATCTCACCAGCAAACCAGCCAGAATCATAGGCTTGGTGGCAAGCATCCAAGACCATCCAAACCGTAGGTGTCCCTTTAGGAGAAATGGATGGGCTTCCCTGATTAAACCACCGGGTAAACCAGGACTCGAAACCCATCTACTTTTCGACCAAAACAGCCAAAAAGGACACCTATGATCCAAGACCAGACCTGGAAATGCCAGCTTCACATAGCTGCCGAAGGCTCCCCGGTCGGGCGCGAGTCAGTGGAGATCCGCGCAGAGGAGATGCGTGGCCGGCTCCTGATCCAAGCCCAATGGGTTCGGATCTGAAACACGTTAAACACGGTGAACTTGAGGAAGTTTGGGGTAGCTTGAAACATGGGGTAGCCACAGAACAAGGCCAACCAACCCACTCCCCCTGACCCCAAAAAACCTGGGGTGACGGACCAGCAAACCACAACAACATATTTTTTTTGGCCAGCATGGTACAAACAAATGTGTTCAACCAAGCATGGTTTAAAGTTTTGGCCAGCACAGTACAAGCGAGCAACCCCGGATGACACTTGCGACACATGGCAAATCACAACAAGTTTGGTTTCAACCAAAGATATGTGTGTGTGTGTGTTTTTAACCAACCATGGTTTAAACTTTTGGCCATGGTGCAATAAGGCCATGGGTCAAAACCCCGTACCCCCCGTGAACATCCCAATCCCCACTAAAATAGGTTCTAAAATGGGTGGTGAATTCACCTACCCACCAAAATGGGATCCCATTGGTTTTGACAACCACAGCCATAAGTGTGGCTCGGGCGCGAGCCGTGCGCCCAGGCTGGTTCTAGTCGTAGCCCCAGTCCCAAAAACCCAGAGGGGTCCAATGTACCAGCAAACTGGCCAGCATGGTACACACATTTTTGTTCTTCCCGAGCTCCTTTGAACTTCCTTCCCTTGAAAGGGGACTAGGGTCCGGATGTGTTTGGTCGAAATGTGTCTCAACGCTGCTATTTATCCACCCGACTTCCAGACCCCTGCTTGAGGGGGACCAGGAGCCGGTTGAGTGTTCACAAATTGTGCCACCAGCCCAGATTGTTACACCTTTCTTTTGCTATGGCTTTTAAGTGCAACCAAACAAGACTCCACAGCCAACACAAAGCAGGATTGTCCCTTTTCTTCCCCTGCAAACATCAAGAAAGCCTAAAATCCAACGACTCGACGGGTGCTGTTTTCTCGTTTGCTTTCTGCTCCCCTGCCAAAAGCTTAACTTTCCGTGGTTTAATATGGAACACCCATGAGTTGGCAAAAAGTCAAAGTCCTCCAAACAAAATGCACCAAAGTCACCTCACCTAAAATCAAACGACTCAAAGACAGCTGTTTTTCTTTTTCTTTTCTTTTTTACGGATGTCCAGGTCCCCAAAGAAAAAAAACCAATTCCTCCGGCTCCGCCCGTCTCCTCGGGGGCGTGGAGGGCAGCTGCAGCAACTCCTGGCGCTCCTCCGGGGAGCCCAGCGGCACCCTCAGCGCGCGAGTTGATGGCGGAGTTCCAAGGTCAGAGGCTTCGAAAGGGGCCGAAGGCTGACGTTGACTGCTATGGGTTGGATCTTCAAACTTTCACTTTTTGGGGAAATCCCGGGGGTTTCTGTATTAAACCCCAAAAAGTGCAACACTTTTTGCAGGGAAAAAAGTCCCATGTGGGTGTTCCGCCTTTCGCATCGACTTCTAGGGGTACCTTCCATTTCCATTCTTAACCCAGGGATCCGGATCTTTTTAGAAAACCTCCAGAAACCCAGGGAAAACGGATCCGTTGTTTTTGGAAAGAACGATGGTGGAAACGAATGGGGAATCAACCCCTAGAAACATAGGACACAGCAGCTTTTGGCGTCCGCTTCATGTTAGCCAAAAAAAACCTTTGTAATTTTGGTGTCCACTGGATGTTAGCCAAATAAAACAACTTTGTACTTTTGGCGTCCGCTTCATGTTAGCCAAAACCAAAAAACAAGTTCGTAGATGCCAGCGTGCCAAAAAAAACAGATCTCAACATGTCAGCGCCAAGTCAGCTGGTTCCCCGCCTTTGGGTCCTTCAAAGCAAGCCACAGCTTTGGCTGCTTCTATTCGCGGCGGTTCCTCAAACCCTTTTTCCCGCAGTATTCTGTGGATTTCTGTTCGAACCTGTTCAGAACGTAAGCCCGAGCTTGGCAATCCGCTTCTTGGGCCCCGTTTGAGCAATTTCCGAGAACTCGAACTCCAGGTGCGCGACTTTGTGACTGCATGTCCGGGTTTCATGGAATTTCACGGCATGTACCATGCTTTTCCCGACCGGGAAAACCCCAACACCCTTCGAAAGCCGTTTCAAGTCCTTCCTCGGCCATTTTTGTAGGGCCGACCCAACGAAAGTTGGAAGCTTCCCGGTCCCACACACCCGAAGGCCAAGGGCCACCCGGGCGGAGGGGACTGAAATTCTGCCGGCTCACTGCGGCTATGAGTGAAGAGGCGTCCAACTAAACCATGTTAAAAACAAGCACAAAAGGCAAAAGCCGCTAAACCAAAAAAAACGCAAGAGCCCCTGTTTGCCCCCCAAGCTTCAAGCCTCTTCCCAAGGTTTTCTCCTCCGGGATTTTTTTGACAGACGGCCCGAGGATCGCCCAGCCGAGTTGCATGCCTTGAGTCCTGTGGAAGAGGGCCATCATCTCTTCCTGGGTCTGGGTCTGCCTGGCCGAGGGCGAATGGTTTTCCCAGCGACACAGCTCGGCTTCCCTCTTGGTGATGGCAAACCAGTTGAGGCATTCAAGCGAATGCCCTGCGCAAAATCGAGATGGACAAGCCTGCGTTGCACCTCTGTTCGTGCAGCTCTTCCGACATTTACGTGGGGATTTATGCCCACCAACCATCCTGGTGGGCATTTCTCGCTCGAAATCACCGCCACATCTCGGCCATCGCCCGATCCCATCCGGCTTTCTCGCCATCTCCTGCTCGAGTGCCTTGATGCGCTCTTCCATCTTCTGGAACTGTGACATTGAGATGGTCACACCTCAGCTGATGTACTCCCATGAGTCCCATATGGGCACCACAGGTTTTTTCCATTTTGCCAGGGTCCATTTTGGGGTTACCCTATTTTTGACCCACAGCCATATTGACATGAAGCCCAAAAGCAGATCCAAAGGAGATTCCTCCAAACATGAAGCGCGTTTTACTTCCACACATATCTGCGTGAAATTCAAGCCGAAGAACTGCTTGCTCAAACCAAAATGCATTGAGCATTTCATGAAGTGGTACTGTGTCCGATGTCATTCTATGACGTACGATCCTGCTAAATGAAGATTCCTGCTGAGGGACGACCAGCAGCACGAGGCGGTGTGGAGTCACAAGCGCGGCAAGAAGCCCCAGTGTAGCATATAATTCATTGAGATTGCAGAGACTCAATATGAGCAGCGCCCAAAACCCATTAAAGTCGGTTCCAACCAGGTCAGGTAGTAGAACCATCTACTATGGCCAAAACAGGTTTGGGCGCTCGCTGCTCATATGCCCTCAGCAAATTCATTCAATCTTGGCGCTGTCAGATGTCGCCAACATAACCAAGCAAAGCGAGCAAAGCGCGAAGCTGGAAAACCAAAACAAAAAATTACAATCGGAGGCTTTGGAGGCAAACGCAGGGCAACTGCGCCTTAAGAACAACTCAAACACCCCCAGGCTCTGACACATCCAGCGCTCCATCCTCCAATGAAGTGACATCGTCAATATGACCCTTTAAACGGACCGCGCGGAATGTTCGCTATAATGGACACAATCCACAACTGCAAAAACAAAAACGCCAATGCCAGCCAGCTTCTTTCGTCGGTGTCGCCAACACTCGTTGAGGCATCGTCCTGGCATCTCATTCTGACAGTCAACGCCTCTCCTTCGCTCACGGGCAGTGCTGCCACTTGGCACCCCGACAGCGACCTTAACCCATTGACCGGTTACTCCAACCTGGACCTGGTTCTAAATAAAATTTCATTTGGGTTTGTCTTGGACCCCAAGAATGGTTTGGCTTCTTTTCTGGGTTTCCCTCGGAAAAAAATACCGCCCCCCCCCTCCGTTTACAGGGTGCATGTAACCCAGGGAGGATATGCCCATCTCAAAAGCACGAGAAGGAAGTATCAAGTGGGGTGTTGAGGAAGCGCAGGATGTGCGCTGGCGTTATGTCTCTCTGTACTCCGTGAGGCTAAAACCAGCAACTGAGACTACGAATGGCCTTCAGCCCAAACGACGTGCACATCATAGATTGCGCGAAGGTCAATCATCTGGCAAGCACAGAACAAAACAGACACAAATTCTTTTGACCCTCAGCATCGAACTGAACTGTTTGTTACAAATCGCGACGATGTGAAGCTGAGACCTGCCCACCATATAAGAAGTGGTATAAATTATCAAAGCACAAATTTTGGAAGTGTTGTGGTTGCGTCTGTGTCGGGTTTTGGCACCGTCGTGCGATCTGAGGTCAATACTCTGATCTTTGGGATCTTGGTACATAGCATTGGTGACTTCCATGACCATGCGTCGCCCCTTGAGAGTCATCACATCGCTTAGCTGAATCTTAAAGATCGAACATGTGTCTTGCCCTTTCTTACCAGTTCCAGCGCGCATGTTCTGGAACGACGGCTTAGGCAAGGGCCTGAGATGGCTGAAGAGCCTTTCTGTTCTTGTTACAGCGCTTCCTTCTCATCAGGCAACAAAAGCTCGACCCCGGCTCCTTAGGTGAAATGGATTCATTCTGCGTTTTACTGACCTTGATCGATCTGGTTCCAAGATCCAGCCACGGCTCTCCGTCCAGGGAAATGACCCTCAACAGTATGCCTCCCGTGCTTCCCTCAAAGCTGGACTGGCCCTCTTGCCACTTGTCACCGATGCGACGAGGCCTCGAGCTCGCTCACAGATTCTGCGCAAGACCTTCTCCCATTTCGCAAGATATCTGTCTTAACACTAATTGCGCGAGCGTTTGCAACATCAAGCTGCATGATATCTTCCGGGCCTCGTCCAAAGCAAGCTCCAGTGAAGTCAGCCCTCCATAATGACGTTCGCCGCCTTCTTCTCTGGTTTTTACCACTTCTGCAGCGAGCAATGTAGTTGCTCCGTCCAGAATTATCAAGGATGAGAGTCATGTCGGCAAAGGTGTCTGCTCGCAAGCCGTCTGCAGGCGACCTGCTTGAGAGACGCGCCTGTGTTGATGGAGGTACTGTTCTGCTCGATTTGGCCACTTGGTCCCGAGGATGTCGGTGTGATGTCAAGGGCTGGTAGACGGCTCCCCACTTGTTGGTGCAACTGGCGCGCTTCTCAGTGACAACCAACCGCCACCAAGCCCGCGGCGGTCATTAGCCCATAGCCGAATCTGACCTCTGCAATCCCGACAAGCACAGGCCACCAAAACGCATGAAAGACCTCATCTCCTCGCGCAAGGGCGTGGGCTTCATCAGGATCGGTGGCTGGCAGGATCGGCTGAAAAGCGTCACGACGTGCCATCGTCGTCATCACTTGAGAACAGCCCTATCAGTAAAGGCTGGCGCTGAGAGATTGACGACTGCGGCATGCTTCGTTTTTGTCCTTTCCACCTTGTCCTTTATCATTGTGCCATGAATATTTCCACTTGCGATCGTTGAGATCCGTGGTAACATCAGCGACAACCTGGCCTTCCGCTTGCTGCATGCAAAAAAGTTCCGACATGTGACCCTCAGAAGCAGCAGCGCACGCCTTGTCCAGCTTGCGCAACTCATCAAAGGAGCCGAGGCATACCACGAAAAGGTTGTTCCCTTCTGGCACAGGTTGTCCCTTTGCCCCTTCGCTAGCAGGCGCAACTACTTTTTCCAAAAGCATTGAAAAAACGGAGAAAGGATTTCCTTAAATATATCCGGAGTTGGGGAGTCCAGGTATGTTGCCTTGACCTAATTAGTTTTGAACAGGCTAGATTAGGAAGGCGGGAGAGAGAGAGGGAGAGAGAGAGGGAGAGAAGCACGGATTAAATGACTGCCACTGATGATAGCCAGCCCATAGGGACAACAGCCATGTTTGGGTAAACAAGGCACGCCTCCCGTCACACTGCCATCGACGGGCTTTGCAAAGCGGAAGACTGCGGCGGCAGCCTGAACAGGTTGAAGCATGACGCAAAGCCTCTGAGTCCACAAGAACTTCTTGACGCTCATCCAAGGTCAACACAGTCAGCTGGCCCAAGGAGGGCGAAAAACTTGTCCCTTGCTCCTCCACTTCCTCGAAGGTATGAATCTTGGCGCGCTGGTCACAAAGAAAGCTCGGGGTACTGTGTTCTCAACATCTCGTAACTCAAGCAGGTGTCTCTCAATGACACTGCACTAAGCCTGTATTCTCGTTGTTGGTTGGCCAGCTCACTCTGGATGATGAAGAATGAAGAGTTGGGCAAGAAGGTTGTCATTGAGTGGGACGCGTGTCGGGGTCTTGCTGACATTGAATCAACATATCTCGGCATCATTCGGGCCCGCGTAGGCTCTGGGCGGCGCTCCGGCTCTGCAGCTGTGCGGCTTGTCTTGCACTTGCTGCCTGCGCTGCTTGGAGACCACGCGGCGCCTCTGCCGTGCTTGCAGGCATCAGGTCGCCCCGTGATGATATGAGCCCTCCCAAACAAACCTCAAACTGCGAGTCGAGATAGACACACTTTCGTAGCTCCCTCCTGGAAGTGGATCTTGAGCGTGTGCTTGATTTAGCCCGCTCCTTCACATCGTTGTCTAGCAGGTCTCAGTACACGAGCGCATCGCCACTCAAGCAGGCAGGAGACGTTCCTCCGCTGACGTGAGCGCGGTCCAATCATCTATGAGCTCCTCACACCTGATCCAGCTGACACGTCCGTCGTACAATGCTAGAAACCTGGCAGTCGTCGACAGGTCGATAGGTTCCTCGGTGGACTTCTCCATCGGATGACATCTTCCTTTGTCTGAAAACCTGCTCTGCTAGCACAATTGTGGTACTGGGGGGCTATGCACACGCTTGTCAGGGTTCACTGTGTTCCTGGACCTACCTCAGAAGCGACAAGGAAGCATCAAATGATGGGTGTTGATGAAGTTCAGGCTCTGTCCGGTAAGCACAAGCAGCTATGGCTCTTCTGTTGCTCTCGGGGCTAAATGTAGCTACTTAGGCTACCCACCAGGACAAAAGTTGCGCCTCTTGGGCCTTCTCAGGAAACACAACCCCTTCCCCCAGAATCCTGCAAGTTGTTGCGGGGTCATTCGCGGTCGAATTTTCAGACTCCAAAGCCTTTAACGCATTTTAAATTTAAAAGAGGCTAACAATTGACTGTCCCACTTTGCAGAAACCATCAAGAGGCATAAACTTTTGTCCTTCTGATGTCAAAAGGGCTTTGGGCCAAAAGACGTAGATTGCGTGAAGGTCAATCATCTGAAAAACCTCTGGAAAACACAGAACAACCACCATGCAATCCTCTCTTAAATGGGACACCTCTCCTTTCCATCAAACCAAGGGTTTATTCATCCTGAAGTCCCATTAATACATATATATATATATATGTATCGGGGAATTCAGCATTTTTCCTCATTGGCCCCAACTTTCAGGGGGGTTCGCCCCCCGCCCCCATGAACACCCCCCCACTTGACGCCGACCCGCCCTCCCTGCCTCTGCCTCTCTCTGGCTGCCACTCTTTCGCACGCGCCTGGGGTGGCTCCTTTCTTTAACTGGGATCCTTACAATGGATCCACCTGAACATTGCAACTTGTAAATGGTGTCCTGTACTTTGGTGGGAAAAGCCATGTTTCAAATGGGCGAAATGTATCTTTTAAGGAGCCCTGTTTCATCATATTCTTTGATCATGTGGGTATGGGTCAAAATGAAACCAACAGGATATGGACCGCAGGTTTTAGTCCATGTTTCCATTTGCCAGGGCACTATTTTGGGTATACCCTATTTTTGACCCACAGCCATATCTGTTTGGGTTGTGCGTTGTTCTTTGGGTACTTATTGTTTGCTGCGTTTTGGATACCCTTCGGTGCAGTCTGAACAAAGCGAAACCTAAGGAACGTCCCCCCACATTTTTGGAGTCCATTCGGGGACACAAACTCTGAATGACCTAAAAACACTGGAGCCGCGGACAAAATTGCTCGTGTTGCCCAAAGGGCACGGGCAAATGGAGTCGAGGTTGTTGGTTCTTGCGTCAAATCTCCCATGTCCGCAAACTACCAATAGACAGCTGCCAGCTGCTCAACGCCTTGCTTTCTGAGAAGCAGTGTCACCTAGACTTTGCACACACCTTGCTTCACGGGGGCGCCGATTTGCTCCGGAGGAAACTGGGGGAACCTGCCATTTGCGCAGAGCGCATGTCGAGCCCATATGGGTATGGGTCAAATCAAACCACCGTTTTGGTCCATGTTTCCACTAGGGTTCCATTTGGGGGATTCCTATTTTTGACCCACAGCCATATGGCCATGGATCAAAATCCCGTACCCCCAGTGAACATCCCAAATCTCCACTTAAATAGGTTCTAAAATGGGCGGTGAATTCACCTACCAACCAAAATGGGATCCCAACACGGTTTTGACAACCACAGCCATGTCGTGGTTCCCTGCCTGGAAACTGGGGAACTTCTGCACGGCGAGGCCACGTCCAAGATGCGCTCCTGGCGGAATGTATTTTCGAGAACCAACTGGTCGGTGGTCTCATCGACACCGGAGGTCCAAACGGTAAAAACCGGAAAAAACCGGTCGGGCGGCGCGAAACCGGGGGAGCCCTCTGAGCATAGGTGTCCTTTTGGGGCAAATAGATGGGTTTCCCTGGTAGATGATTAAACCACCAAATAAACCAGGGCCAGCTATTTTTCGACCAGAACAACCAAAAACGACACCTATGCCTCTGAAGGTCTGGGTTTAGCATCAGCTACCACCCCAAGGGGGTGTTCCCATGCCGCTGTCAAATCTTTTCAGACTCAAGCTTCCATTTGGTTAAGGCCCCAGCAAAAATCAAAAATAAGTCCAGTAGTGATGAATTCCTTTCAAAACCAACAAGGGAAGAATAACATATTCTTAAGCAAATGGAGGCAAGAGCTCTGCGTCGCCTCATCTTTCCTCCTTCTGAGCTCAGCAATTTCCCTCTCCTGCCAGGCACGCATGGGGGACCCTCGAGCAGCTTGCTTTTGACATTGCCCCTCACTGCATGCACCACGCTGCCTGCTCTTCTTTGTCCCTCTGCATCCTTTCCATCTCCTGGAGAGAGAGAGAGAGAGAGAGAGAGAGAGAGAGAGAGAAAAAAAAAAAAAAAAAGAGACTGCTGACAAACTGTCTGTTCAATTGAGCAAGCAGCAGCAACCTCACCCGGCAGGCAAACACAGCGCAACTGAGAGACCAGCTCTTGTAAACAGTTGGCGCCAATGTAAGCTCAAAATATAACCGTGCCATCTCACGTGAACTCCGGTAGTTTATCGATTTATTGTTGCGTTATTTGCTGAATCCTTGTCAAGTCCGCAGCTTTGTGCCATGATGATAACGAACAGCGTCTATTGCTTTGATAGTAGGAAAATGGTGCTGCGGGCTGTGTACAGGTAGTAGTTTACGTTTTTGCTCTGGCAAAAACAACATTCTGGGCAGCAAAAAGCAGGCTTACACGTCTGCTCTACAATCCCTGCTTGTTTAAACTGGCTCCATGTTGTATGTAGAACGGCAAACATCACCGCACACATGTTCTTTGCGAGCATGCAACTTCATGTGTTTCGGGGAATTTGTGAATCCAATGGCCCTGACAAAGTGCTGTGTTGGTCACGTATCTTTCACCGATTCGAGTGGTGGAAAGCATCATCTGAACCGCTAGACAAAGCATGTCGCTGTGTTCGGCAAAACCACGCCATCAAGCCCTATGTTTGTCTTTCACCATGGCATATGTCAATCAAACCACAGGGATCCTTACAATGGATCCACCTGAACATTGCAACTTGTAACTGGTGGCGTCCCTTTATTTTGGTGGAAAAAGCAACATGTTTCAAATGGTGACGCCAAATGGAGATCTCTTAAGGAGCCCTGAACCAATGCAGCGATTGCACATGACACGGGCGCTAGGCGCTAGGAGCCTACTTCCATGCTGAAAGTAAACAGGCTGCTCCTCTTCAAGGCCATCCCGAAAAAGGTCGGCCTACTTTTGACACATAGCATCTCTACTCTTGGTATGGTAGCGAAAACCCCCCCAGTAAAAATGAACAGAACCCAAAAACTAAAAAACCAAAAAACATGCCAAGGACAGTGAAGATAAGCATTTGCAACTTGTTGTTTCTTTGTGGGTGTGTTTGTGTGAAGGCAAACCCAACGCATTTGCTGGGCTGTGCAAAAAGGTTGGCCAATCGCAATCCACTCTATTGGGAGACCACACCCCAAGTCTTTTCGTCAAGCGAATGGACCGGCCCGGGTTGGAAATGAGTCATGCAACGGCAACTCCTAAGTGACGGACCCTGCATGGCGAAGCTTGCTTCTAAACTTTAGCCCTCGGTAAGCTCTCTTGAGTCCAAACGGCATGTGAGCCCACATCATACGACTTGCTTCCCGACAGGACATGGTATATAAATTGGATCCCGCTCTCCGGGGTTTTGGAATGTTGGTTGTCCCCACCCCATGCCGCAGACACCAATAATCTTGAACTAGATAGGGGAAACCAGTTGAAACACGGCAAAAGGATACCCGGAAACGGCCGCCTGCCCCAATTCTCGGTCGCTTTCAACCAAACCACACTCCCCACCACCCAAAAAGGGGCGGCACATTGGGCGCCAGGGCCTCAAAGAATCCTAGGCCTCACCCCCCCGAGGCTGGGGGAGTCGAAACGCCGTCGCGGTCGACTCGTCGTCCTCCCGGACCTTTCGGATCTCGTCCAGGCGCTTGGCCTCCGCATGCTCTTCCCTGAGCCTCTGCTCCTCTTCCAGTTTGGCCTCAGCCGAAGACTTGGAGCCGTTGCAGACAACCCGAAAAAGAAAAATGAAGAAAAACAAAACATCTCAAGAAACCAGGCAACAAAAAGAGCACATGTCCTATTCATGGACGAAACCCTGCACCAGTTGGGATGAGTGAAACCCCAATCATTACCGGGATTGTCCGTCTACCAACCGGCGCAGGACTTTGTCCATGCACAGTATGGGCGTGTCTTCCATTAGGGAACCTCCAAAAAGTGTTGGTTTCCTGTTGGCATCCCGTTCCATTAGAAACTGGTGCCCGCAAAAAAAGAAAAAAGAAAAAGCGCACCCATACTGCAACGGGAAAAAAAAAAGGAAAGCGGGAAAATCCCGTCATGTGTCATGGCTGCGTGGTTCGGTGCGGTTGGGTTACTTGCAATATTTAGGGCATCCACCGAATTCATGGCTCCAAAGAACCCTAAGGAGCTCCAAGATCCTCAGGTGGGGTCCCAGGTCCTTCCCGCCGCGGCACGTTTGGCTGGGGGGTCACGTGTGTGTTCGATCAGAACACTGGGCCGCGCTCTGTTCTGCCAAAAGAACGCGACTCGCGTTGCGCTTCTTCGTAACTTTCACTCAAACGATCTAGCAGAGCATGATTCGGTCCACGTGCTTGGTTCTGTTTCCAGGGGATGTCAGGTTGTCAGTCTCAAAAACTAAAAAAAAATGTGGTTCCTGTCGCATCTGGTCGCACCATTCATGGCTCTGCCTCCCAAGCCTTTCTCGCAAGTCGCTTCCAACATATTGGGCCATTGAAGTGACACCCCAGAGATGTAAATCAAAGCAATCAAGGTTTCTATGCTTGTGATTTGGTCATTGTGTTGAGGTTTGAGGCACCCTTGGTACGTATACCGTCATTTTGATACAACCTTGCGAGTGGTTGGAAGAGCGTCGACCTCCAAACGTCCTCTGAAGAACCGCCCAGAATGCTCACCCAGAAACTGACGGGCTTCGAAAGAAATGTCTCAAGTGAGGGGGGCCTCACTTTGGTGTTTGAGAATCATGGGGTTTCCCAGTTCCCTCCCACCAAACCAACCTGGACGTGCACAGACCCCCTTTCCTAGAGGAAAGTAGTCTTTCTACAGGGCTCTGTGCACTTCCATGTTGGTGGGGGGGTATCTGTTCGGGTCTTGTAGAAACCCGGGGAGGTGGATTATGATCGCTGTCACAAAGCCGGCTCCCAGCCGCTACCCAAGCGAAAGAAACTCTTGTCGTCAAGCAGCTTGCCCAAAACGGCAATGGTGGGCAAGGTATGCACCCGAGTTGGATGCCAATGAAATGTGCGGAATGTGGAACGCAAAAAGCAGATGGTAAAATGGAGGGTGCGATGCAAACTCCTGTAACAAACAGACAGGAGTTTTGCGGACAATAGTGCTCGCTGGTTCACTTGGGTAGTCCCATCCCCTTGTGTCGGTTGTAGTATAGGAGGAGATCGGGGATTTGTCTAGTGGGCGGGTTCCTTCGGCTTCTGCGCAATGACCGGAGTCACACGGGTTGATGACTAGGCGGGGCATCGGTCAAAATCCCGCAGCCCCAGTCAACATCCCAATCCCCGCTAAAATAGACTAAAATGAGTGGTGCACCTACCCCAAAATGGTACCATTGGTTTTGACCCGCAGCCTTGTCCTTTTCTGGGGCTGTTCTTTCTCAGTGCTGGTTTGTCTTAAACGTCCCCAGCATCACATGGACCCCTTCCGTGTTGGATGAGCCACTGCTAAACCAGCCGCAGACCTGGCGCAGCCCCAGGCCAACCCAAACCCACCGCAAAGCAACCCAAAACCCACCACAACAGCCGCCTGGATATCAGGCCTTTGCCGAGCTCAATGACCTACAAACCAACACAAGGCCGCCCTAATGAAGATCTTAGAGAGCCTTAAACTCACCCTAAATCAACCCGAGCAACTCCCAATTGCTACCAAATCTGATCTAATTGGCAAGTGAGGCGGGTGATGCTGGGGATGCGGGCAACCAACCGACCGACCGACCGACCAACCAACCAACCAACCAACCAACCAACCAACCAGCCCTAGAACAAAACGTCCTGGTGAATGAAGAAAGGAAACAAACACCTCATCCCAAAAAAAACACACCTCGGAAAAGAAGACACGCGCATATTGCAAGGAACAAGGGAACCCCCACCCTCGTCGATCCTTCCACTGGGCTCCTGCGACGGGTCCCGGTCCGTGTACCCGTGTACTGAGCGTCCGTGCCAGAGCCAACCGTCGCTCCTCCTCCGCCTTCTGCCGGACCTCCTCCTCCATCCTCCGCCGCTCCTCCTCGATCTTCCTTCGCTCCTTCCCGACATCGGGTGCGGGCTGAGGGTGCCCCTCTTCGTGCGGGCTGAAGTGAAGCAAAAAGGAAACCCCACCCCTTTTGGGGCGCACCCACACCCAGATAAGCCCCGGACAACCGCAAAATAACACGGGAAAGTTGGGCTGCCCCCAATACCCCCGAGCCGACAGTGGACTACCAATGATGTGTTCAGTTGCTCACATCAGTTCGCTGACAACACGAGAGACTCTCGCGCGCTCATCTATGAGATGCAGCAACCTCTTCAAGACTTCCGTGCCTCAGCGATGCGACGCTCCTCTTCTCGTCTCCTCTCAGCCTGCGAAGAAAAGGATTCTATTGCAAATTGGTCCGAAGACACCTGGCATTAGACGATGAGGTCCCATTGGAAATATGTCCGAAGACACCTGGCATCAGACGCACCGATGCCCCACGTTTGCCCACCCCGCCACCCCGGCTGCCACGCCTCTTTCTTCTTGGACTCCTCTGCAGTGCGCTGACGGGCGCCGTCAGCCAAAGGACGAAGCCTGCGCTCGCACTTCGCGGCTCACTCTGCAGAACTGCTGCGGATGGTTGCGTATTTCGCACCACCTAAGAAACCACGGTTGGGAACCATTGCTTGCTTGGTATTTGCAACGGAATCGAATCCATCCAGGGTTTCTTAGGTGGTGCGAGCTGCTGGGAGACACAAAACGGCACCTCCTGGTTGGCCGCTCATTCCGGTAAACACCCCTCAAAAAAGAGAACCGCACTGCGTGCACCGGCGGTCCTTTTGCACTCCACCCAAAGACTGGCTGATTTGCCCTCACAGAAACCACAAAGCCCTTGAGAATGATCTTTCTCGAGAAAGAGTTCCTGCACCTTTTGCTTCTGCAAAGATGCAGAGAATCCGGCTTGCAGCCAAATCTCGCATTTTGCAAGCATTTTCACCAATGATCATGAGGCAATTCCTCTTAATCGTACCCACCCCAGAACGCTTGCCCAAAGAACCTGGAAATAAAAGGTTAACCGAGTAAATATGGACCAAAAACGGGAAACCAAAAGGTCAAAAGGTCAGCTTTGGACAACTGAGAGCATCATCCCAGGAGCCTCTTCTGCATGAAGTAGAAGAGATGCAGCGACTTTGCCAGGCGCTCCCGTCTCCGAGCGCGGGCCTGCGACTGGAAAGAATCCGAGACTTGCAGTGGCGGGCACCCTCTGTGTGTGGCCGTCAGCCCATTGTAAAGTGAACCCTCTCAAAACAAGCAAATAACCAAGAGCACTGCATGTTTCAGGGACAACAAACTCCGTTTTTGATTTTTGGTGAAAAAACAAACACCAACCCAACTGAGAAGTGCACCCACACTTTCATGAATCAGGAACCTGAGGTCGCCACAATTCCCTGGCTTCTCCCCTCCTCTTCCACAAGGGTTTGCGAAACGAGCGATAGATAGGGTTATAAGTCCGGCTTTGCCTCGCCATTTCAAGGGCTCGTTCCTGGCCACCTCACTCTCTTCAATAAATGCGGGGATAAACCTTATAAAGCTCACAACCCCTGATTAGCAGGGGTTGACCGCCTCGTTTGGTCCAAGCATTCGCAGGCCAAGCTCGGCTTTTAAGGGTCAAGGGTGCCCATGTTCAGCCACAGCTGCTTTGCAAGGGCTGACAAAACTGATACGCGTGCGCGCGCAGCGGGGGAATGCAATGTCCGATGCTCAAAAGTGTCTTCCAATCGCGACGCTTGGTCGGAGCACTCCCAAGGCGCTCTCGAAGTGTTCGGAGCTGGGCCCATGGGGGACGCACACAAGTCGCGCGAACTTGGCTTTCGCGGCAGGCGCCTTTCGCAGGATCAGAAGCCGCCCTTTTTTTGGGCACGCACTTTCGGAAGGTCAGGCATGGATTTGAGGCAGCTGGTACAGATCTCATGTCAGGCGAAGCACTTTCGCAAGGTCAGGCACAGATTTCGCTGATGGCGCAGCACTTTCGCAAGGTCAGGAGCAGATTTCGTGGCAGTTTCGCTGGACAGATAAATATATAGAGAGAGACAGCGAAAGAGACAGATACATAGATAGATAAATAGATAAGATGAGATGAGATAAGACTAGATTAGATTAGGTTTGGATGAGATTAGATCGACTGGATAGAATACATATCAGAAGATAGACAGGATAGATAGGATAGATATGATAGAGAGGATAGATGGGATAGATAGAATAGATAGGATAGATGGGATAGGATAGACAGGGTAGATAGATAGAGATAGCTAGTCATAGATAGAGATAGATAGAGATAGACAGAGATAGATATAGAGAGAGAGGTAGAGATACAGAAGAAATGGAGATAGAGATAGAGGTAGAAAAAATTAGGGATACATAGACAGAGATATAGAGATGGAGATAAGAGATGAGATATACATGGAGACGGAGATAGAGATATGATATAGAACTAGATAGACATAGAAAGATCGATAGATATAGCTAGATCGATAGATACCGATAGAAGACAAATATAGGTAGATAGAAGATAGATAGATAGATTGATTGATATAGATAGATAGAAATATATATATATATATATATTTATAGACAGATAGATAGATAAATTGATAGATAGAGAGAGAGAGAGAGAGAGAGAGAGAGAGAGAGAGAGAGAGAGACAGAGAGTGAGCGAGAGCGAGAGACGGGAAGGAGAGAAGGAAGGAAGGCAGGCAGGCAGCCAGGCAGCCAGGCAGCCAGGCAGGAAGGAAGGATGGGTGGATGGATGGATAGATGGATAAATAGGTAAAATCCGCCGACCCCTTCTCCTCAAAGGGGGAGGCGCACGGGAAGGGTGGTTACAGCACAAGTCCAAGGTTGGTTGGTAAATGAGCATAGCCGAAGATTCAACATTATCAGCGTAAGCAATACCGTCATCGTAGCAGAGGGTGCGTAGTCATGATTATCATCATGACTGTTGGTGATGCAGAAGATGCACGATGATGGTTATCGTCCATGATGACGATGACCATGATGCTGATGATGATGACGATGGTGATGATGACGATGATGACCACAATCATGGTGATGATGACATGCTCATCGTCATCACATCATCATCGTTGTGACCTGATTGGAGATGTAGAGGATGCGTAGACATGATTATCATCATGACTGCTGGTGATGCAGAGAATGCACGATGATGGTTATCATCCAAGATGATGACGATGATGATGACGATGATGATGACGATGATGACGATGATGATGATGACGATGATGGTGATGATGAACCACCATGGCGACGATGACATGCTCATCATCGTCACATCATCATCGTTGTGACCTGATTGGAGATGCAGAGGATGCGTAGACATGATTATCATCATGGCTTGGTGATGCAGAGGATGCACGATGATGGTTATCATCGATGATAATAACGGTGATGATGACGATGACGATGACGAAAATGATGCTGATGATGATGACGATGATGATGATGATGATGACACGCTGTCAGTATATCACATCATAATCGTTGTCGTCCTTATCTTGTTAAAATAGGTTTCAAATGTAGCGTTAGACCCGATTGGAGATGCAGAGGGTGCGTAGTCATGATGATCATCATGACTGTTGGTGATGCAGAAGATGCAAGATGATGGTTATCGTCCATGATGACAACGATGACGATGATGATGCTGATGACGATGACGATGTTGTGACCTGATTAGAGATGCAGAGGATGCGTAGACATGATGTTGTCGTCCTTATCTTTTTCTAGAAACGGTTCTAGCGTTAGAGCCGATTGGAGATGCAGAGGGTGCGTAGTCATAATTATCATCATGACTGTTGGTGATGCAAAGGATGCCCGATGATGGTTATCGTCCATGATGACCACGGTGATGATGACGATCACGATGATGATGATGATGCTGCTGCTGATGACGATACATCATCATCGTTGTGACCTGATTGGAGATGTAGAGGGTGCGTAGACATGATTATCATCATGACTGTTGGTGATGCAGAGGATGCACGATGATGGTTATCGTCCATGATGACAACGGTGGGTAATGATAACGATGACGATGATGATGATGCTGCTGATAATGACGATGATGATGACGATGATGACCGCCATCATGGTGATGATGACATGATGATGACGATCATGATGATGACGATGATGATGATGACGATGATGACCACCATCATGGAGATGATGACATGCTCATCATCATCATCACATCATCATCGTTGTGACCTGATTGGACATGCAGAGGATGCGTAGACATGATGATGTTGTCGTCCTTATCTTTTTTATATACGTTTCAAGGGTGACGTTAGAGCCGATTGGAGATGCAGAGGGTGCGTAGTCATGATTATCATCATGACTGTTGGTGATGCAGAAGATGCACGATGATGGTTATCGTCCCCACCGGACGTGATCGGGCCGCAGGCCAAAGCCCGGTAGGGCTTACCTTCAGGTATAAGGCCGTGCGCCCCATGCCGCCGACCATGAGCGGACCATGAAGGTAGGTTTTGCGCTGGGCCCGCCCTTATAAGGGGCGAAGGATTTGCGGATTGGTTTCGGCGATTTTTGTAGCATCTCCCCGCGGCGTCCAAAAACGAGCGTTTTTAGGGGGTGCCTAATACTGGACAACACCCCCAGCATTGCCAGCATCATCCCGGATGATGCAGATGATGTTATGCATGCTGGCGATGCGGGTGATGCTGGGGATGTTGTCCCCTAAGTCGGGCCAACTTTGCCGAAAACGTGCAACCTGAAAAACTTAAAATCTTAAAGTGGGTGGAAAATGGCCTGGATTGAAATCTCAAAATCCTAAAGTCTTAGATTCTTAAAATCTTAAATTAAAATCTAACAATCAATCTTAGAATCTCAAGATCTTAAAATCTTAGAACTTAGAATCTTAAAATCTGAAAATATAAAAACATCCTAAAGTCTTCGAATCTTGAAATCTTAAAAACCTTATGTCTTAGAATCTTGAGATCTTAAACTCTTAAAATATGAAATTCCTAAAGTCTTACACTCTTAAAGTCTCAGAATCTTAAAAAGCTTTAAAACTTAAATTCTTTAAACCTCGAACAATTGTAAATTATTAAAATATTACATTCCTTCAATCCGGGCTATATTTTAAATTCCTTAAACTCTTAATCTTGAAATTTTGAATTCTTGAAACCTTAAGATCTTAAAATTACAACCTTACAAGTTAGAATCTTACAACCTGAAAATATAAACATCCTAAAGTCGTCGAATCTTGACTTCTTAAAACCCTCATGTCTTTGAATCTTCAGATGTTCAAATCTTAAAATATGAAATTCCTAAATTCTCAAAATCTTAAAATCGCAGAATCTTAAAAGTTTCAAAAACTTAAATTCTGTCAATCTCGAACTATTGCAATCTGAAAATATTAAATTCATAAACAAGTAAAATATAATAAAATTCCTTCAATCCGGGCTATATTTGAAATTCCTTAAACTCTTAATCTTGAAATTTTGAAGTCTTGACATCTTAAGATCTTAAAATCTTAAATTACGAAAGTCACCAAATCTGAAAATCTCACAAAAATAAAATCTTAGCCTGCGAAATCTGATACTGGATGGAAAATGGCTGGGCAATGGCCTGGCTGTTATAACCTTCAAAAACCTTAAATCTTTGAATCTTAAAACCTTAATTCTTAAACCATTGAAACCTTAAATTCCGAAAGTCTTCAAATCTGAGACCCTTAGAATCTCAAAGTTTTTAGAATTTTAAGATCTTAACATCTACTAATCGGACTTACAGGAAAGGGAAGTGACAGAACGGGCAGGGCAAGGTGCCCGGTGGCCGGCTGTGTCGCGTCAGCGTGTAAATCCGGCCACCGGGGGCCCTGACCCCGTGGTCCGTGACATCGCCGAAGGCCTAGGCCCGCAGGGCCTACCTTCAGGTATAAGGCTGTCCGCCCCATGCCGCCCACCGCCGACCATGTGCCAAACTTTTGCGCTGCGCCAAGCTGGGCCCACCCTTATAAGGGGCGAAGGATTTGCGGATTTGTTCAGGCGATTTTTGGCGGCTTTTTGAGCATCTCCCCGCGGAGTCAAAAAACGAGTGTTTTTTGGGGGGTGCCCATAGTGGACAACATCCCCGGCATCACCTGCATCATCCGCATCCTTGGCGGACATTGATGCGGATGATGCCGGTGATGCGTGGGATGCTGGGGATGTTGTCCCCGAAGTCGGGCCAACTTTGCCGAAAACGTGCAACCTGAAAATCTTAAAATCTTAAAGTGGATGGAAAATGGATGGAAAATGGCCTGGATTGGTTGAAATCTCAAAATCCTAAAGTCTTAGATTCTTAAAATCATCTTAAATTAAAATCTAACAATCAATCTTAGAATCTCGAGATCTTAAAATCTTCGAACTTAGAATCTTAAAATCTGAAAATATAAAAACATCCTAAAGTCTCGGGGGATGCTGGGGATGTTGTCCCCTAAGTCGGGCCAACTTTGCCGAAAACGTGCAACCTGAAAATCTTAAAGTGGATGGAAAATGGATGGAAAATGGCCTGGATTGAAATCTCAAGATCCTAAAGCTTAAAATCTGAAAATTTTAGAACATCCTAAAGTCTCGGGGGATGCTGGGGATGTTGTCCCCTAAGTCGGGCCAACTTTGCCGAAAACGTGCAACCTGAAAATCTTAACATCTAAAAGTGGATGAAAAATGGATGGAAAATGGCCTGGATTGAAATCTCAAAATCCTAAAGTCTTAGATTCTTAAAATATTAAATTAAAATCTAACAATCAATCTTAGAATCTCGAGATCTTAAAATCTTCGAACTTAGAATCTTAAAATCTGAAAATATAAAAACATCCTAAAGTCTTCGAATCTTGAAATCTTAAAACCCTTATGTCCTAGAATCTTGAGATCTTAAACTCTTAAAATATGAAATTCCTAAAGTCTTACAATCTTAAAATCTCAGAATCTTAAAAAGCTTTAAAAACTGAAAATTATTTAAACCTCGAACAATTGAAATCTGAAAATCTTAAATTATTAAAATATTACATTCCTTCAATCCGGGCTATATATTGTAACTTCCTTAAACTCTTAATCTTGAATTTTTGAAATCTTGAAACCTTAAGATCTTAAAATTACAACCTTAGAAGATAGAATCTTGCAACCTGAAAATATAAACATCCTCAAGTCTTCGAATCTTGACTTCTTAAAACCCTCATGTCGTTGAATCTTCAGATGTTAAAATCTTAAAATATGAAATTCCGAAATTCTCAAAATCTTAAAATCTCAGAATCTTAAAAGCTTCAAAAACTTAAATTCTTTAAATCTCGAACTATTGCAATCTGAAAATCTTAAATTCATAAACAAGTAAAATATAATAAAATTCCTTCAATCCGGGCTATATTCTAAATTCCTTAAACTCTTAATCTTGAAATTTTGAAGTCTTGACATCTTAAGATCTTAAAATCTTAAATTCCGAAAGTCACCAAATCTGAAAATCTCACAAAAAATAAAATCTTGAAGCCTTCGAAATCTGATAATGGATGGAAAATGGCTGGGCAATGGCCTGGCTGTTATAACCTTCAAAAACCGTAAATCTTTGAATCTTAAAACCTTAATTCTTAAACCATTGAAACCTTAAATTCCGAAAGTCTTCAAATCTGAGACCCTTAGAATCTCAAAGTGTTTAGAATTTTGAAATCTTAACATCTACTCATCGGACTTACAGGAAAGGGAAGTGACAGAAACCCTCATGTCTTTGAATCTTCAGATGTTAAAATCTGAAAATAGGAAATTCCTAAATTCTCAAACTCTTAAAATCTCAGAATCTTAAAAGCTTCAAAAACTTAAATTCTTTAAATCTCGAACTATTGCAATCTGAAAATATTGAATTCATAAACAAGTAAAATATAATAAAATTCCTTCAATCCGGGCTATATTCCAAATTCCTTAAACTCTTAATCTTGAAATTTTGAAGTCTTGACATCTTAAGATCTTAAAATCTTAAATTCCGAAAGTCGCCAAATCTGAAAATCTCACAAAAAATAAAATCTTAAAGCCTTCGAAATCTGATAATGGATGGAAACTGGCTGGGCAATGGCCTGGCTGTTATAACCTTCAAAAACCTTAAATCTTTGAATCTTAAAACCTTAATTCTTAAACCATTGAAACCTTAAATTCCAAAAGTCTTCAAATCTGAGACCCTTAGAATCTCAAGGTTTTTAGACTTTTTAAATCTTAACATCTACTCATCGGACTTACCGGAAAGGGAAGTGACAGAACGGGCAGGGCAAGGTGCCCGGTGGCCGGCTGTGTCGCGTCAGCGTGTAAATAAGATAAATAAGATAGATAGATCAGTAGATAGATAAATTGACAGGCAGCCAGACAAATAGATAGATAGGTAGGTAGATATATAATGAAGAACAAACACTGATGAAAAAAACGATTTGATTGATTGATTGATTGATTGGTTGGTTGGTTCGTTGGTTGGTTGGTTGGTTGATTGATTGATTGATCGATTGATTGCTTGATTGACTGATTGATCGATACTTTAAATTAGATTAGATTTAGATTAGATTAGATAGATAGATGGATAGATACACGAATTAGACGAATACATGTTTAAATTGATGAACAAACAGACGGACGAACAGACAGACGGACAAACAGACAGACGGACAGATAGACAAACAAAACGATAGACAGACAGACAAATAGACAGAAGATACATCATAGCTATAGAAGACTGCGGCAGTGCACTTTCTGCTAGATATAGGATCTGCTTGGCACATGCTTCGCTCATGTTGAGCACCTTTCGAATGAGTTGTTTTAGCTGAATTGAAAAGATAAGTATTATCGTTCGGAAAATTATGTGTAAAGCTTAACTTGAAATAGAACAATTGTTGTCTAAGTTCTGATTTAAAATAGAAACCCTGATGGGATTCTGTCCTTATTATATTCATAGTCATAGTCTGTTGGAATTTGAGTACAATTTAATAAGGGAATTTGATAAAGATACTAAGTATAAATTAAAAGGGAAGAACTCAGAGATCCAAAAGTTAAGATGTTTTCCTAGCCCCCAGTACTACCGTGGTCAGAAAACACTGTAAAACACAGTGCGTTGTAGCGTTGTTCACACTCGATTTACATCTCCACCAACGGCTGCTATCTGAAATTCAGAATTTGCATAGAATCCGGGTAGGACTCAATAAGAAAATACGTATTCCAACTCTTATTGGACTTTGTACTTTAAAAATGTATTTCTTGCTAAATACAACGTTACAATTCAATTTGAGTTTAGATAGCACTGACGACGAAAAACAAAAACTAACCGAATGTAATTTCAAATTAGAGCTCGAATCAGGCTTATGTTATTTCAAATTAGAATTTGCATATTATGCTGGATGTCTTTGCCAATAGACTGTTCTTTACAAATCAGTCAGCATTTACAAACAATCCATTCAAAAGAGATTAACTCAAAGTTCGATTTGAGTAGAATCTTCATTTTATTACTTAGATAGAAGTCCTTTCCAACGGTACAGTTCAATCTGCGTTGAGTCTTAAAAAAATAAAAAAATAAAAATGTTGAGATAGAAATTAAACGAGAAGTAATTCAAATTAACCCCCATCCGAACCAATCTAAACCATCATGGACCTTCTATTGTTACATAAATGTGTGTCACACAAAACATGCTCAGGACAACTATGTTTGCCCAATGATCCAAAAAGAGCTCGTTCCCCCAAAAACGCTCCTTTCATGAACACGGGCTTCTTGCAAAATACCAATTGTTGCATGTTCAGATTTGCGCTCGTTTTGCAGGTACTTGCGCGCGCTATTCGGGTATTTGCGCCCGTGTTGCATGTATGTCTCGAAACGCGTCCACGCAACCGACTATACGAAAAAAGAGAAATCGCCGCAACAGCCAAAAATGCTCGAATCCAAACTTGCGCCCGCTCCCCCGAAAACACGCGATTGGCAAATGTCTGCTACGAAACACCCAACAAACACATTTTTTTGCGACGACTCAAAGTCCAGGATTGAAAGCGCCTCCCCTTTTGGACCCCCACGAGGGGCTCGTTTTGAGCCTATCAAAGTGCGCGAAACCGTAGTTTTCAAGGCAAATGAGAGGAAGCCACCTATCAGAAGGAGATTCCATTTGGAGAAGCATGGAACAAACCCATGGACACGGCCAACTTGTGAAACCCATCCCAAGAATGTTCCAAGGAGAAACCCAAGGAGAACATGAAGGCGAAGCACAAGGGGGAAAACAAAAAAAACCGTCTGGTTCCATTTGGAGACGACCCCACGGCCAGAAGCGACCGCACGACCCCACGCGCGCAGCGCGCGGAGCGCGCCTCCTTCATCAGCACCAGCGAGAGGCGCACCGCGCAGAACCCCCCGCAGAGCCGGCGCCTCGCCGCCAGCGCCCGCAGTCGCAGCTTCTCCCTGTCGATCGGAGACGCACCGCGCAGCATCATCGAAAACTTGGTTGTTGGTCCGTGCAATTGTGTTGTTTTTTTTGGGGGGGAGGGGTTTAGTGGAAAACCCAACTTGATTTCAACAAAAAAGCTAAAGTCTAAAGATCCAACCCAATAGCAGTCAAGAACACAGCAACCCTCGAAAACCAAGCAACCAAAACAGTGCCTCCGAAAAGACACCTGGGACTCGTCCGATTCTTGCCCATCCAAAAATCTTAAACGGGTCTGACAAGTTGTACACGGAAAAACCAATGACGATTTGTATTCTTGGGGTATTCTGTATTTGGTGGTCTGCAAATAAAACCTCTATGTGTCAATGCCCCCCTTCCCCGTGCCCAAGGGACTCACTTCCCAAGTCAGGTTTTGTGTTTTTTCCCCTTTTTGAGGAGCTGTGACGAACTGATCCCAGGGTACCGGGTGTCCAACTCTATTTCCCCTTCAGTTGATATTCATCACGTTCTAAGGAAAGGCCAAGCTCGAATTATTTTACAATTCATCTTTGACGCTTGAAGGGGAGACATAGGGAACCCTTCCCAGGTTTGCACAGGTGCTTTTTTGCGCCCCGTCCTTCTTCCGCCCCAATTCTCGGGCCCCAGCTTGCGGATTTTTGGCAAAAATGGCCCCGAAGCCTCCTAGTGAAGCACCCCCCCCCCAGGACTCTTGGCACTTTATCAGCTCGGAAGTGATTGTTAACCCCGGATTCATAAACCCCTGGTTGATATTGATTGGGGGGTGTCCAATTCCTTTTAGTGGGGGTTCAGCACTTTTGGAGGCCAACACCCCCTAACAATAGGACGCCTTTGTTTTTGTTAATTTTTTTTAAAAAAAAAAAATCCTGGGTCAACAAATGATTGCTCCCTGTGAAGCGGGAGTCACCCCCGGGACTCTTGGCCGCTGGATCCCAAGCGCGGAGGCGCTTCGGCGTTTCCCAAAGCGCCCTTCGGCCGGTGGAAGTTGACGTGACCGATTTCCCCTGTCTGCCTCGCTCCACACGGAGAACGAAGAAACCAAGACAGGTGCGACGGCACGAAGGAGAAGCTAACCAATACGAAACGCTTCCAATACTAAACCAGTGCTACCAAGTATATACAGAGAGCAAACATGGTGGGCATGCGAACCACTGGAATCCCAAACACAATGCATGCTGCAAATTGCCGGAACGTGGCACATGCATTCTGAAGGGTAAAAAGCAGAAGCGGGCTTTTCAGGCTTCCAATCTCTCTGGCGTCTGCTGACCCCATGTCCAACAAGCTTGATCCATGATGAATCACCCAAAAATCCAGCACACCATCAATCTTCAGAACATCGAATCAATCGAATTCCGGCAACGGACAACAAAGGCTACGATAGCCGCTGGCGTAATCTGCTGCCATTGCCGAGCTGTCCTTGCAACCAAACCTGGTTCCCTGTCTCCGCGGGGAACCTGACCGTATACTCCATCCGATCCAGCCTCGGATCTTGTATGATGTTGCCATATTGTCATATGATATGGGTGTGGCTCAAAATACAAGAGCTACCGTTACGCAGGTGTTAGTCTTTGGTTCCAGTTACCAAGGTGCCATTTTGCTACATGTTCTTGACCCACAGCCATATTGTTGATTGAAACAGAACCAAACCGCAGGATCTAGCACAAAAGCAAGACCAAACTAGTGCACGGCCAAACCCACTAAGACCGAAACAAACCACCAGTGGACAGCTATCCTCCGTCACCTCCAGCTACCCTTTCAAGTGGATTCAGGGGGACATGGAAGTCTTGCCTGCTCCTCCCTGCCAAGTGTCCGATGTCTTATATCAGGTGATCTTAACAACCAAAACAGGGCTCCTCTAATACAAACACCTTCTTGAGGGGATATCAGCTGGTATTTAGGTGATCGTTCAAGTGGCCCAAATCTATCTTTCAACGGCTCGGCAAGAGTGGCAGTTTTGCAGCTCCAAGCGTTTTTGCAAAGCAACTGCGATCCTTTCACGGGGGGGAAAACTCTTCGAAACGCTTCCGCGGCTAGCGCCTGGCCGCCAGCAGCATGGGCTGCACCCGTCCCACCAGCAAGGCCCGGGTGGCCAGGATCCTCGCGGCTTTCGCCCGCCGCAGCTCCGCGAGGAACCTCCCGCCGAAGGCCGAAGGGGGAGAAAACCGCCGAGCTGGGCTGAGGTTCAGCGGGAGGTACTGCTGGGTTCCTTCAAGACCCCGGGAGGCCCAGGATTCACCTGGAGGTACTTAGGTACTCTCGGTGGCTTTTTCTGCTCCCCGGCGAAACGTAGTTTTTTTTGGGGGGGGCGGTTTGATGGTAAAACCCAAATGTGTTGGCAAAAAGGTTAAGGTCCTAACATCCAAGCAAGATGCCACAAAGATTTACTGGTGGGTTCCTTAAAAAAAAAAACGCATGTTGAGGCCCAAAGGATCCGAATGGAGTAAAAAATCTATGCCCGGCTGAATGGGACATCAACCTCTGAGGTGACATGGACTCTCTGATCCACCAGAACTTACAGTACACAAATATTCTAAGGGTACTTTCCATTTCCATTCTTAAGCCAGGGATCCGGATCTGTCCAGAAAACCTCCAGAAGGACAGGGCAAACGGCCGCTTTTCGGAAAGAACGATGGTTGATAAGAATGGGGAATCAACCCTAGAAACATTAAACCCTGAAGCCCTCAACCTAGGCCAGAGAACATACCAATTTCTGCAAGCCCGCCAAAACCCAAACGTGTCTGGACCCGAGTTCAGGCTTAACATTCCAACCAAACGAGCGTTGGGCGAACTCTGATGCTCCAACTGCCCTTTGGCAGCTCCTCCAAACCGCCCACATTTAGGCCAACTTGCCGACCCCAGGGTTCCTCACACGTGCAACACACACCCAAAAAAAAACAACAACATCACCCCACAAGACAAGGAAATGAAATGATGTCTAAACCACAAGGATAAACAACTTTTTGATCAGGCCCCGTGGGCCCGCCATCCGGCCCAATGAGTAGGGGCTGGGCCAACCGCCTGATCAAACATATGTTCAACCTTTGCTCAAACAACCTCTTAGAGGTTTTCCCTTCAAAAAGGGGCCGGCCCGAAACGGGTCCGCTTGTTTCAACGCATTCCCCCCTTCCCCCTGTGCTCACCCCCCCCCCCCCAAAGGTTTCGGCTCCAAAGGCGCCTTGGCAGGTAGAGGCACAGCTGCACGGCGTTCTTGGCCCGCACCCAGCGCTTCCGGATGATCTGCCGCACGATCTGCCGCAGCTTCTCAGGGTCCGGCTGAACACCTCGCCGGCAAGGGCTTTCGCGGGGTTGCCTTTCAAGCGGAGGCGTGCGGCCCTCTTTCACCAGTGGTTCAACTGGGTATGGGTCAAAATTGAACACCAAGGTACCGCAGGTTTTGGTCCTTCTTCCGATTTACCAAGATTCCATTTTGGGTACCCATTTTTGACCCACAGCCAACTGTTCCTTTGCTCCGAGTCTCAGGGTGTTGTTTGATGTAGGGGAACCCATCCGCAGAAAAGGGATCAAACAGCAACAAAGTGCCCCCTCTCAGTCGAGCGCATCACAAGGTTCTGTAGCCGGCGTTAAGCCCGCTTTCAGACGACTGACGCGATGAACTACGGAAACAGCCTATCCAACAGTCGCCCTGCGGATTTAACGCGGCGCGTTCGGGCCGCATCAAAAGAAGCGGACCCTGCTTGGTCTGATCCAAACCTGAATTATTGATCCAACTTGATATTTTTCCCCAACAGCTGAAAGCTTTGGGGTCTCAGCCAGGATAGGCTCTGGGGTGGTCCGGGGCGGCCGTGAGGTAAGGTTCCACGAGGGTTCCACGAGGGTTCCACCAGAGTTCCACCTGGTTCTGCGAGGGCTGCGGGGTGTGAGGTAAGGTTCCACGAGGGTTCCCTACGAGGGCTGCGGGGTGGTCCGGGGTGGTTTGAGGTAAGGTTCCACGAGGGTTCCACCAGGGTTCCACCAGGTTCTACGAGTGGTTTGAGGTAAGGTCCACGAGGGTTCCACCAGGCCAGGTTCTGCGAGGGCTGCGGGGTGGTCCGGGGTGGTTTGAGGTAAGGTTCCACGAGACGAGGGTCCAACAGTTCTGCAAAGGTTCCACGAGGGGTTCCATCAGGGTCTGCAAGGGCTGCGGGGTGGTTTGAGGTAAAGTTCTCCGAGGGTTCCAGGGTGGGGTGGTTTGAGCTAAGGTTCCACGAGGGTTCCACCAGGGTTCCACCAAGGTTCCACAGGGTTCTGCAAGGGCTGCGGGGTGGTCCGGGAGGGTTTGTGGTAAGGTTCCACAAGGGTTCCGCCAGGGTTCTGCAAGGGCTGGGGGTGGGTTTGTGGTAAGGTTCCCCAAGGGTTCCGCCAGGGTTCCACCAGGTTCTGCGAGGGCTGGGGGTGGTTTGACAAGGGTAAGGTTCCACGAGAGTTTCGCCAAGGTTTTGAGGTCAGGTTCCCCCAAAATCACCAGGTTCAACGTAAGGTTCCACGAGGCACCAGGGTTTTATCAGGTTCTGCAAGGGTGGTTTGAGGCAATTCCCAGGGTTCCACCAGGCTCTGCAAGGGCTACGGGGTAGTTGGGGTGGTTCATGAGGGTCGACCTAGGTAAGGTTGTAGCAAGGCTGCGGGGGTTCCATGAAGATTTCAGGGTTCCACGGGCTGTGGCTGAGGTAAGGGTTTCACAGCAGTTCCAAGGATTCGACAAGGGTCACAAGGCTCCACAACGCTCGACAAGTTCCACAAATGTTCTGCAAGGAAGCAATGTGTCGCGCCCCCGCCGTCTGAAAAGCCATCGGAGCAGTAAATTGAGGGCTCAGAAGATCGCTTTGCTCATGGGCGGAACACTAAGCAAAACCGAAATCAATGGTTTTCCTGCGCACTTTCACTGTGTTGTCAGTTGCTCACTTGCTCAGGCAACGCGAGAGCTTTGTGGCAAACTCACTGTGTAGCAGAGCAAACGCTTGGCATTACTGAGTACTACTTAGTGGGCTTTTGGGTTCCAAGGGTTCCACGAAGCTGCGAGGCTACGGAATAAAATTCCAAAAGCGCTCCACGAGGTTTCCACCACATTCTGCAAAAGCTATGGGGCAGCCCTGAGGACAGGTTCCAACAAAGTTTCACGCTGAGCCTACGAGGTTCCACGAGAACGGTCTGCGAGGTTCACCGGGCCCAGTCGGGCAGGTCGGGGCCCGATTGCACCGTCGGGGCCCGATCGGGCCCCCATTGCGCCGTCGGGCCCCGATCGGGCCCCATCAACTACCAAGCCGGTATCGCCTAGTTTTGCTAGATACACTTGCAAGGCCGCAAAACCGGTGTTCAGCTACAATATGGGTGGCTGGGGTTGGTGGGAGCCCGCTTTCAGACTATCGGGCCCCAGTCGGGGCCTGATTGCACCGTCGAACCCCACTCGGGCCCCGATTCCACCGTCGGGCCCCGATTGCACCATCGGGCCCCGATCGGGCCCCGATTCCACCGTCGGGCCCCGATCGGGTCCCGATTGTGCCGTCGGGCCCCGATCAGGGCGCGATTGCGCTGTCACTCTTAGCTTTGCTTCACAAATTTACAAGGCGGCATCCTCAGCAAAACCGGGTGAGGTGGGTCCCGGGGCGGGTGTGGTGCTGTTGGGGATATCGCCTGAGCTTATTGTTTCTGGGCCGCAAAAAAGAAGATGTCAGGATTCCAGAGAAAGCCCGGTTCCTTAAAAATCCCAGCAAGGGAAACACTTGGATGTGGGTCAAAATTAAACCACCAGCCAAAACCGCTGGTTTTAGTCCATGTTTCCATTTACCGATCGGGTTCCATTTTGGGGTTACCCTATTTTTGACCCACTGCGAAAGTGGCCGATCCTCCCATTTTCCGGGCCTTCGGAGCGCATGTCCTCGAGAGCCTTGAGCTGCCCAGCCTTCAGGAAGAGCCGCGACATGCCCAGGGCCCACTCCTAAGGCGCGAAAACTGGGGGGGGGGGGGGGAAGTCTGATTTCAGGGGAGGGTGGCAAAAGCTGGGGGGTTCGTGGGAATGTTCATTGGGGTGTTTCCTGCTTCTGTGTTGCCATAGTGAACTCGTTGAGAGCCTCTGCTTTGATTCTTAGGAGGGGACGCTGAGTAATTGGGTGGCGGGACAAAGGCAAAAAACCCTTTTTTTGCAGAAGGATCCCTGGAAAGAATGCGGAAGTTACCCCTAGAGACCTACACCAAAAACCAAGGAAGCTCCCATTTGGACCAGGGTTGCTTGTGCGTCCAGCCCCCAAAAAAGCACATCACTGAAAAGGAAACTCCAACACCAGTGGCAACCACACGATATTGTCCTATGATCGTGACTTAATCTGGCTCGTAAGCCATTACCCCACGACCCCATTCTACTGACTTAGGCCTTCCTGTATTCCCCTTTCAACATCACCCCACCAAAAGGAGACCTACTTTAAATTGTCAACCAGAAGGTGGGCCGAAAACCACCCCCCTTTCGACATCTGCGTGGGTCATGCGAGGCGCCATGAGAAACCCCCCAGATTCGGAGCCCTTGGAGCCTCGGGAGGATCGCAGGATCCACGTTTTTCCTATGAGCATCTTTTTTTTGGGGTACCCTTTGGTGGACGGCATTTGGGGAGTCATGTCCACCAACCATTTTTGGGTGGGGGTGGAGGGTGGGGTCGCGCCCCCATTGAATGTCACAGCTACGTTGGTAACCGCAATTTGCACCCCTTTGGACTGGTTTCACTCAGCCTTTTGAAAAGCGAAACTTTAAAAAGCCCGTCAACATATGATGTCCAAAAAATGGGCTATGTCCGCAACCAACCCCTCGATAGCTCGCTCCGTAGCTCCGGCCTGCGGGTGGACGTCATAGGCCAGCATCAAGGCCTCGATGAAGGTGCGGTCCCCGTAGCGTTGGAAGCTCTCGGGCAGGAGGTCCCCTGAAATATCACCCCAGAAACGTCACCCGGAGTTGTGCCAGTGCCGTGTGGCTGTGGGTCAAACATAGGGTAACCGGTAACCCCACCATGGGTTGCCCTGGCAAATGGAAGCATGGACTAATTGCTGGTGGCTTTTGCTGGTGGTTTGATTTTGACCCATACCCACGTACTTGGATGGGTTTGTTTATCTTTGAAATGTGGTATATGACATATGAGGTGAGTAGCCAGGGGTTACAAGAGGGTGAATTCGGGGAGTCGGGGCTAACCACTTAGCCAACTCCCGAGCCAGAAGTAGCGTGCGGATTGGACCTTTCAGGGAGTGTTGACCTCAGTGTGGAACTTGGAAATCGGATGTAAAGAAAAGCCTCCTCGGCCTAAGAATGGCGCCCGAGTGGAAATAGAATCGTCTGTGAACGTCATGGGAAAACTGGGTGTGTGTGTGTGTGGCCAACAATCATGTTTGATGTTCCCAGATCAGCTTCATAGCCACCTCACCAACCAACACCCATCAGAGAACAAAAGATGGAGCCGCAGTCTCCCAGGGCATCAATGGTCAAAGCTGCGGGTCATGGTCACGGATTCCTGAGGAACCAACCTTTCTGGTTCTCAAACACCCAGAAAGGCGCTGAAGACTGAGGCTCTTGTGGCCTGTGCGGGTTGAAAGCTTAAAAGGTGAAGGAGTCCACAGCCAGCCCCAACTGCAAGTAGACGGGTGTTTTGACCATGTGCGATGCGGCAAGTGTGGCCAATTACCAACGCCAGAGGGCGGAAGCGCGTGACGATCTCATTGAACGGGCAGCGGTTGGGATAGCCGTCGTGCATGATCTTCACCAGCTCAATGGTACCACACCTGCGTAACCAGCTCATGTGCAAGAGACCAAATCGAGCAAACGTCATGAGCCACCCAGCTGCAAGCATCCCATGACGAACAAATGGGACTCACGACGGTGCTGTCTTCTTGGTTGCTGCAACGACCCCCGTTGCAAAACGTTTTCCACTTTTTTGGGGGGGTTAGTACCTCAAAACACCCCAAAATATTTCAACCAAAAAGTTGTTCAGTCGAGTTTGATCCGTTGCCCAACAGTCGTCAAGTTTTGAGGCGGCCGCTGGATGATCTGATCCAAGACCAACTTGTCCTTGAAGAGGCTGGGCTTTTGCTCCTCGTTCGGCTTGAAGCAACCTGAGAAAAACGCGCGCCAAGGCTTCAAGGAAGTGTGGCTCGGCAGATCTGCTAAGTCCAAGCAGCGGATGTAATGCAAATGGCAGGTGTTGAGAGTCTGCAGCAAGCTTTCGAGATCTGCACAGTACTTCTTGCTGATGGACCTGAATGGCACCTTGCGGCACAGGCCGTTGGAAAATAGTGCAAGTAGAGACCCTTTTTTTGGCTAGTGCAACAAGAAACCAACGAGACAATCGTTTGGAGGGCTTTGTAACTTCAAAATCTCTCCACCACGGTTCGAATTCTAGGGGTAACTTACCCATTCTTTCCAGGGATCCGGATCGTTCTAGAAAACCACCAAAAACCCTGGTTGGAAACGGCGATCGGTTTTTGATAAAAGAACGATGGCTGAAAAGAGTGGACAAGGAATCAACCCATGGTGCAATCCTTGGGCTCACCAGACCTCCCGATGGCGGTTCAATAGGGGACCGTTTCGCGTGGGGATTTGTGTCCACCAATGATTTAGGCTTGGGTGTTCCCTGCTGGTCAAACATGGGGGAACCCCAAAACCGAACCCTGGTAAATGGAAAGGACTCAAACCTGCGGTCCATATCCTGATGGTTAATTTTTGACCCCCTTCCCAAAATTTTACAAATCACAGCGTCTGCCTTGGTCTTGTCCTCATCACGCAGAGACTTCACGAAGTCAAAGCTGGAATCGCCTGCAGGCGAAGTCTCTGGCGGCAAGCCACCAACATCTCTACTCTTGGTATGGTAGCGAAAAACTTTGCTTTTCGCAGACCCCCAGTAAAAATGAACAGAACCAAAAAACTAAAAAACCAAAAAACATGCCAAGAACAGTGAAGGGCCCCAAGCTTGAGCTGCAGCCCAGGCGCAAATCAACTCTTCACATTCCACAAGCAGCCGATCGTTATTCCTTGGCGGCATGTGCGTCTGTGTGTGTGTGCCATGGAAAAAAAAACTTCGTTGAAGCGTGGTGATGGCTACGCAAAGGAAAGCTTTTTCACCTTCATCTTTACAAGCTATGGGCTAGAAGACCATCCCCGTTTGTCGAGACCAAGGCACATGCGGGCGTCTGATTGTGTCGAGGGTGCCCTTGGGATGAATTTTGACGGGCAACGGAACATACTTGGGGTCCTAGTTTGAGACAAACCCGTGTTCAAAATGGCACTTGAGTCACAATCAAAACCCGGTATCAAACTGGTCTACCCAGAGCCATGCTTCAAGAATTTAGAAGCCGGACATTTCCGCTATTTCTGGCGAGGGGATGGTCCCTTAACCTTCATCTACCCGAATCGGTTTTGAGAACGCGACTCAGGGAATCAGAAATGGAATGACCCTTACAAACTCTCCAACTGGTGGTTTCCCTTTCAGTTGGAAAAAAGAAATGGAATGAACCTGGAATTCCGCTTGGAGTTTGGCCAATGCGCTTCGGTTCAATTCGAGACGCTTGTCCAGCCAGCCCTTGGTGTTGTACTCTACCGGGCCGGCGTAGTGCTTCACGACGAAGCCCTCGCCAGACCGGGGCAAAGCCGGGAAGATCAGACATGTCATGCGCGACATGGCCTCCACAAGCCCCAAACCAAGTACCCCAAAAGGTCAATGCATCAAATTGGCTGCACTTGTTCAAGGGTATGCGTTATGTATGCGGAATGGGACGCTATGGGGGCTGTGTTTTTTGCAGGCAGGGGGGATCACTAAACATATACGTATATATATATATATATATACATATATATATATATATATACATATATATATACATATATATATATATATATGTGTATCTACGCCACGCCTCGTTCAGAGCTAAGCCCGTCCCGGCTTTGCTCCCACGCTTGTTGGACATCTTCAAGGGTCTCAGCACCTCTTTGCGCAGCGAGTCCTGCAAACAACATGTGACCCATGCACATGTGAAAAAAAGCTGGCACTGGGTGAGTGAATGAAACTAAACAAAAATCCATCTATGGTCAACTGACGTAAAAACAACTCCGCTCTGTGTGTGTGTGTGTGTGTGTGTGTGTGTGTGTGTGTGTGTGTGTGTGTGTGTGTGTGTGTGTGTGTGTGTGTGTGTGTGTGTGTGTGTGTGTGTGTGTGTGTGTGTGTGTGTGTGTGTGTGTGTGTGTGTGTGTGTGTGTGTGTGTGTGTGTGTGTGTGTGTGTGTGTGTGTGTGTGTGTGTGTGTGTGTGTGTGTGTGTGTGTGTGTGTGTGTGTGTGTGTGTGTGTGTGTGTGTGTGTGTGTGTGTGTGTGTGTGTGTGTGTGTGTGTGTGTGTGTGTGTGTGTGTGTGTGTGTGTGTGTGTGTGTGTGTGTGTGTGTGTGTGTGTGTGTGTGTGTGTGTGTGTGTGTGTGTGTGTGTGTGTGTGTGTGTGTGTGTGTGTGTGTGTGTGTGTGTGTGTGTGTGTGTGTGTGTGTGTGTGTGTGTGTGTGTGTGTGTGTGTGTGTGTGTGTGTGTGTGTGTGTGTGTGTGTGTGTGTGTGTGTGTGTGTGTGTGTGTGTGTGTGTGTGTGTGTGTGTGTGTGTGTGTGTGTGTGTGTGTGTGTGTGTGTGTGTGTGTGTGTGTGTGTGTGTGTGTGTGTGTGTGTGTGTGTGTGTGTGTGTGTGTGTGTGTGTGTGTGTGTGTGTATGTGTGTGTGTGTGTGTGTGTGTGTGTGTGTGTGTGTGTGTGTGTGTGTGTGTGTGTGTGTGTGTGTGTGTGTGTGTGTGTGTGTGTGTGTGTGTGTGTGTGTGTGTGTGTGTGTGTGTGTGTGTGTGTGTGTGTGTGTGTGTGTGTGTGTGTGTGTGTGTGTGTGTGTGTGTGTGTGTGTGTGTGTGTGTGTGTGTGTGTGTGTGTGTGTGTGTGTGTGTGTGTGTGTGTGTGTGTGTGTGTGTGTGTGTGTGTGTGTGTGTGTGTGTGTGTGTGTGTGTGTGTGTGTGTGTGTGTGTGTGTGTGTGTGTGTGTGTGTGTGTGTGTGTGTGTGTGTGTGTGTGTGTGTGTGTGTGTGTTTGTGTGTGTGTGTGTGTTTGCGTGTGTTTGTGTGTGTGTGTGTGCATGTTTGCGTGTTCGTGCTTGTGGTTATGTTCGTGGATTCAATTTTGTGTTTATGTTTGTGTTTGTATTCGCGTGCGTGTGTTTTGTGCTTGTATGTGTGTGCGCAGTTGTATGTGTGTTTGTGGGTCTGTTTTGTGTGCGAGGGTGTGTTTGTGTGTGTGTGTGCGTACGTACGTACATACATGCGTTCTTGCGTGTGCGCGAGTGTGTGTGTGTGTGTTTGTTAGAAGGGGACCCCCCAACCTTTGGCGTCCGTTCGCTTGCGTTTGGCTTCCCAATAAACCAACCTAAAAAGAGGACCCTGTCAAAAAGACACACCCACCTATGCTCGGTTGCTTTCTGCTCCCCTGCTGAAAGTTTGACTTTTAGTGGTTTAATGGAAAACCCATAACTTGGCAAAAAGTTGAAGTCCTAACATCCAAGCAAAATGCACCAAAGTATGCTCATGAGTCTTCGCACGCCTGCACTTTCCGTAAGAAAGTCCTTCTGAGCCTCCTCCACCGTCTTCTGGCAGAAGCTCTCGTCAGACATCTTCTCAAAGCCTGCCAAACGCCAGCAGAATATCGCCGCCTTTGGTTGGCAGGCGTACAAACCGGAAAAAAAGAAGAGGGAAGCCTTGATGTGCGATCATGCGAGACGTCGGACCTCAGCCAAATACCCCAAAAAAAAAAGCCGCTTTCTCGGCTTGGACGGCGCACGGCGCCCGCCTTTCGCCAGCTGCTGGCTGTGCTCGTCCAAGGTCTTGAAGGTCAGCGTGATGGCGGACACCACCTGAAGTTCTAAATCAAAACCCCAAAACGGGTTGCCCTGGTAAATAGAACCAACGACTCAAACCTTCCGTCCATATCCTGGTCGTTGAAAATGTTCACCCATACCCATATCACAGTCATATGAGCCATAATCAAAGCCCGGTATTAAAATGGTCGTAATCCCAGAACCATGCTTCAAGAATTAAGAAGGCGGCCGCAGCTATTTATGGTTGGGACTGCCCCTTGCTAACCTTCATCTAGGTTTTCATTGTGGCGAAATCGTTTCGAGGTTCAAACCACCAAGGCATGGAGAAAACTGGGTGGCCTCGTCGCCTAGGCTTTCGTGGGAAATGTGGGTTTTGTTTGTCCTAGCTAAACACTAACAACGAAAACAAAAACAGGAGGAGCCTTTGTTTTAGGGGATGCCCCGTGTAGAAACCATGGTCTCAACTCCTCAATGGGTCACGGTACTCTTGCAATGGTGAGCTAGAATTCCTAACAAAGGGTTGAAGACCCTACCAACCCCAAACGAAAAAGGGAGTGCGGGGATGTCAGCCACCGGAGATCTACTCACTTCCCCACCAAACACGTCTCTTGTTTAACGGCGCGATTGAGTGGCCCTGCATGATCTTAGCATGGTGGGACTTCTCCAACTTACTGTTTTTGGATCCATTCCAACCATCTGAAAGGCCGTTCCGCTTGCCACTTGTCTGGTTTGTGAACCTTGGGACTCGAGTCCATGCTGATTGGACCTCCATTTTGCTCGTAAGTGGGTAAAAACTTGGCCATCCTCGTCTCCATGTCCTCATTTGCAACCCCAGTCTGCTCGTTTTTCATCCTGTGGATGAACTAAAACCAGTTCGCCCCACTTTGTCACCATGAAAAACAACAGTCTTTGTTGGCATTTGCGGGGGAATCGTGTCAGAAACCCGAGTCTCTGGAGTGGTGCGTTGGATGCATTTCGTCCGAAGTAGCCATGGCCCCCCTTCGCCCCCATTCGCCCCCATTCGCCAAGTGGCCGGGGTGGAGTCCGGAAGCGCCAGGCCCAGCCAGGGCAGGCCCTCGCGCTCGTAGAGCGCCTGCTCCGCCACCAGCACGTTCCTCGGGACGACGGACATGTGCCCCGTGCCGGGCTGCCGGGTGCGCCGGGTGGGCGAGCGGCGGGGGTACGATGCCTATCTGTGCTTGGCGTGTCTTTGTGTGGTGACTTACTCTGCGTTCGTGGTGATTTACTCCGATTTTGTGGTGATCTACAGTGTGTTCTCAGGGATTTTTGTGGCTGAATCTGGAGCTCGTCCCCGATTTGTGCCCGGAAATAGACAGGCTACTGGGTGTGAATTTCTTGAGGATTTTGGGAAAACTCGAGGGATATAAGGTCATTCCCTGAGAAACAACAAGTTGGGTGAATGGCTCAAAGAAAAACGAATCAGACGGGTGCCTTGGACCCTTCGGAAACCTTCCAAAGGCTGCGTTCAGCTCCCCGGCTCATGTTTGTTTTTTGTTTCAGTTCGCAAGTTTGCGGGGGGATGTGCTTCCCATGCAGGTTTGGCCGTTGGCAAAAAAGATGCAGAGAGCCCCGGGGGAAGGAGTCGTTCCAGAAACAAGTGGAGCCCTGCCCATGACCGCAAGTCATGTGAGCGACAATTGTGTGACGAGCGTGCCCAGAAAATACTGGTAGATCAAATGTGGGCTCAGATGCCCCGGAGTGCTCCATCTAGCAAACTCTCCAAGCTGAAGCAGGACCGGGCAAGCAGTGTTGGCCTAGATCAAATGTGGGCTCAGATGCCCCGGAGTGCTCCATCTAGCAAACTCTCCAAGCTGAAGCAGGACCGGGCAAGCAGTGTTGGCCTGACCAGGCAGAGAAAGAGAGAGAGAGAAGAGAGAAGAGAGAAGAGAGAAGAGAGAAGAGAGAAGAGAGACGACAGAAGAGAGAAGAGAGAAGAGAGAAGAGAGAAGAGAGAAGAGAGAAGAGAGAAGAGAGAAGAGAGAAGAGAGAAGAGAGAAGAGAGAAGAGAGAAGAGAGAAGAGAGAAGAGAGAAGAGAGAAGAGAGAAGAGAGAAGAGAGAAGAGAGAGAAACAAAAACAGCAAGGAAGAAGAGACAAAGCCAAAAATAGCAATTTCCGCTCCAGTCATGGCTCGCAATCAACGTTGTTTTTAGGTATCATTGTCGGTTGCAGTGGAATCCAAATACCTGCTAAATCCCCTGGTCTGCGGATAATGTGTCTGAGTGGAACACCAACAACTATACAATTGCTCTCTACAATTCTCCCCTACATCTCTGCCCAAAAACCATTGCCCTTGACCTGACTGCTGCAGTCTGAGAGGGAAAACATGTAGATATGGTACGAAGCCACCCTTGCCCCCAGTCATGCAAAGAATGACTCACGTGTGAGCAGCATTGACGGTGTGGTTCTGCCAAAATGTTTCTGCCTGATGCAGAGCGCATGTCGACCAATTACTCCGAGCTTCACTTTGGGGGACTCGCAGTGCGACTCATCAGAACCCGGAAATGAGCGGAGTCATTGTGCCCTTTACAAGAATCCTTGGGCTCACCAGACCTCCCGAGCCCGACCGTGCCAACAAAAAGTCACCATGCCAAATGTTTTTCTCATCACGGTGAAAACCAGCTCAGGTGTGTCAACAAAGCTTCTCTGACTAAATCAAAACGCTTCAATAATGAAAGAAAGAAGCTTCCGTGAAACCTGGTTGCTGTTGACCCCCCTGCAAAAAGTTGTGCTTTTGTGTGTGTGTGTGTGTGTTTTTTTTGGGGGGGGGTTAGTGGAACACACCCCAATATTTCAACAAAAAAATTAAAGTCTAAAGATCCGTGGCCCAATAGCAGTCAAGCGTGAAAGCCCGGTTTTTGTTGACTTTCGCAGAGTGGCTCCACAAAGTACTGCTGCAAGCGCTCGTTCGCCAGATTGATGCAGAGCTGCTCGAAGGAGTTGCCTGCAGCGGCCGTTTTTCCGATCGATGCATCACTCCAGGGGTGCCAAGGTACATACCCCGTTTACATACCCCTTCGACACATGAACCCAAATGGCCTGCTGCTGTTCATACCCCTCTCCCCAAAAGCCCTTATAAAGTGGGTTGGAAACCAGGGAAGCCAAGGGGTATGAACAAGGGGAATGTACTTCCACCCTTAGAGTCACAGGTCTGCCGGAGCGATGCGGCACATGCCGAAACCTCTTCTTCGACTGCATCCCAATCCCCCCAAAAATAGGTTCTAAAATGGGTGGTGCGCCAATCCCCAAAATGGGATACCATTGGTTCTGACCACCACAGCCAAATCACCCCCTTCGCATGGAAAATGTTCGCCAACAGCTTTTTACCCCCGGGCTTGAGGCCCAGATGCGCTTCAAGCGCTCAAATCCGTAGATGTCCAGGATTCCGATCTGACGCCAGGTGTCGTCCTGGCAGAAAACCAGGGAGCTGAAGCTCAGAGGCGACAACCACTGGCAACTCATAAAGTCACCCCCGTTCAGTGGTGGGTTAAAGGGAAACAACCCCACTTACTGACTTTGAAAACCTTCAGAAACCGTCAAAATAACAACCCCAGAACCAATGCTGACGGACAGCTGCCTCATCTGGCGTCGCCCTCCACTCTCCAAAGGAGCCTGGGACACACGACGTACCGTTGGCCCCAATTTTCCCAACGTTGCCAGTCATGCAAAGCCCATTCTGGGGTGGAAACCAAAGGGAACCAAACCGGGAGCACATTTGGAGGTTGGGCTGGCTTCTCCTGCCCAAGAAGGGGGGTAACCCAGCCAGTCAGGGTGCTAAATTTATTCGGGCCCAAGGCGTTGATTGAAAAAATCCCAACCCGAAATGGGAAGCCCAAATTTTGGGCATCTGTGTCACACTCAAAAACTGTCTTACCATTCTTACCCTCATGGGCTTTGGTTCTCACAAATCCCCACACTCCCCACCACTGGTGACACGGGTGCTTCCGCCTTTTTGTAAGAACGCCCATACGCACCATATGAGTGTTTTTGAGGGTGCCCCTTTTGGAGCGGGTTTAAAGGGAACCAGAAGGAAACCGCAAGTGCAGGAGTTTGTCCCTCCTTATCAACACAAATATGTAGCATGGCAAATGTTGACCCCAGATAAAACCCACCCCTTCTAGCAATAGGGTTGGTGTTCCCCTCCAAACGTGCTAAACCCGCACTAAAAGTGGGTTTACCCCTGGCCCCTGTCAATCAACCGGGGGTTCATTCATCTGGGCTTCCCAGCACAGTCAAAAAATCCGAGCGACTCCGAAGAAGAAAAAGAACGTTGTAGGCATAGGTGTCCTTCTAGGGGAAGTAGATGGGTTTCCCTGGAAGATGATGAAACCACCAGGTAAACCAGGAATCGCGATCCATTTTTTCGAGCAAAACGACCAAACAGGACACCGAGTGGCTGTTGATGCGCTGCACGAGGCGCTCGAAGAGCCGCTTGTATAGGGCCTGGCTCAACAAATTTTCAGGGCCGCACATCGCAGCAAACCCAAGGAATTGGGAGGAGATCAATGGAAAAAGCCACCTATTGGTGGAGAACCAACCCTGAAAATGCCACCATTTCAAGGGCGACCTTTGGTAAACCAAGCCGAACCTTTGTCTCCCTGTGACCTGCAAGTCACTGACCTTTGTCCAAAACACGGCACGCCGGTTGGCGCCACATCGGCGCCTTGATGAGGCTGTGCAGCGCCGTACGGAACTGAGAGGTGGAGCGGGGCACCTGGCGCGCGGTTTGGTAATGTGGAGCCCTGAGTACTATGTCCCCAAGACAGCCATCAGGGTTGCTTTCATAGGTGCCTTTTGAGGGCAAATAGATGGGTTTCCCTGGAAGATGATTAAATCACCAGGTAAACCGGGAATCGCCATCTATTTTTCGACCAAAACAACCAAAAAGGACACCTATGGTTGCTTCCCTGGAAGAAACTCCGGACTCCCCACCAAACAGAAAACCCCTGCTGAATGACTGGGGGGGCTTACTAATCAGAAGTCAACCTTCTCGACTTGCCGATGGGCAGGAGGGGAAAAAACCGTTGCTTTTGGAGCACCAGTCAGCAAGAACCCCCAGATCTCGCCCGATGTCTCCTCCCGCCTCGTGCAGGGACTCCCGGCCAGCGCTCTGCACCCGCACCTGAAGCCATGGCAAACGTACCAATTGGACCAACGAACAAGTGGGGAAGCGGGAGCGGGGATATGGGGGGGATTCCCTTGGCGCCACTTCCCATCTCAAACTTAGCCAAGGGGCATTTCGGGGGAACCCTTCCGTATCCCTGGTTCCCCCTCTATCCCTGCTAGTTGGTTTCCCTGAACCAATCTCCCGCAAATCATGAATCATGAATCATCTCACCAGCCGCAAATCAGAACTCGACCCAAGAAAAGAGAAGCTTCACTTTGACGTCGCATCCCGGCGCAACATGATTTCAACTTGCGTCTCACTGGGCAATCAACTCGGGGCATCAGTCCTCGGATGAACTGAACCACTGGATTCCAGGCGGAAGCACCGCGAATGGTTTCACCACCGGCTCAGAGGCTTCCCACCATGGCCCATTTGGAAAAAAATACCTGGGTTTCGTGGGTGAATATGGCGTAACACCCAGCTCAACAAGCGAAACACCCATCCATTTTTAGCCAAACCCGATTCGCGATCAGACAGGACACCTAACACCTATCTACAAAGTATTGACCTCTTCCAAACGCTGAATTCAGAGTTGGACCCCCAAAAGGACCCTTCTCATTGCCCATCGCAAATCTTGCTACTCCAAACAAGCTGAAATAAGAATTGGTATCCGCCAAGGACCCTTTCTCCTGGTGAGCTCCTTATAGGCAGATGGCTACGGGTCAAAAACGCGTGAAACCCCAGAATACCTGCGGTCCAATTCCTGGTGGTTCTATTTTGACCCATACCCAGCTGGGCCACGCGCCTTGCGGCGCTTCAGCGCGGAGCCCAGCTCCGAAGCGTCCATGCCCAGCAGCTCCGCCGCCTCGCGGAGGTTGGGCGGTGGGGCGGTCGGGCGGGTGGACTGGACGGGGCCCAAGAGGTGACGAATCTTCCGGGTAGAGAGGGATGAGTCTCGCCTATCTCTGTCTTTATCCTTCATTTCCCTCGATTCACCTCACGATCGAGACTGTGAAAGGGTGAAATGGAGAAGGGAAATGATGGGGAAAGAGATGTCCCTGACTTGCCACTGTCCTCTGTCCCGTCCGGGCTCGCATATAAACGGTTTAACCGAGAGAGCGGGCTGGGTTGCTTTGCCCGGTTTGGCTGGAACATATGGGTGGGGAGGGCGGGCGGGGACGCCTGAAGTGGCCTAAAAGCTGATGTTGAACAAAACATGTGAACGGGGAAGTTACCCGAGAAGCGCGCTGGTCGCTAGTTATGGTCTTGTGGTTACACAACGCTCTCCAAAAGAAGCGGCGTCAAAAACGCCCAACAAAACATGGCCCTTGGGCAGAAATCCCCGTGAAAATCATGTCCGACAAAGCGTGGCCGATTCAAATGTCATAGCCATGTAGGAGAGAAGACCATAAGCTCAATTTTGATGATATTTCATTGGATTGCATTGCCCTCTAATCACTGCACCTTTCCAAAAAAAACAGTCATATAAAACTCGGTCGGACCCAAACTCTCCGCGTGTCACCAGAGAGCTATGCCGCTGGAAGACAGCATCGACATCCTGCTTCAAGCAATAGTTGATACCCTATGTCCAACAACCATGGAGGGCCTTGAAGATACCATCTCAAAAAAAAAGAGTCCCTGTCCACCTCCATAACTTGTTGGAAAAAGATGGATAAGCATGGCAGCATGGCTACATATCCAGTGCCCAAAAAAATTGACGGCAAGGGGCTCGCTGTAGCAAGTGCTACATGGCCATGGTTCAAAACCAATGGTCCCGTTTTGGGATAGGTGCACCACCCATTTTAGGCTACCTATTTTAGTGCTTGGATTGAATCGGATGTTCACCGGGGGTACGATTCGGGTTTTGACCCATGGCCACATCTAACGCGAGCTTGGCCCAGGAGCCCGGCCCGGCCTTCTCAAGCGGGCCTTCATCCAATTGCACCGTGGCTGTCTCGTCTCCTGGCATCGCCAGCAGACCGCCGACGGTTGGTTCAAACAAACGAAATGGTCTCAAAATAGGAATGGGTCCCCTGAATTTGTTGTTTTCCGGTGCATTGATTTCCAGTTGCATACCCACTACAAGGGGTCCAAATTTTGGGGAACCCAACCCCTGGTGCAACTTGGTAGGCACCTTTTCTGGTTTTTACAAATACCCAAAGTGGGGCGTTCCACCATCAGACAATCCATATGAGCCCTGGACAGATTACTTTCCCAAGAGGACATCACGGTATCTTTGGAACATATGGGATTCGGAATTCCCGTGTCCACGGTCTTGGGCGCTGCGGCGCTGCTCACTTGACAGGAGTCAATGCCGTGTCCGCCACAGACTACACCATACAGTGGATGGACGAAATCCTGCACCACCTAAGAAACCCTGGAACCGTGATTCCCCTGTAAATACCAAGCAATTATTTCCCATGGTTTCTAAGTGGTGCAGGATTTCGTCCATCCACAGTATGGTGACAGTAGATGGCACAATTCCCTTTCTGTTGGCAAGTGAGTTGGAACAAGCTGCACCATGTACGTTCCCGCGACTGGCGAGAATTGCATCTCTACTCTTGGTATGGTAGCGAAAAACGTTGCTTTTTGCAGACCCTCAGTAAAAATGAACACAACCAAAAAACCAAAAAACATGCCAAGAACAGTGAAGATTGCGCCGCATTGCGCCGGCCTTCGTCCTTCTCGCAATTGGAGAGGTCACCCAGGTGGACAAGCCCGGCTAGCACCTGGCAAACAAAATCCACCGATGGGCCACATATGCGGGCGGGGCAATCTGGGCAATGTTGTATTTGTGTCATAATCAAAACCTGGCACTAAAATGGTTCACCCAGAACCATGTAAAGAATTAAAGAGGCTGGCTGCACTCATTCATGGTTGGGAGCATTCCTTCCTATCCTTTATCTACCCTGTTGTTGATTGTGGTAAACTTCGGTAACTATCTTCTGGCACCTATTTTTAGACCTGCGGTAAAGTGAACAAGCCCAATAAATCTAGCCTGTACACTGGATAAAGCGAGAGGGGGATAAATGTCTCCGTTCCAAAGATTAACAACAGTTTGTGTTTTCAAATGCACATAGGGGATGCTATCGATTAATTATTGCCGATAACCTCTCCGACTGATGAGGAATATGAATCCACTTGCCTATGTAAGATGAGCAAGTAGAAAAGACCAAGTTTAGATGGAAAAACATTAGCTCCTAGTGTAGAATAAGCAAGAATTAAAGGTGCAGAATCATACCACGCAGAATCTCGAAACCACGATTCTTGATAAGATTCATGAGGTGTGAGGTGCTTGTGGAAAATAGGAAATTAGGAGTTTATCCATGTCTTGGTATTCAGCATCCAGACTTTGCTGGATAACAAGCAATCCCAAGCTGGAAAAAAAAGAAAGACGCATGTACCACCTCGACCTGGTCCCAATGCCACCTCCCAATGAGTGTTCCCCGTCTTATTTGGATCCGCGAGCTCCAAGAGCTCCCAAGTGAACATCCTAAAATGGGTGGTGAATTCACCCATCCCAACCAAAATGGGATGCCATTGGTTTTGACCCGCAGCCATATGTGCATGGGGAGACTTTCGCAAAGCTGAGGGGGGTGCCCACTACGAGAGCTTTCCCTAAATCAGTTGCCTTGGCTGCCTCATGAGTCTTGAATAAGTTGAGCATTGGTTGGTTCTATGGAGACTTGCTTGCTTAGAGAGTTAAATGGCCATGGGTCAAAATTCCGTACCCCCAGTGAACATCCGTACCCCCAATGTACCAACCAAAACATTGGCTTTGACCACCACAGCCAAATCCTCGATCTTCACTTCGACACCACCAAGGCTGAGCACCAAAATGCCAACTCCAAAGCCCACGAGCTGCCAAGCGCCACTTTGACACCACAGCTGAACAAAAATGCCAAAGCCAACCGCCAAAAACACAATGGATGGTTCTGTCTGCAGTCTTCAAATGGTGTGGGAACACTTCACTACCCCTCTTCTGAGAAAAAAAGGGGGGCAAGCCAAGCGCCTGAAAGATGGCGTCGATGTCCTCATCGCTGAAGCCCACGATGCTCAGAGCATCGCACAGCCTTTGGAAGAGCTTCACATCTCGCGCCTGGTCGCACCAGCCGCGAGTTGCTCAGATGGGTGTGGCTCAAAAAACCAGTAATTACCCAAAATGGAACCCGATCGGTAAGTGGCAACATGGACCAAAACCTGCGTAACCTCTCCTGTTTAATTTTGAGCCACACCCAAATGGGTGCGGCTTAAAATGAAAGACCTAGGGCCAACCGCAGGTGTGAGTCGTTGGTTCCATTTACCAAGGTGCCATTTTGGTGCCTTTTTGTGCGCCACAGCCAAATGCAAGATGCAGTCGAAACAAAAAGAACCTCGGCTCAAGTGCCAACGTCCAGTCCTCGAATTGCGCATGCCACTTCTTTTCTTCGTCAGCATCCTCCTGCATCACAACTCACAAGCGACAGTTGCGCATTGAACCAGCAACGCACTGCCTTTTCTCCCCCCACAAAAAAAAAAAAGAACAAGCAAAACTCGGGGAGAAAGAACAGCAATCAATGCTCTGAATGGTGGGTTTTTGGGGGCTTCCACGCAAGTGTGGCTAAATGACCCAAAAACATCACATTTACCGGGCGAACACATGTTGGAGGAATCTGAGGACAAACAATTCCTGCGCCGAATCCAAGAAAAAACCTCAGGGCATTGGCCTCTCAGAGAAAAAAAGAAAGGTCGTGGCGCACTCCTGGACGTCGCTTGCGAGGAGCGTGTAGAGCTGAGTGCGCTCGAGATGCAACTGGGACAGCCTCTCCTCGGGCAGGCCTCCCAGCATCTCCTCAGCCGAAAACGTCCTCTGCCCGAGCAATGGCCTTTATGGATGTTCGAGCCAGCCATGTGAATGAGCCAGAACCTGGTTACAAGTCAACACCTGTTGTCCCACTTTGAAGCCTAGCTATTACCTTGCTAAGTACCTTGAAAGTCCAAGTGCCCAGCCTATGTTCAGGCAGCGGCAACTCGAGACTCCCGTCAAGCTCAATGTTTGACAATCCTTTGCATGTTAACACAACCTGCCCCCCCCCCCCTGCCCGAACCATAAGAAAGCAAAGCAAAAAACATGGCCAACTGTGAAGATATCGTTCGCCCTTCCTTGATTTGGACACGAGATTGGCCACATTGTGGGTGATGCCCTATTTGGTGTTCTACTGAAACCAAAGTTAAACCAGTCTTGATGTGGTCTCTGCAATTTGGTAAGACCAAAACTTGGAGCTTGTGAGCGCCTCGTTCTCAGTGCGCCAAGCTTCGTAAAAGCAATGGTACGTTCGCTCACGAGAAGCATGCAGCACCACACGGGAGCTCTCAAGCAAATACGTGGTCACCTCAGCTCAAGCGAAGGCCATGGCAAGTTTTACGTAGATCTTGTGAGTCATGTCATGTCACACATGGCTCTGCATATTCAGCGTCATGGACACTGACGGCACTGCAACAACACTGCACTCGGAAGTATCCAAGGTCTCCGACGAGCCACAAGGAACCAGCCTTCCAAGAGCGGGGAGAAAATGGTTCAAGCATGTTCAAGCCACGGCGCCGCTGCATCAACAAGCATCCCATCTTGATCAAAGAAGATGCGGTTGTACTTGCCGAAGCGGGAAGAGTTGTTGTTCCTGCCAAACAATCTTACATATTGCATGTACGAAGTAGATACATAGATTGCACGATCTATTCAGAGAAACACTATGCTATAACATTTAAAATCCCCACTCTCCCAATACAATATTGGACTTACACGAGAGAACCCAGGACAGCCTTCCTCAAGCTCCATCCCGATCTGGCCCTGGTCCTCATTGTCACTGCATTTCCGAAGGATTCAAGAATGGGCTGTGCTTGCTGCACGCGTCTCTGGATCTGTTCCTGAGAAAGGCAGCAACACTGCGAGAAGTCTTGACAACTTGCAACAAAAGACAACCGTTTGATTCAAACGGATTGTGAATGCAACTATTCGATCCTATACCATGTAGCTATGTTTCTCATCTACAGGTTTGATTTCAGTTTGCACGACTTGGACGCTTCAAACTGCACAAAAAACTTCCAAGGAGTGCCATCCACCGATGTCTCTTGTGCTTTTCCTGGGTCCGGCTCTGTCGCCCGCCCGACCTCGAGATGCCCCCAATCCCCTGAGCAAACCGTCGATCACCTTTTGCAGGTTTCATGGAAGAAACGCCTTTCCAAATTGGCCATGGGTCGAAAGCCCGGTTAGCCCCCAGTGAACATCCGATTCAATCCCCACTAAAATAGGTTCGAAAATGGGTGGTGAATTCACCTACCAACCAAAATGGTACCATTGGTTTTGACTCATAGTTAATTGTCGTTCCGGCGCCTTTGGGGTCACACCAAAGACCGAGTCGTAGGCAGCCAAGCCAAGGCTCCGTTTTCTGGTTGGTCGATCCGGACACGAAGCCCAAATACTCCATGACCTCAGCAAAAGAAGAAGAAAAAAAAGAAAAAAGCGAGGCTACATGGGCTCCAGCTGCCTGTGCAAAGCATACGCTCTCCTTCGATCTGGCTATGAATTTGAATGGGGAACCGCGTTGGTGGGCACGAATGTCCGCCAAAATGATGCCCGCCAAAGAGTCTCCAGGAAAAAAATACCGCCCAGGTTTTGACCACAAACCTGTGCCAAGCCGCAATCTTGGCCGTCTCAGTCTTCCCTGCGCCACTTTCGCCGGAGATGATGAAGCCCTGATTCTTGCGGTCTCGCACCTGTGGAGCAAGCGGCACAAGTCGCACAAGTCACAGGCTCAAAAGGCGAGTGACCCACTCCCACCCCTCCCACCTCCCACAAAAAATAAAATAAAACTATTTGACAAAAAAAGAGGAGCATGGCTCTTTGTACTCCTTTCCAGGATTTTGGGAGGTCAGCTCTCGAAGGAGACGGCGTCACCTCTGCAGCCAGGCTGCCAGTGCCCTGTAGGCAGTGTCAGCGATGGCGTAGGGGTGCGGAGCCAGCGCGCCAATGTGCTTCCCTCGATATTTGGCGCACTGCGAGGCACCATACAGCCTCGCAAAGACTGCGGGGTTTCGAAAGAAATGTTTAATGTTTCAAGTCGGAAATCCTGACTTTGGTGGTTGAGAAGATCATGGGCTTCCCAGTACCCTCCTACCAACTAACATGGGTCTGTGCAAAAAGGCCAACTCATCAAGAGGAAAGTCGTCTTTCTACAGGGGTCCGAAAGCACCAAACCATGCTAGCTGGGAGGATAACGGGCGCTGACTTCGAGCTCCACTGGACTCCACCGGTGTCGCGCTCATGTCAGTGTTGAACTAAGGTCGTAGCCCTGTGACGTCCTTGTAAGGATTCACGGCGAGCAAAACCTCAGCAGAGTCGACGTCACCAAAGTTCGCCCTGGCTAAGAAAGAGATAAGTACAAGATGATCAAGACATGCTTGCGGAAAAACGCGCTTTCAGTGATACCAACATGTGGCATTCCCATGCCTGCTTTAGCAGGCTGAAAATAAACTTGACATCAATCAAGGAGAGTGGCAACCAAAAGCAGCAATGTGCCACAAAAATGAATCTTGCCTACTTCCATCAGGCAGGAAGTGAAAGAAACTGTCTTGTCGTTCTCGCCCAGATGCACTTGCCGTGTAGGTGTAGATATCATCCACCTCGCCAATTCAGCAATAAGCAGACATTTGTCGTTTCTCTAATGGTCTAAGACAGACACAGCAACCACTGAGCAACATGACATGTACATATTCCCTTCATGAACTTGGGCTGCAAACGCATCCTAACGCGCCCAAAATCTCAGGCGAACCAAAGGTGAGGGGGAAGTCGTTCCCTGGTTGTCGTCAGCCGGTCTTGTCAGCCACTCTCAGCGCGCCTGGTGTCGAGCTTTCAGGTTCTCCAGGATAGTAGCATCGTTGAGGTGCACCAGAGACGTGTTGTCTTGACCTCGGTGGAGACTCCGCCATCCCAAAGCGCCCGTGGGCGCATGCGATGGTGAAACTGTCATGGGGCATGGTCATGGTGTCATAGGAACAAAACCCGAGCAAAGTGTGGTTTCCAACTTGTCCCGCACTACTTGACCTTTTTAGTTGGTGGGTGTGTTCTTTTAATGCACGGGTAAGCAAAAAGAAAAAAGCCCGGACCCCGGCCCCCGCCACGACCTCTGGGCTGTCGCGCAGGTGGGCCGGTCCTCCGTGTCGAAGCGGCGCCGAAGCTCCGGCGCTGCGAAGCGCTGCAGCTCGGAGCGGTCCGCCAGCTGCACGACCTCGGGCAGCCGCCCGTGGTGAAAACCGCCTTGGGGTGAATTCACCACCCGTTTTAGGGGGAAGTTGGCTTGTTTTTGGAATTGGGTTGAGCTATTTATTTTAGTAATTTAGTATTGAGCTATTTATTGTTGTTGGAATTGGGATGTTCACTGAAATTGGGCCGTGGTCAAAAATGGGTACCCAAATGCCATCAGCTTGCCTCGTTTCCGTCCGCATAAGCTGCAATCTTGGGAAAACCAGGGAGCCTCTACATGGCTATGGTGGCCAAAACCGTTTTGGTTGATCCCAGTTTGGTTGGGATTGGTGACTTCACCACCCGTTTCAGGCGATTCATTTTAGTGATTGGGATGTTCACTGGGGGTACCGTTTAACCCAAAATGGGTTGATCTGGTAGAAGGCCATGGTACCAGAAATGGAAAATGGTATGTGGAAAATGGAAAATTGTCTTTTTAGTCCTTGTACCCAAAATAGAACCCTGGTAAATGGAACCAAGCACGAAAATCTGGCCCCCCCCTGGTGGTTTAATTTTACAAGGTGAAAAGTGGTACCATGCCACAAAACCGAGATGGCTGTGGTTGTCAAAACCGTTTTGGGATCCCACTTTGGTTGGTAGGTGAATTCACCACGCATTTTAGGCTTTATTTTAGTGAGAATTGGGATGTTCACCGGGGGTACGGGATTTTGACAAATTGCCGAATAAATGAACAGGCACCGTACAATTTTCCTCCAAAATCGACAAGTGAGTGCAGAAATGAAGTCGAGTCATCGCGAAGCAGCGGCACAATCAATCATCGGGATATCCACTGATCAACCCACGGATACGAACTGTTGAAGGCATGGACCACCCCCAAGCCGGGCTCGGTCACAGTTTCCCTCACACCCCAAAAGTAAAAGAACGGCCCAAAGGAAATGCCAAAAACTCACCGAAACTGGGATGTGCAGGGAACCTTGCGGTTGGGGCCTCCCTCATACGAGCTTGGTTGCGTCCCTGGCGCTCGAAGAGTTTGGGTCCAACGTAGCAAATAAGGAGGCCTGTCTTTTCAGTTTGGTGCAAATCGCGCATAAAAGTACTAAAAAAGATTTCTGCTCATGGAAGTGCACAGACCCCTGTAGAAAGACGGGTTTCCTCCTGCAATGGTGGCCTTTTTGGCGTTTCTATGTTTGGTGGGAGGTCCAAGTCTCACACAAAGGAGAACTGGGATCCTTACATTGTCCACCTGAACATTGCAACTTGTTTTCTGGCGGTTTCCAACTTTATTTCGGTGTTGAAAAAGCCGGCATTGTTTCAAATGGTGACGCCAAATGGAGATCTCTTAAGGAGCCCTGGAGAATGAAACGGGCCCTGGCGGCTCGGTTCCCCGGCCACCTCCGAGCCGTCGATCTCGTGCACCGTGGCGGGCAGGAACGGCAAGTCCTGAAGAGTGGGCAAAAGCGGAGGGCCTCCTGGTCCTTTGCTTTCCTTGCCAAAAAAACACCACCCAAAAAAGGAAGGCCCAACAGTTGAAGTGTGACATAGTTGATGTGTCATCTCTGAAATCCAAGAACAACTCAAAAGCCAAGGAAACCTATATGGGTTCATTTTCGTGAGGGTGCGCAACCCTTTTCGATTTGGGTTGAAAATGGCATGAAAACGGAACAAAAACGCCCACGCCCACCATGTGTCTTCAGCTCGTGCCAACCACCAAAGCCGATTTCTCCCGGTTCGCTTCCCCGCTGGAAGGATCCCAATGCGGCACCTCGCTCTCCGGGCATGGTACGTAGACCAAGTCTTGCACCTCACCCGCTTGCATTTGACGCGTCAGCTGCAAGGCTTGCCCCCCAATTCCTTGGGAAAACAGAAACAAAACGCCTCAGCTGCATGGCTTATCCCCCCAGCTCCGTGGAGAAAAACCAAGAAGGTGAAAAGAAACGAGGGCGGTCAAACAAAAACAAGGGGCCCGGGGTGCCATCGGGGATAAACATCTAGGTCCAATCGTTGGACTGGAGGGGCGGAGGGACTGGGAGCCGTGCTTTGAAGGCAGGCGCACCCGGCATGTCTCCCTCGGACACCAAACAGCGAGAGCAAACGAAAAAGGGCAAGACGCGTCTGCAAATGAAGCGATCTAGGCGTGGCTCAATTTGGTGCTCCTACAAAAAGCAGAGGGAATGGGTCCGCATTTTTGGACACCCCATCCTCTGAAAATGGCACAGACAACTAGCCTCTCTGCAATGTGCAACTCGCATGTTTGCCAGGTTGCGTGATTCCTGCGCGCCTCGCCAAATTAGGGAAACTTGAGCCCAGAGGTCGGGTTGAACCATACGCTCGTCAAATCCAATCCGGAGTTGCGCATGCTGCAATCGACCGACACGTGTCACCGGCGATCGATCAGCTGCTTTTGCGCTGCCAGGTACTGGAAAATGCCAAGCACACCCATGCCGGAAGGCATTCTGAACGTGGCCATTCAGCGAATTGCAGTCCCTGCCCGCCTCCCAACAGAAAAACAAAAATGCAAGACGATGGCCATGGGTCAAGAATATGGCACCCAAAATGGAACCCTGCGATCCCCTGGTGGCTCAATTTTGACCCATGGCCCATTTCTTCTCTTGCTGCATAGTTCTGTCACAAGGTCCAGGCTGGGGCCAGGGGCCAGGGACAAAGCTCGCACGACAGAAACACGGGGCCTGTCCGAGCTATTCAAAAAACTGGTGGACATTCCTTACATGCAGAGAGCACTTCCGGCTCTCCCTGCCCGAAGTGCAATGCAGCGGTTGTTTCACTTTGCTGCAAGGCTGTGTCCATAAGATCAAGCGGCAAGCTTTGCCTATCCTTGTACTGTGGTTGCTCTTTGGCCCTGTGAGCTGATGCAATGTGTGTGTGAACCTTGTAGTGGGCTTCATGGCAAAATGGGAACGAGGGTACTCTTTATTTATTCTTGGTTTGTCTGGCTGCGGAATTGGGATGACAAGCGCTGTTCACCGTCATCCCTTCGCATTTGTCTCGATCTGCAGAGAGGAGGTCTTGCCCTCGAATCACCTCGGGCTCTTGGAAGGTCAGGCATGATTCACAAGCTGTCATAGTAAGAAAACCACAACAGCAAGTACATACCTCAAACAGAAGAAGCCAGCCTAGCCTCCAGAGAGCAAAAAACCAGGCCGATGACTGCACACCAGCACCTCTAACAGCACTGCCCGATACACATGAAGGAAGAAAGCAACCGCATGTAACCGCCAAAAATGCCAAAACAACCAGAGCTCATGCCACAAACCACAAAAAAAATAAAATCGTTTTTTTCTTCTGCGAATATTACTTTGAATATCAAGAAAAGTAGATGAGTCCCGCAGCCACGGCACACATGGCGGGCCTCTTTCTCGAGCTCCTGCAAGGAACGCGTGCAGCGCGCGGAGCAGAGTCGACACCGGGTTCTCGATGACCAGCGACCAGGGGAAATAAATTGTTTGATTTCCCCACAGTAGACTTAAGTGCAGGGATTCCCCTGGTATCAACCACTGGATTTCTGCCTGCCATGGAGCCATCAGAAAATGGAACCCTGATCCCTACCAAACCAAATCTTGCGTCAGGTGTGGTCGCTATGCGCGTGTGGGAGAAAGCTTAAAAAACATCCCATCGCCCTTTGCCTACGGCCTCAACCCAAACCCTCAGCGTTGCCTGTGTTTTATGGTGGTGTTGGCATGAGCAACTCGGCTACTGTAAAGCCCCACGCAACCACGCTGTACTTTTTTTCACTCGGGTGGCCAGTTGGCGTGTCAAAAACTACTCATCGGTCATGGCAGTGCCAGAAAAAAAAAACTCAAATCTTCAGTTGTCCAAACGATTCATGACTATTAACGTGGCCAATGGGAAAGGTTTGGATCACTGGCATGACGCGTTGTCCTCATCGTCATGTGGTGAGTGCACGGGACCAAATATAATCGTTTAACTACATCAAATGACTGTAAAATCCCATCAAGGCCTCGCTACCCCATGAAACCAGGGAACCGAACCACTCACCCGGCCTGGGGTTCCGCCCACTGCCTGTGTGTCAACCAAAGACCCCAAAAACTGGTGGGGTGTCCCTTCAGTTTCCCTTCAGTTTCCCTTCAAACCCACCTGAAAAAGCCAGAACAGTCACCACCATAGGTGTCCTTTTAGGGGAACTAGATGGGTTTCCCTGGTAGATGATTCAACCACCAGGTAAACCAGGGCCATCTATTTTCCCAGAAAAACAACCAAAAAGGACACTTGTGGTCACCCCGCCCTGAAAGAGATCCCGATCTCCTGCAACAAATCCCTGCGCTGCTGTGCCCACCATTCGCGCTGAATGTGAAGGCGCTCATCCGAAGGGGTTGCCTAGGGCCGCAAGAGACCACAAGCTGGGTAGAGAGGTTAGGACAAGGGTACCAACTTTTTCTGTTGTCTATTTTAGTAGGGACCCCTTCCCCGAAGGGTAAAAGGGCACTACTGGGGGACCTAGTTGGTTTCCTGTTCAAACGATCCCTGAAAGGGGCACTGAGTCAAAAGCACACACCCACACCCAAATCCACCAGCTGTCGAGCGGCCACGACTCCAGGGCTCTTCTGCACCCATTCCACGTCGTCGAAACTGAGCAAGGCTCCAACCAGGATGGGCAAGGCAACTGCGGAACATTCTGCCACGAAAGCAAAACTAGCAGCTAGCAAGCAAAACTGTCTTCGCATCTCTTCCTTCCTGATGCATTGATGCATCGCGCAAGCAAGCCGGGTGTAACCTAACCAATCAAAGGACACTTGAGTGTGTCCTTTATTTGAGGCTACGTTTAAAGGAAATCGCTGAGACACACCTACTTCTCATGTTCAGGCCCCTTTCAAAGTGCTTTTTGATTCTTTATGAGGGCAGAAACAATCTCGAGGTGAAGCTATGTGTTCTTTCTGGGAGAATGTGGAAGGAGGGCACAAGCCACGCAAGAACTCAGCTGTGGTGGCCAAATACCCCACAAAGAGAAGGATCTTGTGCAACATAAGACCACCCCCCACTCTTCATTTTCCGAATCCAGGGCTCCCAGTTCTCACTTTTGGGTCATAGGGCTGAGTGCCCCAATGCGGTCATAGGGCCAAGCCCGCCTGTTGCCTTCCGGGCTGCACGGGCTATCCTTGCGCAGGTCCTCCATGAGGAATTGGCCTCGCCCACTGCCGTCAAGCATTTACCAACCGCGAGAGGGACCAAAGACTGTGCCAATCCGCCCGCATGTGGCAGGCACCGTGAGGCTGGATGTTGTCAAAAGAAGGAACGCAACTGAGTGGCGTTACTTTGGGTTCTTGTTTGAATCCATTCCAGTCATTCAAAAGACCTGGCATCAAATCAGGTCGAATTCCACCCAAAATGCAGCTCTGAAAAGGGAACTGTCCCGAATTCTAGGCCCTTCTGCCCGGCGCCCACCGCAAACCCGGGACACGCGGAAACTCACAACCCGAAACTTCCAACCCCCAACTCCGCCCCAACTCCACAAACAGACCATCCAAGCCAAGCCATCTCGTCCCCTTGACCTTGGAAAGGCAGCAAAAAAATCGAAAATTTTGGCAGTTCAGTGGTTGGATTTCCACCACCAAACCACAAGAAGCAAAAAAAGGGGGGAAAAATGCTTCCCAACCACCAGGTCCCAGCGGCGCTGCTCCGCCCAATTCCTCCGGTCGTCCGCCATGATGCTTTGACGCCGCTCGGCTTTCTGCGCCTAGAGACGGCGAAGCCGGACTCACTTCCCATCGAGTGGACGGATGGGCCAACACACCTAGACGGTCTGTCCACAGTAAAAGGGCCCTGCAAGTAATCCAGGAACTCGCGGAGTGATCTGGAGGTTCAACCGGTTCAACCTACTGTGTAGGTTTTGACCAGGAATAGAAGTGAGCCAGGAAGAGCTCATTCACTCATCACCTTGGTTGTAAGTCGTAGCCTACTTCTGTACAAGGCTGAACAAAAGACATCGCCGAGGTGGTCCCAAAAGTGCAAGCAAGTGCTTGAACTGGGTCGGAGACTGGTCTTTGTCAACAAGGGGCCGAACTGATGGTGTGTCCTTTTGCCTTCTGAAAAAATCTCGGGACCCTCAACCAAAAACCAACATCGGGACTTGTTGCGGGAAGGTGGCCTGCGGTTCCCTTGCTCTCCATGTTTTCTCACGGGTTGCTCCAGGGGTCCACGGTCGTCCTGACCATTGTGCCACAAAGAAGTGGCGAAGAAATCTATCAAGTCTGGTTCCACTTGACTCGAGGCCGTAACTCCAGCTCGGAACAGGATCCAACTCTAACTCGTGTACAGCCGAAGCCATTTTGCTGCCATGCGGAGATACCACGGGATGCTCCCAGAAGTCCGTTGTTTCGAAGGGTGCCACCTAAAATCATTGACCAGCCATGTAAAGGGAGAAAAGCAGCAAACCGTTTGACCATCTAGAAGAACCTGGATAACCTGGAATAGCATGACACAGCATGGATCAGAACAAGTGAACATGAACCAAACAACACGAAATTACATGCAGCAAAATATAACAACATCAGCAAATGCACAACATGTAACAGCATGAAAGAACACGAAACAGCTGGAGCAACATGAACAAAATGCACAAACTGATGACACAAAATCAACAAAATAAGACCAAATACACAGAAGCAAGTTCAACGGCATGAAACAAAGTGATACCATATCAGCTAAACAGGCACAACAAGCAACATGGGCAAAAATGAAGAAAATGAAGCGAGGAGTTTGAAAGGCAAGCGAATCACTTCTTTGTTGTCCGAACGATAGTTTGCTGCAATATGCAAGACATAATCAAAATCGGGTATTACAGGAGCCTACCCCAAAACATGAAAAGAACCACAAGGAATGTCAAAGGGCGTCTTCATGGCAAGGGAACTGTCCCCACAAGAACTACCCGAGCCTAAGATGTAAATGTCGAATCTCTTCTATCATCATTCCAGTCGAGGGCGATTGTGATCTTCAAGAACAGATGGTCCATGATCAACACTCCTTATGTGGGCCACAGTGACAGTTCCCCAACGAGCAATCCTTGCCATGGTCTATAATCCCGATTGAGGAGTTGCGAACCATCCCAACCCAGAGATTCCAAACCAACATTTAGCTTCTCAAAACACTGGCCCTGAAATGGCTGGACATCTCCTTATAAGGTCCCCCCTTTGAACCAAAAGGCCAAAAGGGGTCCACTTTTTGCCCACTTTTTGCCCGCCCCCCTCCCCAAGTTCAGAAAACAAATGAGCAACTCCCCAAGTGGAAAACAAAATATGAACAGAAAATATGAACAACAAATAATGAACA